TATTTATTTATTGACAAGAGGTTAGCTTTGGGATCTGGCACAGAATCAACTCCTTACCCTCACTTTTCTCAGCAGGGAATGATTTTGTTGCAAACATGTCTCCCCTCCACTTTGAAGGACAGCAGTACCATGGAAAGGGATGTTTTTTAAACAAGCTGTTGTGCCTTTTGGTCTTTTGTCACAGCCTTTATCCACCAACTGGGCTCACTGCAAGGTCTGGATCTGCCCCAGGCCTTTCCCACCATGCCTTCTTGTTGTGATTGTTCTAGCTCCTAATGTCACCTTGACCCCTGTTCAGAGAGAGCAAGCTTAGAATGCCACCAATATAAAAAGATAATGAGTGCATCCAAGGCTGAAGTGGGCTAGTTCTTGGCTGGTATCTTTCTTCGCTGCTGTCCCTGTGCCACTTCCATTCATTAATAGGTGTCACTGAATGCCCACGAAACACAGCAGAGTAAGGAACAGTACTACATGTGATGTCTTTTGGAAAAGTAGCATGAGAGGAATTTTCCCTTTCTTTGCCTCCTGCTCCTGTAGGATATAAAGAAGACATTATTGCAAGATAAAGCTCACAACTGAAATGATCACATTATTCTTATCTATCATTAACAATGCATTGTGCAAATTATATGGATTATAGAGGAGTCTTTTTATCAATACACTCAGTTAGTTGTAATTTTTTTACTAACTACATAGTTGAGATGATAAGAGTTCTCACATTATGGCTTCATCACACCCCATTTTCATGAGAGCTGTTTGTCTGAAACCCTATATATGTATGGATGAAAATTGGCTTTTACCTGTATTTATTCTTTTACTTTATTATATTTAATGCTTTCTTTCTTTCAGCCCATTTAGAGCAGCGTATTTGTTCTCTCCTTACTTTTTAAAAACCCCACAACTTAGGTAGGCTTAACTGAAGGACAATTGGCCAAAGTGTGTTTCAGGGCTGATCAGTATTTAAAAACTAACATTTTCTTAGGTCTGCAAGCTGTTGCAGGGGGATCATTTTGGACAAAAGCCTCTTCACAGAAAACTGAATTGCTAAAGCCATCAAACAGGCATTTCACTACCTTGTCATCCCTTACAAAAACATCATGTTGAGAAATAACACAGCACACAGGTCTATAGAATGCAGCTGAAGGGACTCACAGATTTGAATATGTGGAATACTGCTTATAGAAGACTAATATGTCAGGGGATAACAATTCAAGCTTAGTATTCTCTCTGATATGTTCTTTGTTTACAGGGAGGGTTTTTTGTTTTGTTTTTAGTGGGGTAGTATTCAAATATGAGATCCTCCAGCTTTATTCTGAAATAGTACGGGCTTTGGATGTTGCCCGTTTTGTTGTTCTACTCTAAATTAGTCTCCAGGCTGCATTCAGCAAAAGTGGAAATGGTCTATTTGAGAGTGCCCTGCCTGCAAAATAGGGTAAAGTGAAATAGACCAGAGAAAATAAGGACAGGCTTGCTGGCATATTGGGTGGTGTGACTAGCAGTTAGACGTTGAGAACTGACACCTGTAAGAGAGGGAGAAATTTAAAAAGAAAATGCTCCAGACAAAGTTTCTTAAGGCCAGTGTTTATGTTAAATGGTTGCTATCTCTCCCGGACTGCTCCAGTAATATTTGAAGGATGAAGATCATATGGGAGTGGTTGATAATTTGGTGACATCTCATATTAGTAGAGAGGGTACATCCACATGGAAGGAACAGTTGTAATTTTCTTGTTATGTAAGAAGAGCTGAAAGTCTCTAGGCTCTGTCTAAACAGATGCTGTTCTAAACTTAATGGTTATGTCCACAAGAACATATGGTTATGTTTACAATTTTTTCATTTTTATAGTCATTGGAAAGGGCAATGCATTTTAAAGGTGATGAGCAAAGACATCTGGCCATTTTATGTTTGGTCCCTAAAGACAGGACTAATCTATGTAGCAAATATTCACCTGTGATAGCTAATTATGTTGCTGTTGCCAGTTGGAAAACACAGTTCCTTTCAGATTTGAAGAAACAATACATTCCAGTGGTTGGTTTGTGACATTTGTTCTGGTGTGTCTTCCCTAAATGTGCTGTTTAAACATGAAACAAATGGAAGCCTAAACTTTTAGAAAACAGCAATTTCTGGATTATCAGAAAGCCAGTTTTTGAAATGTATCTGGAAGTTGAGTCACGGCAGCTGGACTTCTTTCTTGTCAGGTTGAAACGTTTCACTACTAATCCAAGTAGCTTCTTCGGTCTTTTTGTAATTTACTTTATGATAGTAGCTGTGCAATCAGCCAAAATTCCTGCTGACAAACACTTGCTGTTAGATGAACCCTGCCTAGTGCAGAGTTCCCCTTGTACTGGAAAACTCTGATGCTGGCCTTTACTCTCCATTAATCGACACCCCACACATTTTTCTGCCTTTTTAGCTCCCCCGGAGACCCACAGCAGATTGGTGCCCCGCCATGAGCTCAGCAGCCCTGTCACATCAGATGAAGAGTACCTGAGCCCCTTGGAGGAGTTCCCTGACTCTAGCACTCCACGACACCAACCTGTCATGAAAGTGCAGCCCCGGACTGAAATCGGCCCAGCTCCCACGCATGTGGGTGTCAACTTCAAGGCTGCACCATCTTTTGAGGTAAGTATACAGTGAGGCTAGATGATGGCAAGGGGAAAAGTGCCTGAGGCTTTGTTATAAGCCTGTGGCTTAGATTCTGGACACACCTGCATCCAGAATCTAAGCGGGTGTTCCCTTGGACGTGGGCATTAGATAGGTGCTGGTAGAGACTCAGTGGCTACTTGCTGAGCCATTGAGAAGAAGAAACAAATGCCACTTTTTGCTCTGCTGAAGGTACAGTGCCTACTGATGATAATCTTTAAAAAAATCCCACACTGCATCCTAAAGAAAACCTGTTTTCCAGTTCCCTTTGTCATGATGTTTTCTCCTGCAGGTGGCACTGAGTGACCAGACAGTAGTAGAAGGACAGGATGCTGTCCTGCGTATTCGGGTCCAGGGAGAGCCCAAACCCATTGTACACTGGTGAGTAGGTTCTGTGGTACAGCATGACATGTTAACAGTAGACCTGTTGTCTTGGTGCCATGTGGGCAGGAATGAGATGGTAGGCATGGAGGAGTATCCCAGTTTTAAAAGTAAGAATTGTCATCAGGTGACTAGTCAGGAAAAAGTTTGTACAATGAAAAGGAAAGCTGGTTCATATTTCTTTTCTGGCTGTCAGTACGCCAAAACTGAATAGTAATGGCAGAATATTAAAAGCGTGCATAGGATTCTGTTGTTTGTAAGGCTGGTCTTTCATTTCTGGGGTGTTTTAGGTCCACCTTGGGAATGGTAAATTTTTATGTAAGAGAGAGTGAAGCAAATTTTAGATCCTCTTGAGATGGTTTTCAACCTCTAATACTTCAGATATTTTTCATTTCAACTCCCAGAAGCCCTAGCCAGTGGAGCCACAGATAAGGTATCAGAGGGCTTAAGTCTAAAACATTATAAAGGCCAGCATTTGAGAATCACTTCATTTGGATACTGTTGGCATCAAACCTGATACTGACTGGACTAAAATGGGAAAATACTGGTGTTCTGATCTGCAGTACTGTATCTGGTTTGACTATATTGTACAAAAAACCCTTTTTTTGGTAGCAGCAATGATAGGGTCAAAGGACAGAATCAGCCATAGAAATTATTAATTGTTCTGAGACTACCATGGAAGAGGGATGAAAAAGATAGGCTCGGGGGGGGGGGGCGACAAAAAGATTTTCTAGAAGTTAGGAAGCACTGCAGGCTTTCAAAGCCTCTCTTCTGTCCTCCAGGCTGAAGAACAGGCATCCCATAAAATATGGACAGCACATTTCTGCTGTGGAAGAGGAAGATGGATCTTTTTGCCTACATATCCACATGGTGGAGTGCGCAGATGCTGGCTATTATGCCTGTAAGGCCATCAATGAGTATGGCACCAAGCAGTGTGAGGCAAAGCTTGATATACAAGGTACCTTTGAAACCAGAGAGCATGAGGGTTAATGCTTGCCTGTGATGGGATTACTCCAGAAGAAACTACTTGCATGCTTGCTTCTTCCTTTCACTCATCCTTCATGCCCTGCCTCTGTGAACAATACTTCCTTCCTGCTCTCACCTCCCACATCCTCCAGGTTGTCACACCTTTGCTCAGTAATAGCCTGTGGCTCTGTGGCTGTTTGGTCCATAGGAAAGAGAGTCTGTGATCTGAGTGCCTTACCCAAAGGGGTGTCAGCAAGCTCTTGTCCGTGGCTCAATCACAGGCAACTAAGTATTTAGTAACTCTGCCATTTGCTTCAGTCTTTTTCTTTGACTGAATTCTGCTTCTTCACCATAAGAATTAGGAATATTTGACCAAGTTCATGGCTCTGTGATACTCCCATAAGGCATGGGGGGCACATTGCTGGCTTGCCTAGGGCTTCCTGATCACTTTGTTCCAAACGGGAGACATGTTAACCTTTAAAACAAAACAACAAAGGTTTAGTGTGGCATCTTAATTAGACACAGGCTTCCATGGATTATGACTCACCTTTTCAAATGCATCTGAAGATGTGGGCTGCAGTCCACAAAGGCTTGCACTAAACAAAGCTCATAATTAGTAATAATGTAATTCTGACAAATAAACCTTTGGAATTACTTAATGGCAGTCAGCAGAAGGGAGATTTGAACAAGGGACTTGAACTTTCATAGCTCAGCCTCTTAGTTGGTATATTATACTGCAAGGTTGTATTGGTTGTTTCTTCTTCGTGGCCTCTGTAAATGCACACAGATGGGTTTTACTGCACCTGCGCAGGACTCCTCGGAATATTCTAGAGCTTAAAAAGATGTAATTAGGAGGACGTTGCCCCGTGGCGCGCATGCTCTGCTCGCCCGAAATACCTCAGCTCTGTTTAGCTGCCGCTGAGTTCAGACTCCTTTAGCAATTATTAGAGCTTCTTCCATTTTGATTCAAAGGTTTTTGATCTTTATCTTGTTTAATGGTTTCTCAATCTTGTCAAAAGATCTCCTGTATGGAGAATTAGTGCAGGGAAATCACTCCAGAGGGAGACCACAGCTGCGACACAAGGACATCTGCAAGCGGGATCTGAAGGCCTTAGGAATGGTCCTCAACAGATGGGAAACGTTGACTTCTGAGTGTTCAGCCTGGAGGCAGGCAGTGCATCATGGCCTCTCCCAATTTGAAGAGACCCTTGTCCAGCAGGCCGAGGCAAAGAGGCAGTCCCAAAACAAGCAAAACCAGGGAGCTGGACAGGGGACAGATTGTATTTGTCTTCAATGTGGAAGAGATTGTCACTCTCGAATTGGCCTTCTCAGCCACACTAGACGCTGTTCCAAGACCTCCATATGGAGCATGTTACCATAGTCTCTCGAGACTGAAGGATGCCTACTGGAATCTTGTCATGGACTTGCCTTTGTTGATTGTTTGATCACGGCTTTCTGATCTTTGGACTGCTTATCGTTAAGCGTTTTGGATCACAGACGTGGATGTTCCCCCTGTGAGGTACTCTTTTCTCCCCCTCCCCTTTTCCCCCTGTTTCCCACCTCTCTTTTGTGCCCTCTTCAGGTCCTTTAAAGAGGTGCATATCACGTGCCAACAAAATTCCATTCACTGACAGCCACGATCGCTGCTTGTTTTGCCTGGGAGAGAGACATCAGACCAACTCCTGTGCGGAGTGTAAGAAATTAACCAAGCCAGCCCTCAAGCTTCGCTTGCAATGACGTTGGTCGTATCTTTGGGAAAATTCCCTATGACCTTCCAGCCCTGTTGCTAGCCCCGCAATGGAACTAGCGTTGTCCCTGCTTCTTGGTCCGAACCTTCGGTTCCATCGGCACCGATGGACTCCCTCTCCTAAGACATCCTCCAAAGCTTCCAGACCTAAGACTGTCTCGGCATCAATGTCAACTTCAATGTCGAAGTCACCTTTGGTCTCTACCCTAAGAAAAAGAAGGATGCAGTTAACAAAAGAAAGCTAAGCGGGGCTCTAAGTCTCATCGCCCCCCTGAATCTCTAACGGTTCACATCTTCCTCACCTCTCCTATCTTGAAGGAGCCATCAAGGGACATTCCAGACCCAAATTCCCTTTCTGAAGCTGGAGAGGTGGGACTGCTTTCTCAGGCTCAAGTCTCGGCATCGGTACCAAGCTTGACACCATCTCATGGCCACTCTGAGGCTGATGTTATCTCCAGCCTGGCCTCAGCCCCTTCTAGCCCTATCTCTATCGGGCGGGCAATGGTGATCCAACTTTCCAAATCAGAGGTATTGCTTTCTCAGTCGCCTCCATGGAAGCAATCTGCTAAACAGTGCCACATCTCTCCATCCTGACAGTATGCTTCCATAGCCCACGAAAAGGCTCTCCTGCCTCCACGCAGACAGTTTCAAGGTGGATTGTCTCTGCTATTACTTTAGCTTATGACTTGGCAGGCAAGACTCTGCCAGAGGTGCTAAAGGCACATTCCATGAGAGCTATGGCAATTTCTACAGATTGGTTGCGTGGTGTTGAGGTCCCTGACATCTGTCGAGCGGCCACTTGGTCTACACCCTCGACTTTTGTGACATATTATCATCTTGACATCAGGGTCAAAAAGGAAGCAAGTTTTGGAAGGGCTGTGCTGACTTCATTGTTGGCGTGATGGCCCTCCTTCCGGTAAGTGAGCTTGCTAGTCACCCATTTGTGTGCATTCATAGAGGCTGTGAAGAAGAAAGAGAGGTTACTTATCATAACCATAGCTCTTTGAGTGGTTCTCTGTGAATCCACACATCCCGCCCATCCTCCCCGCTGTCCGTTACTTGGTGTCTTGACCTTGTTGGAGTCGGAGCCTTGACAGCAGCGGACATTCCGGAACTGAGATATTTTGGGCGGGCAGAGCATGTCCTACTAATTACATCTTTTTAAGCTCTAGAATATTTTAAGGAGTCCTGCCCAGGCGCAGTAAAACCCATTTGTGTGGGTTTATAGAAGACCACTCAAAGAACTATGGTTACAGGCAAGTAAGCTCTCTATATAACCATAACTGGTATAGTTAGGGTTGGCCCAGCGATTGATCGATCGATAGATAGCATTCATTCCCTGCTATCCCCATTTTTGGGGTGATAATGTCTAGTGAATGAAGCAGCACAATGTGAATTGGTTGGCCTCTGTTAGCTGGCCCTGTTCTATCTAGATTGGGCCTAAGTGGGAGTGCTATAGAGAGGGACACAAGGAGCCAGCCTTCATTTCCTTTGTTACTGAAGGCTGAAGATGGATGACAAGGAAGGGGAACCTTTAGCTCTTCAGATGTTTTGATTTCAACATCTAGAAGACCTAGCTACCATGAGTAATGGTGAGGGATTATGGGAACCGCAACCCAAAATATTTGGAGGATTGACAGTTCCCCAGCCCTGGTATATGGTGTGGGCTGACTCCAGCCTGGCTAGAGGCTTGGTTCTTTTTCCACACCTGAGTGATTGATGTGATTTGATGTTGTGTCTTTTCCACTTTGAGCAGCCTCTTCTGCTTTCTGATCGTGCTCCTTTGATTCGCCTGTCCCTTCACCCCTTGAGGAAAAAGAACTAGGCAGCCTTGTAGGAGCCCAAACAGAAAATGCTTAGAGGGAGTGCTCTCAGTAAGGAGTATTTACGGTTACTAGATTTGCACAGTGTTCCTAAGCAACATGTTTTCCTATCTAGGAAGAAGAGTTGGAAGCTTTCCTGTGACATAATCTGTCTTAGTATCAGTGTAGGGATGGTTAATATGAACAAGGGGAAAATGTCAGGCAAGCATCAGTGTGTGTGTGTGTTTATGTGGAAATGCATTGGGTTAATGCTTTTGCTTTGCCGTATAAGTGTCTCCAAATGTGACTTTACTATGCTTCCATTTTGCTTTGAGCAGGCATGTGCAAATGTGTCTGTGCTTTGCCTTTGCGTCCGCCATGCTACACTAACCCTTTGCTTGCTGACTGTGTTTTTGTCTGTACAGGGGATTGAGCTAAGATACTGCTGGCCTCCGGGTCACTCTAGCCAGACAACTTGGGCAGTTGCCTCTGCTTCCAGCGCGACTGAACAAACCACGCTGGCAAGGCTTGGTGGCTCTTGCCCCCACCCACAGGATGGCCAGCGCCGAGACTCACCTGGACCCATGGGGCCTGGTTGCAGCTGAGGGGAGTGGGACACCGTGGGTGGGAGAGTAGTTCTGTGCTCTCTTTAGCTGTGTGAGCTGAACTGAAACCTGTAGCCTCTTCTTAGTGCTTGGGCAGGAAGTCTAAATCCAAAGGAGTCTCCCTGTGATCTATTTTGGGGCATATAATCTCAGTGGTGGCACCATGGCTGCACACGAGGCACTACACCTCTTGGTGCCAGTGGCGTCCAGTACCCATACCGGCATCCATTTATGTCTGGCTTGAACTGTGGCCAATGTGTGGTGCTCTCTGTTTCCTCCGTGTGTCCATGTCTCCTTGCCCCTGTTTGCACACCCCTGGGGGCAGAGCACTAAAGTGTCTTCTCCGTATCCAGCCTCTCTCGGAGCTTGTGCTCCCCATGGAATCCAAACACACTAACATGAGGCAGCTTTATATAGATATATATAAGGCCCAGTTTAGGCCTTGCTGTCCTCAAACCCCCCCAAAAAATCTCAGCCTTGCAAGAGTCAGCACCCTTATCTGCACGAAATCTCTGGACAGCACAAACTCACTGAGAAGGGACCTTTTGCCTGGAGGAGTGTGGGATAGAGGGTGGCTCAGGGAAATAACGGGAGTCCATTTGACATGAGTCTTCTGGGCTTAGGAGTATCTTTAATGGAGGAGGCCAGGGATGTAGTTCCTTACCATCATTGTGTCCCCCTCCGGGAGGGTCTCACAGGGGCTGGGCAATAGTGAACCCCGTTTTTTGTAGATGAAATAAAGTCTGTTTGTTTGGTAAAAGTGCTGTGTGGTTTGTTCCTAGCACAGAATCCTGTTTACCTCTTCCCCGTGTTCCTTTCTTATCAACCTTATCTTGCTCTTGTGTTCTCTTCATTCCATCATCTTTTCCTTTAGGTTTAATTTGCTTCAGATTATGGCTGCCTTCTTCTTTGCCATCATTCATTTCCTGTTGCAATGGTTGAGTGCCAGCTTTCTACAAAAAAGATTTTCCAAATGTGCATTTCAAATCTCATCTCTAATACATCATTGTAGTGAAAAAATACAATAATCAGTAGATTTTTTGCTCCGATTTGCCCTAAATTGCTAGTCTTGAAGTGTCTTAAATTTAGACACCCATGACTGTCCTTTGAGGAGAGGAAAAGCATTATTGGAAAATCAAAGCAACATATTATTCTGTGAACTCAGCTGAGTTCTTTCAGTTGTATATCACGGTTCAACATTATAGCTATCGTTTTTTAGATCATATTTTTTCCACTCAGTTAATTCTAATGGTATTAGGTGTTTGCAGTGTAGTGGAAACAGGAAGCGTTGGTTATATAGGCTTCCTCTTCCTTTACATCTTGCCCATCAAAGGTCAGCTGTAGAGGCAATGACATCAGTTTCCCCTGTTCGCTGCCCAGCTCTGGGTGAAACCCATGCCTTACATATACTGTTGGAAAGTGCAGAGGTCCTGGCTTTCTATATCAATTATGCTAATTCCATGGCAGAATAGAACATGAACATAGGTGGGAATGTTTTGTAGTGAGGAACCTGCAGCTGTAAATGAGTCAGTATTAATGAAATCCACCTTCACCCTAACTTCATTATGAGAAATCCAGGAGAGTCATAAGCACATGGCATGACAATTACCAGCAGGGCTGGGGAGGGAATCCTAGCTTATACTTTTGTTAACAGTCAAAAAGATAGTGGGCAGCTTGGCAACTCCACTTAGCCATGAATATCCACAACATGCTTTCCTCTCATCTTTTCCCTTCTGCCCTGCATCTTTCCCTATTTTTTGTTACATTGCTCAGAGACACATCTTTCTCTCTTTTTTCCGTTTCCTCCTCCCTTCCCCTCCTTTTCCCCAGTGCACCCTGAGACAAAGTCCTTGGCAGTGCTGGCCCCCCTGCAGGACGTGGTGGTGGGGGCTGGGGATGCAGCTATCTTCGAGTGCCTGGTGACTGGCCCACCGGATGTGGATGTGGACTGGCTGTGGCGGGGGCGCCTGCTCCAGCCGGCCCTGCTCCAGTGCAAGATGCATTTCGATGGCCGCAAATGCAAGCTACTGCTTACCTCTGTACATGAGGATGATAGTGGTGTCTACACATGCAAACTAAGCACAGCCAAAGGTAAGGAAGAAGGAAATGCTGCTACACGGATTGCAATTGAGGTGATCTTGGAGAAAGAGGGTGCACAGAGATCAGTCAAGGGCTTGGACTGCCAATTCTCCAAGCAGCCACTGTTCCCATGCCTTTAGCAGCAGAGTGTTAAACTGATTATTACTCCGCCTCATATATGGTCAAACTTAAATTGCTTTTTCCTCCATATTAAGTGCTGTTCAAGGTATAAGAGAAGGCTTGTGTAGAGTTTTCCCCAAATCAGCAGGCAAGTTATTTGCAACAAGGTCACTGCCCTGAAATAATCTTGGACGTCTGTTAGTGCTGACATTGTACATATAGATCTCACTACAGGTCCCCCTCACCTGCTTCTCTTTGGGTGGCCATACAGATGGCAGGGCCTTGATCCCAAAGTTTAACACTAGCTAGGTCACTGGGCTGTGCTTGTGTGTTGCTTTTACCATTTTCCAGTAGACTCAAGGTGACATATACAATATAGTAGCTTTCTTCCTCACTTGATTCACACAATCATACAAGGTAGGTCATGTAAGAGAGTATGACACCCGGTGAGTTTCATAGCTGATCAGGAATGTCATCTAGTCCAACATTGATTACTGCACCATATTGCTCTTTATCTGAGATTCGTCTAAGAACTATAAATCCCAGAGTTCATGCTGATGTTGTTTATGGATGAGTGAGAAGAGCCAGTGGGCGGTGGCATTTCCTAGTGGGAAGAAGACACAACAAGTATTGTTTGAATCATGACCCTAGAGACTTCAGGGACTGTAGGAGCCTACGTTGGATAGGATTTACAGGCCCCAAAAGTGTGTGTGTAAATCTGATATATGGTTTTCACAGCAGATAAAAGAACTGATGCTAAATGACAGAAATATCTTCTAAAGGATATCTGGTGCACTTCTATGGTGTCTGGGTAGCTGTTTCCAAGTTCTCAACAATCTAGCAGGGCCTGTTTCTGAAGCCCATTCTGTCTGCCCTGTGCCAAAAAAGGTGTCTGGCACCTGCCACCCATATTTTTCACAATGTCACAGCATGCCACTACATGGAGATGGTGGCAAGTATACATCCTGGCTCCTTGGTCCCAATTTTCAGGCACTGCTGTTTCTGCTAAGTAAGCTGGAAGAAACCCACAAAGAATATGTTCCAACAGAGGGTAGTTTATGCAGAGCCCCTGAAATGTGAAACAATTGTCCATTTCTCGTAGGCAGCTATTGAATATTTCTGCCTTGGAACCTATGGGCTTAAGTGTTCATGCTCTACATGACTCAAAAAAACAAAACAGAAGATTTAGTAAATAAATTTACACAGTGGTTTCACCTCATCTTGGCACAGAGGTAGAGTGTGCAATGGAAAGTTCTGTATCATAAATGGGTGAGGGCCTAGTTTTGTCAAAACCTTGACACTGAAAGATCCCACTTCTTATTTACTGCTGGATAGCTCAGTGATTTAAATTTTAGATAACTGGCCGCGAGAGCCAAAGGCTGGGAGTTTGACTCCCCATTGTTCCTTCTTGACAGAGTTTGGACTTGATGATCCACAGAATATTTTCGAGTTCTGCAGTTCTAAGATTATTATTTTTATTATTTTACTTCTTTAGAAGCTTAACAACCCCTTCCTTTTAGTGCAGCTCTGTGACTGGAAATGTTAAAGCTTCCTAATTAGACCTCACACATAGTTTTGAAAAGCACAAGAACATTTATTGGGCTGGCAGTGTAGCTAAGCAAAGTATGAATGAATGACCGCAAATCTGCTCTGCGTGAAGGCCTATCTTTACATTTATAAAACAGGAACAAATAACATATGCTATAGCAAACATATGTTTCTTATCATTTTAGGGAACAGCACTTCTAAACAACACTAAATTTGTCATTTAGTTTGGCCTATTGTCTAGCATAGATCTAACCCTGATCTAGCCATGGGTTAAGGCTTAGATATGTATTTACCTCAAAGCAATGGAAGCAAACACATATGCCATTTGGTGTGAAACAAAGTGGGAACAGTACAGACTCTACCACCTGAGCAGTCCAGGGATACATTTTTATTCCGTGATGGACCAGGTGTTGGTGGGTTCCAGTTTCTCCAGCCTCCCACTTCATCTTCTTTTGGCTGAGAACTGTGGCCCCAGAACCATCCAGCAGGCAACGCTTTGGGTTCTCATTAGGCATTGCTTCTTTCTTGGCAAACCTACCTTAGAAAAACAACTGCCTCCAGAAACACTATCTGAAAATTGGCTCGCTAACCCCAGTGTCTCAGCAATTCCAACTTTAGTAGGCAAACAGATATTTACTGGGGCTATGAACAGCTGAATAGGCTGAGAAGAACAGAGAACAAGATGCAGGCAAACAATGTAGAAAAGCTCTGTAGTTTTTCCTTGCCAGATCCATTCACATTCCCTTTTATTAAAACCCTTTATTTTGTCAGGCAACGGCCACCAGTCATTATCACTACATGGTACCTCCACAGTCAGAGGCAGCATGCCTCTGAATGCCAGTTGCTGGGGAACCTGTGTAAGGGAGGCTAAGGGCTATTATATTCAGGCCCTGTTTGCAGGCTTTCTTTAGCATTTTGATTGGTCACTGCAGGAGACAGGATGCTAGACTGGATAGGCCTTTGTTCTGGTCAGCAGAGTTCTTATGTTGTTACACCTGGACTTCAGGTAAGACTGAAATGTTTCAGTCATTATTGATTTCCAGCTATTGGCAAATCTGCATCCATTGCAGACATTCATAGACTGGGAAAGCTACTAAAACTTCTGAAATCTTCTACATAGCATAGGAATCTGGGAGCTGTAGGCCAAAAGAATGTTTTCTAATCTCTTGGTAACTTTACTGGGATATTACTACAAAATGAGCAGAGGAAAAACACCCCACCCAAGTTTATTTATTTATTTATTTATTTATTTAATTTATATGCCGCCCACACTACCCAAAGGTCTCTGGGCGGCTTACAGCATTTAAAATACAATAAAGATATGTACAATTAAAATACAATTAAAATACAATTAAAATTGATATCAGACCCACAGCTAATATTATTTCAGTTAAAAAGCCTTCTGGAACAGGAAGGTTTTGACCTGGCGCCGAAATGTCATCAGCGTCGGCGCCAGACGAATCTCAGTCGGGAGGGCATTCCATAGTCTGGGGGCAGCTGCCGAAAAGGCCCTTTGTCTGCAAGCCGTCCCTCTTACCTCCTTGAGGGACGGCTCTTTCAAAAGGGCCCCCTGGCTACCCGTGAATACTGGTTAATTAAGAGAAGTACCTGTGACCTGACCCAGTCCTCTCTAGGGACTATTCATCTCCCCATTATGAGATGAAGCAGGTGAGGTTTCTTTGGAAACACTAAGGTCTTTTATTTATAATTTTGACAACAATTCTATATGAACAACAACAGGCGGGTCCTCTTGCTTCGTAGGTTTCCCTTGAACAATAACATCAGATTATTATTAATATCAGCTTCAGGCCTCACACATTGAGGGGATAGTACACCCAACCTCCAGGATTCTCCCAGACTTCGGTTCCTGGGGCTTTTTGTATACTCATCTGGAAGGAGCTCGTCCCGCAACACGTCCCAGGGGAGCTGTGCCTTTCTAATGTCTCTCTATTATGAGCTTCCCTGGCTCTTAGTTTCCACTCTTGCTTCCTTCTTTGTCTTTCCTCAGTCTCTCCCCAACAGGGTGGTTTCTGGGGTACCTTACTGCACCATTGTTGCTCACTGATACTCTCTAGGTATCTGGAACTGCACCCATTTGCCCATCCATGGATCTTCTTTTATGATATAGGTTCCACCCTTTGGGCAGTTCTCCCTCCTTCTCTGTCTTTCCCTAACAGCTCTGGGCCACCTCTCCTTCTTCCTCCGGCCATTGCATCAACCAACCCCCCTCTTTCTTCCTCTTCCCTTTTTTTTATCCTCCTTTCCCACCTGAGTCATCTCCCCCCCCCCTTCTTTGGCTCATTTCTTGGGCTTTTTCTGTCTTCTGTTTAAATGTCCTTCTCTTTCCCACCTTTTCCAGCTGTTGTGTATGGCTCCTCCATTTCTCTCTTTCTTGATGGGCATGGGGACAGCACACTCCCAAGGAGGCCTTCCTCCTTGCCGCTCACGGTACCTTTTTGTCAAAATACAGGGAAGGCAAAAGTCAAACGCCTAAATGAAACGCCTAAATGGTCTTGAACCTCAGTGTCACACCTTTGTTTTCTGTTGTCATGCCTTCTGCCATAGACAACAGCCCTGCTCTCTCATGCTAGCTCAGGGAAGGAAGAGGTCCTCTTGTTTTTAGCTAGGATGTCACAGTTGCCATCCTATAAATGCCTGTGAGCATAAGAGGACTGTGGCTAGCAGCAGTCCTACTTCAAAATCCCCTGACACCACAGGTCTCTGAACCCTTTGGGGGTTTGTACAACTAACTGTGTGCCCAAAGGGGCAGTAGAGGCTGATAGTCAAGAGTTCTTTGTCTTGTCTGTTCTGTTGTTTCCAGAATTACAGACAAATAGTCTCAATCTTGCCTCCATTTCCTTCCACACCTCTCTTCCTCTCTCTTTTCTGAGTCGTATATTAATGAGTAGCAGACCCCATCTTTCTTATAAATGTGGGTCTCTAATAGACATCTTTCTCTACTGAAAATGGTAGTTTGTTGAATATTCCAAACACTAGCTTCCGTACCAGGTAACATGGAAGAGTTCTGTGAGTGGCCTAGAACCTGATATGGCATGGAAGAGCTTTACAGTATTTGTGACTCACTCCCTGCTCCCATCTCTTTCTAGAAGCCATATACCATAGCCACTATGTGGCAGTAGTGGTGGTCTGTTTTGTTGTTGCTGTTGTTTTTAAACACTTTTGAATGTAAGTAAGTTTACAATCTTTTTGCAAGAACGAACACATTGGTGCAAGAGATGGGGAGTCAACAATCCAGGAACATGGGCAAAGGAGACAGTTATAGAGGCACTGGCAAATGACAACAGCCAAGTCAGGAGATGGCAACACGGATGGAGGACGGTGCAAGGACACTTGCTTAGGAACAGTGAGGAGGCCATAATCCATTTGTGCCTTCAGCTCAGTTTAACTTTTCCTTCCTCTAGACTGGCTGGTTTCTTGGGAAAATGTGTGTCAGAGCATCCTACTTCTCTGAGTTACAAATAGTTCAGGGAGTTCATATGAATCCAGCGTTTCTTGTCCCACCCTATATACTAATTTGTATTTAGTGTCTAAGACGATGAACAAAGATGAGTGTTGTCAGTAAATAAATTGGTATCTTGAGAAGGACAAGTGAAAAAAAATTGCAGAGACAGAAATTAAATACAAAAAGCAGTTTCTTATTGGATTCATAGATTATTTGATTTTAAATTTATAAATACTACACAAAAAAAGAATGTGAGTCTCCCAGTTCATCAACCTACACTGAGGAGTCAGCAGGAAATATGATGAACCAAGATAGCTTTCACTGATTGAATTGTTAGGGATGTTGGTGTTGGCAAATCCTTCCTGTATATCTCATGGTTTAATTCAATTTGCACCCAACTAGAACAGGTCCATTGAAATCAATGGGACTTAAATTACTGTTGACTAGCAAATCCCATTTGTTACTCTAGTTGAGATTAATATTAGATTTAGTGTCCATGTGACTCCTTTTTCTGTGTTGAAGTCTGATGGAAAACAACTGTCCCTGTTTTTTTTAGTAAACACGATTGACTCTGCTTTGAGCTGCATGGCACCAGCTTCCATCTGTCTTCCACCCAGGAAAGGATCTAACTCCTTCTTCCAAGGCAGTTAATCAATTAGGAAGCAGGAAACAGACAGGTTCCCAGGGTGTAGTGATTAGGGCCATCATATAATGATGTTACAAAATATCTGTAATTCAATTCAATATTTTACTTCCTGATGCCGCGAAATCCTAGGTGGTTATAGTTTATAATTTAATTGGACAAAATGGGATTGGAAAAGAAGTGAGAGCAGATAAAAATAAAAATGATCTTGAAGGGCTGTTTAGAAACTAGGACTAGACATACAACACTTAGGGTATGGCTAAGCAATTTGATTCACACCTTGCATTATGTCTGAAATTGCAGTCAGTGCTCCCGGAGGGGCTGCAGATTTGGGAGTTCAGTGTTCATACTGGATGTAATAAGATGCACATTCCAGCCCACAGCCCCCCCCCCTTCTTTCCTTTCTTCCTCTGGTGCTACCTCTGCTGATCTGATGGGGAACAGTTGGGGGCATAGAAACAGGAAATAATAATGGTGACCCAGAATAAGGTGATAGGGTGATCTAGGACTACTCTCATATATGTAAAAAAAAATAATTAAAAAAATTCAGAGGACAATTGTGAGAAAGGAAATAATGCAGGGGTGTATTCTCTGGTCCTGAACATCACACCACAACTGTCTACATCACTGAAACACTGCTACAGGCAGGCCGAGCCACCCCACCCCATCTTTACGAGACAATATCACAACTGCCCTCATGGGGAAAAAAGCCTATTCAAGTTGTTCCAGCTTGAAAAAAATAGAAGTCCCACCCCCCTGGTAGCAAAAAAAAGGTGCTCTGAGAGGAAAAAGGGCTGGAACGATTCAAATTCAGTCTTTGCATCATGCGGTCAGTAAAAAATACTTCAAATTCACCCATTTTATAAGCGGAGCAAACTCACAATATTTGACCATGTAGTTGCAGCCTTAGTAAGGCAGTTTCACCACTGTTGCCTGAGTTTCACACACTGTAGACCTCATGCAAACAGTGGGCTAAGCCACCCCACTTTCCTTGTTCAGCTCTGTGGTACCATTACTTAGCTTCACGGGTCTCCACCTTGGGGCAGAGGTTCCCTGTGGAGCCAACTTCACTCAGCCTCACCTTCCCCATCCTAAAGTTGCCAGCATCAGCAGCATCCCATTCCCTGAGGACAATCCCTTCTGAAGTCTGATAGGTGACTTTTTTTGATACCACAGAGGCAACGGTTGGAAATGGAGCTGAATCTGCTTCTGGGCCACTTGGCTGTAGACATGGGCAGAAGGAAAATAGGGCTAGAATGACCGGGGGGGGGCAGTTAGCAGATTACAGGGAAAGTTCTAAGTTGCCCTGTTATCTGCTAAGTATTTTTTCCACCTGGATTCTAGCCCTATTTTCCCAGATTTTCCTTCTGCCCTGGGCAACTTAGGATGTAGAATGGTTGTTGTGGGTTTTTCGGGCTCTTTGGCCGTGTTCTGAAGGTTTTTCTTCCTAATGTTTCACCAGTCTCTGTGGCTGGCATCTTCAGAGGACAGCACTTAGGATGTAGAACTTTTTCAGCAGCCAGCAGTTGCTGTCACTATTGCTGCTAGGCCTGATATCCTGTCCTGCTTTATCTGCAACACACATCAGACAAACTGGGACTTTTCTAACCCTCTGTCACGTTCCCGGGGGTTACAATAGCCGAAGTCCGATAAACCAGTCCAAGGTCAGAGATATTAAGAATGCAAAGCCAAAGTTTCGAAACCAACTTACAGAGTGAAGTCCAATGTCAAAGTCCAGGGTCCGATACACAGTGTAGTTCAGGGTCAGAGTCCGGAGTTCAGAGTCCAATGCCAGCGCAGTCCAGGGTCAAAGTCCAGAGTTCAGAGACAGGAACAAGATGCAAGAGACGTGGATCCCAGCCAAGGTCTTGACTCCTTGCTTCCACGAAGTTTCTGCCTTCACTGGAAGCTTGTTTTATAATGAAACAGCTCCTTGAGCTGCTGGAAAGCTTTCTATTCTGCTAGTACTCAGGACTAGATGAACGTAGGTCTCTGTGGAAAGCCTTTGAGCAATCCTCTGCTCTTCTTGTCCTGAGTCTTTCCCAATGAGATGAGGGGAGATGGACGCACAGGTTTGAAAACCACCTCTCACATAAAAATCAAACACCATGAAGTGTCATTTGCCTTCAGAGTTGCTTCCCAGGGTGCATTCCCATAGTTCTTTTGATCTACTTTTGCTTCCAATCAAGAGTGCTTTTCACATTACTGAAAGAACACAAACATCTGCCAAACCTGTTTGCTGGAGGCGATAGTGGCATGAACAGGCACATCACAATAGTGGTCCCTCTTTCAAACTGCCTTTTACTTTATAAAAAGAACCCTGGTTTGTCCCTTGCCTCATTCTTTTAGCAGTGATAGTGGTGCAGCTGTTTTAAGTTTACTGTTGCATTATCTTGTTTCCAAAGTTTTACATACACTGCCCTGGGAACACCTTTGCTTATGAATGAGCAGTACAGAAACCTTGAAAACAAATTTAGGAGCCACTCTTATGACTAGTGAGGCCCACAAGCAATGGCTGCTCACGCAGGCCAATGCTTTCTATTTACATCTTCTCTTTCAGACATACTCAAGTGTCAAGGCAGAGATGTCAGAGCACAGCTTCTAAACCATAAAACACATGTTGTAGGGCAGAAGGAAGGAAGGAAACCTCATGCTTACCTATGCAAAGAGATTATTGGATTCTGTTACTTTAGACAAGAAATCAGAGGCTGTCAGCATGTGGGAAAGCCGTCCGATTCCAGCCACCTGCCAGCTCAGCTCCTTTTCCTGTAGCAGCAACCTAACATGAAAATATGTAGGGGAAGAAGCTTTTCCTGGCATGGAGATCAAGTGAGGAGAAAAACTGACAGCCTGATTTATGGGTGTCAGAAGATATGTTCTTAAATGCACAAAGTAGGGAGGCTTTGTGGAAGGAAGCCAGTTTGATCCATAGGATGACATAATCACAGTTTCTGCAGAGAATGGGAGGGATTAGGAAGCAAATGCAACCTTGAGCCAGTTTCTTTAGGACTGAGGGACGTAACAAGAACAGCTTTACTTATGTTAGGCCAAAACAAAATTAAAATTAAGAAGATAACAGTGCTGTGGCCCCTTAAAGATTAACTGCTATGTTTTAATGGGAGTTTTTGTGGAGAAGGCCACTTCTTCAGGTAAGGCCAGGCTTCCTCAGATTTGCCCATGAAAGCTCACATTGAACTATAGCAGTTATTCTTTAAGGTGCCACAGTGCTTTTGTATTCTTTTTTTATTCTTCTTTTGTTTTTTGTCTGACATCCTAGCATAGACAAACACGGCTACCTCTCCTAAAGCTTTACTAATGAGGTCTTTGTAATTCTTCATAATTTTCTTAATATCCCAAGCTAGTTCTCACAGCACATACCTTTCCACAACCATTGAATTGGCAACAGTGTTAGAAGTGCTGGTCTCATAATCCGCTTTCTTTACCTGATTATCTTACTATGTTGACATTTTTAGAAGAGAAGGGAAGGCTTTTCCAAGTCCCCTCTCTTTGCTGCTAACCAATCATGATCAACCATGCCTTACAGATGAGCTGACGTGCAGTGCCAAGTTGACTGTATGGCCTTCACGCCAGCCACTCTTCACCCGCAAACTGGAGGCTGTTGCTGTTGTGGAAGGACGTGCAGCACGGTTTGACTGTAAGATCAGTGGGAATCCTCCGCCAGCCGTCACCTGGACACGCTTTGGTAATTATTCTCATTAGGAGTGGATGATAATTTCATTTAGTTCATTTTTACATCAGAACTTCATAAAAATTGCAGAGTTCTTCCTAAATATAACATAAAGGACTTGGGAATTAGAAATCTCAAATGTAGAAGAAAATGTAAAAGACACACACACATCTAGGCTTTGAGTGCTTAGGCCCTGAATGTTTTGCTTTGAAACGTTTCGCTACTCATCCAAGTAGACTGAAGAAGCTACTTGGATGAGTAGTGAAACATTTCAGCCTAATAAGAAAGAAGTCCAGTTGCCATGACTCAACTTCCAGACGCCTTGTCAGTAGTACCTTCATTGTAAACAGGTATAATGTGATTTTATGTATTTGGAAATGCTTAATACTTACTGATTTTAGCTTGTGTAGAGGGCTGGACATTTCTTTTGGTCTAATTTTGAAAAGAACTTGCAAAGTTTGCAATTTTTTCCATAAATCTGGAAGGAAAAACCCTTCACCCCGACAGCAGAAGAGAGCAGAATTGGCAGCTTTATCCATCCACAGACTTTGCTTACAGGATATTCTACAACCAGCTATCTTGGCTTTGGTGGGAGGTCAAACCAATATGGAACTCTTGCCCACCTGTTCATGCCAGCCTTTGAGAGGCTGAGGTAACAGAGTTCTTCATTCACACATATTTAGCTGGCTTTATTACATACGCAGCTCCCAGTGTCAAACCTGGCTGCTATTCTGAGTGAAATGGCCATGTTTTTGATCAACAAGTGCTGCTGAGTGAAATTTCCCATATTTGCAATGAGACTGGTGTGTGGCACAATGTGGCCTACCTGCACTAATATACCTGCCTATCTGGGAGGAGGTAAGGATAATCTATCCTCTTGGTGGCTTCCATCCTTCCTTCCCCTGTCTTGGTCCAATCATTAGGGCCATGGTGGGGAATGTATGGTCTTCCAGAAAATGAGCTGCAGCTCCAGTCAGTCTTATCTTGGATAGGCAATAGCAAACGATGCAGGGAATTGCAGTTCAATAACAGCAGGAAGATCGCATGTTGCCCATCCCTGCATTGGGGCTAATGGCAAAGTCTCTGTTTCATGGTAGAAGGGAACCTCTATCTATAGTCTCCACCCTTCTGGACAAGGTTCTGACTCTGATATGTTTGATGCAGGTCAATCGGTGCAAGAAGGGGAAACTGTCCGTATACACCAGGACAGGGGGCTGTACTCTCTGATCCTCCTGCATGTGACCTCCGAGGATGAGGGTCAGTACGGGGTGAGTGCTGTCAACAAGCATGGCCGAGCTGACTGCACTGCAGACCTGTATGTGGAAGAGCCGCGTCCAGCAGCCAGCTCCCAGATGTGAGTGTGAGGGGGGGCAGCTTGTAGAAACACGCCATTGAGTGGCGGGCACAGCCAACAGCCACTACCGAGAGAGACGTTCTTGTACTGGTTTAGTGTAACCTAATGACCTCCTATTTAACTCATACAAAGTACTGGTGTTCTGTTTTTGTTTTGTGTTGTGTTTTTTTCGGGGGGGGGGCACATTTAAGACCTCGGCCATTAAAAATCCTCCCAACCAAAAGAATCATGTTCTTGATTTACTGGGCCTTCTAACTACTCATTTTAAAACTGGCCTTGGCCAATGGTAGGCAATGAGTAGCTGCAAGGTACCCCTGTATAGTAATGGCAGTTGTGAGGCAGGCGTTCCTTCAGATGTTCTGGAGCACAACTCCCATCGCTGGTGATGCTGGAGGTTCACAGTAGTTGTGCACTGCCTCAGCCCTAGGTTGGGGAAGGCTGTCATATATTTTGACCGGCAATATTTCAAAATGCTTTGCTATGTTGAAGATAGCCTATCCCATGAGAGAGATAGAAATCTTATTTGGGGAACAGAACTCCTAAACTTGGAAGGCACTTTGCATTCATGAGAACCAGATCCATTTGCTGTTCTCAGTGACCCAAGCTGATGGCCAACTCCTTGGAATGCAAGCTGGCTTCTTGCCCAAAACAAGTAGACTCCCCAACAAACAGGCACACACAAAGAGGAAGGAGAGAGTCTTGCATCCCATTTGGGACTGGACTTTGTTCACTGCCTTCACCGGCTTTCTCAGGGTATTCTGTTCCTGTTATCCACTTCCAGGTTTTATAAAAGCTCATGCTCTTCAGAGTACAAATTCCCTGATGCTTCAGCAACTATAATTAGCATGTTTTAAAGGAGAGACACTAGCTAGACAACATAGAGGCATTTGATATTAAGCCTAGTTGAATTGATTATGTTAAATATACCAAAACAACAGCAACCCCACATTACAATTACAGTAATCACTTATAACAGAAAATAACAGATACCTCTGGCACTGCATACTAAGAGTTGTCTAATTGTCCAGGAGAATAAGAAGTATTAACCAAAGAGCCAAGATGTAGGTTTGATTACACAGACACCCTAACTTTCATTAAAAGCAAACATTTTCCAGTCCTCTTAAGTGTGAGCAAAGTCCTGAGCCAGTTTCCACTGTTATAAGTTCTATGGATATATTACTCAATTTAAGGCGGCCAGCCTATTGCCCCATGGATACCCAGAGTTGTTTGCTTAGCTATGGGCTGCCTACTGTTCAAAGACAGTGCAGAGGTGACCAATATCTTCTATGTTAGACTGTTATAAGTTCTTCTTTGTAAAGTTGTGGGAGAGAAATTTATTCCCTGGGTAACTTTGCTGGATTGAGCTTTCTTTGCATCATTGCTGATCTCTGCACTGGCTGTCAAACTCATTGTTTAGGCATCCATTTCCCTTATCTGACCCTCAGCCAGCCACAGCAAGGGGAGTCTGATCCAGCATAGTTTCCCTGCAATCACTCCGTCATCTGCATCTATGTTATTTTTTTCATAGCCCCGTCAGGATCACTTGATTTCCCATTTTTAATACAGTCTTCAATTTGCCTCGTGCTTCTTCTCCCAGGGGAAGGTTTACAAGAAACTCCCCTGTGGGTTTTTTTTCCCTTTGCTATGGCATATTTTATTGAGAATCTTGCCTGTGTGCTTATTCCTCCGAGGCATGATTATGATTTGCATAAGGAGCTGGCTTCTTCTGTGCTCACAGGGCATTGAAAACGTATACTTCCTGTGGCCGTGTAATCGTCTCTCATGAGCTGTGACTGGCCAGAAGGGCTCCATGCTCATGAGATCCCCATGGCAGGGGGGGGGGTTTGGCTGCCACAGTTTTGATCTCTCCCCTGTCCCTATTCCTTGTAGCTCCAAGCTGGAAAAGATGCCATCCATCCCTGAGGAGCCAGAACAAGGCGAAAGTGAAGTGGAACGCTTTACCATGCCTGACTTTTTGCGGCCACTGCACGACCTCGATGTAGTAGAATCCAAGGAGGCTGTGCTGGAATGCCAAGTTGCTGGGCTGCCTTACCCCACCATCACATGGTTCCACAATGGCCGGCGCATTGAGAGCACTGATGACCGCAGGATGATGCAGTGTATGTGCCATCCCTTGGGTTTCCCCACATATATGAGAACTTCCACAAGCAACAGGCTTGGCTACAGAGTTTTGAGGGGGGCTCTTGGGCAAGGTAACTGGCTGGATAGCTCCGTGAGTTAGGTATCTGGCTGTGGAGTGAGAGGCTGGGAGTTCAGTTCCCACAAGAGCCAGCCTGTGTGGTTCTGGGCAAGCTGCACAGTCCCAGGATGTCCCCAAAGGAAAGGAATGGTAAACCACTTCTGATTACTCTTTACCTAGAGAACCCTGAAAAGGGTCACCATGTGTCAGAATTGACTTGACAGCTCAGAATTGACTTAGGCAAGGTATCCCCTCTGGGCCCACCACTTTTTGGCTTGCTAGTTTCCTGACAAATCTTGCTATTGGTCTAGGTCCTCAGCACCTATGGGGAGATGAGTAGCAAATGGGGGAAGGAGGTAAGACCTGCAAACTCTTCTAATCCCTTTTTGCCACCACGGTTGCCACCTCTCCAGCCTTGTTGTCTTGCTTCATCCCTTCTCAGCCAGAGAGACAGGACAGACAAGGTAGCAGATGGCTGAGGAGAGAAATCATGTTGTGTCAGGGTATCTGGGGCCTTTGTAGGGCCATAAGCAACAGTACATGCTTGACCATGTCAGCCTCTGATCCCAGCCTTCTGAGTGCACCAATTCCAACAGAGTGTGCTAAAAGAAGGCAATACCAAGTCAAAATAAAGTGTTAAATTTACTGGTGCTTGAACCAGAATATCTAAGTGGCATTTATCCCTCCCTTAACCAAGGGACATGGGAGGGATCCATCAGAAAATTCTGCCAAGATTTGCCCTGACAGTGGCGAGACTGAGGCAAACACCTCAAGTAGCAATACTACGGATAGTGACATCAACACTCTGGTTATTCCCCTTGCCCTTCCTCTGGCTATTCTGCTCTCTGGGAAAACTCAGCAATGTGTGCCATTAGCTTATCAGATTCTAAATTAATATGCTGGCCTTGGATGTGAAAGATAATGCAATCCTGTAAACAGTGTTGATGTAAGATTTTAACAGAAATTTCTGTCAGCTTCTCTACATAGAATGATGGTGGGAGCCATCTTGTTCTTTGCCTCAGGTAGCTAAATATCTTGAGCTGGCCCTGGCTCGAGGACAGACTCCATAGAAAGGAACACATGCTCATTTTGGAATAGTTTCCCCTCAGGTTTCCATTAATTCTGCACTGGCTGCTAATGCTATACCAGTCAAGAAACATTATTGAGCCATTCTGGTTTTCTCTCCTTAATGAATGAGTTAAAAAAGATAGAAGTGGTAGCAATAAAACACAGGAAGGTTAAAACTAAAACATGTACATACATACATACATACATACATACATACATACATACATACATACATACATACATACATACATACATACATACATACATACATACATACATACATACATACATACATACAACCCTACTGTCTCATTCACAGAGATTTATAGGGGTTACATATGACATAATCATGTTTTAGTTTTAACCTTCCTGTGTTTTATTGCTGCCACTTCTATCTGATCCCACTTCTATATATATATCCCACCCATCTGGTCTACACGACCACTCTGGGCGGCTTCCAGTGTAACATATATACAATAAAAAACAGAGAAATTTTACATAAGACATGCATCTGTTTGTTTTTGTGTTTGCTTTGGACTCCAACTCTTAGAATTCTCTAAGAACTCCTCAAGCAGAATTTGTGGAGATCCTGTTTACAAATACACACCTATCTACTCCTGTATTTCACTCACCTGGAACAGAATATACTTTTCAGGCTCTGTGGGTAGAATTCTGCCCCCGAATTCTGCCTGTGGAATCCTTAGAGAATTAGGAGAGTTGTATTCTTGAAGGCTTTCACGGCCAGGATCCGATAGTTGTTGTAGGTTTTTCGGGCTGTTTGGCTGTGTTCTGGAGTGTTTTTCTCCCTAACATTTCAGTTACGTAGGTCTCTGTGGCCGGCATCTTCAGAGGACAGGAGTTAGAACTCTGTGTTATGGTGTAGTGTGTGGGATAGCTGAGTATTAGGGAAAAAAACCTCTAGAACACGGCTAAATACCAAAAAAAACCCTACAACAACAATTCAGAGAATTGTTGTCCAAAAGATCCAAATGGCATATACCTGTGATGCTGGTTTATCGCACAGCAAAAGTACTGTTTATACGTACCCTCAGATAGACTATGCCCAACGCAGATTAGATTTGAGTGTGAGTATCTGTATATGTGTGTATGGGTGCATTTCTTAATTGAACCGAGAAGCCGACTGTGGAAATGTTACTTTTTAGGGACTACATCTCCCAGAATGTAGGGAGGGTCTAAGGAACTGTCCAAAAAAGGTAATGTTTCCAAGCTATGCTGAATATCTGTTGCCTGAGCTTAATGGCAGATTTTGCCTCACAGAAAGATGAAAAAGTGCCATGATGGCTGGGAGTACAGCCCTTGGGCTGTTGCTCCGGCATCACCATGACTCTAACTTCCACCTGTACCTACTACATCTGTGAGGCAGCACATCCTTACAAGAGGTTCTGTAAGTTTTCACCTCCTTCCCTCATCATACTATGTCTTACTTATTTTGAGAGTAACCTGTTTGTATGTTTGCACTTTAGCTGGCTATTGTCCAAAAATAAATATTGTGTCCTTCTTGTACAATGTTTTTTTCCTCAGCCCCTCACATTCATTTTCTGTTCCTCTCTTTTCCGCTCTACTTTGCAGACAAGGACATGCATCGTTTGGTCTTCCTCTCTGTCAGTCATGCCCATGCTGGGGTCTATAAAAGTGTAATTGCCAACAAAGTGGGCAAGGCCACCTGTTATGCACACCTCTATGTGACAGGTAAGGTGGGGAGAGAGCCGGGAAACCTCCTTTCAGCATCAGGGCACTGCTGTTCAGGACGATAGAAGCTGTATTTCAGAACACCAGGAAAATAGTTGAGAATTTAATGGTAGCTTTTGGAGTCTTTTGTAGTAGATTAGCAAGGATATCTGAGTCCAATTTGTTTAACAAGAGCAGCAACAAAACAATCCACCCCGTGCCCAAATTACACTGCTGAAATTAAAGGAGATGACCAGTAGTGGATTTTTCTGTAGAAAAGCTGTGATGTCAGTTCAGTTCCCTTACTCAGGGTAAAATCCTGGTTTCAGAATTGTGTAATTCTCCATGTCTTTCTTTTTCACCATGCTGCAGTTGGTGGATCTACTGGTTTTGGTAGAAAAATAAAGTAGAATCCAGTTGTCTGTCAGTGCCAGCTATAAAGAATAGGCAATGATGGTGTATATGTGTGTTAATGAATGTACTTTATAAGATACTGTATGTTTCCAAATGTTCAGTCTCACTAACACATTATATTTTAGGTGTGAATGTAGGGTTATTTTACCTGGAGTATCTATTCTCTTTGAAGTATTGGATATTATTGATATTTTTCCAGTGTTTTTCTTATTTCACTTTGTACAATGTTTTTTTTCCTTTGACTTCCTACTCCTCTCATTCCTCTTGAAAGCTTATTTTATTTTTAGTATCGCTTTGTACCAAGGGTGGTATTTAGGCAACTTGAGCTTCCCAGTCAGACATTTTCAGTTAGTGCTATGCTATCACTCAAAAACAAACAAGCAAGCAAAAACTGAGTAAAGAAGCTCATGTGTTAAAGATATCTGCAAGATTTCTTCAGGAATTTTAAAAATAAATGTTGATTTCTTAAAGAAAAGAGAAACGGATTTTTAAGGAGAAAGGCAGGGTAAAAATTGTAAATAATTAATTAATAAAATAGAGGTTTGGACACAATTTCTGAGCAACCCTGTGCTCAGGCTAGGTTTTGGCAGTAAATCACAGAAAGGAATGTCTCTATGGAACAAATGTAGAACTATTTTATTTTGAACAAGTTCTGTGTGAAGGGGTCCTGAGACAAGGCCAGAGTAATTTGTCCAATATTAGTCAGCCATGAAGATATCTTCCTGTAAAGTAAGGAACGTACCTTGAAAGACCAGATCTCCATTTCTTGAACCTCTTTATATGGAAGACCACATAATACCACTGAGTCCTTGAACACAGGGAAGTGACTTAAAATGCCAGCTCTGGTATAATTGGGTGGAGGAAGAGATAAGCAAAAACAGTTCTACTTAAAACATGACATTTGTTGTCTCTTTGTCTTCTACTGTATTCTCTGAAGCTGTTTAGCCTCCATGCTTTCTTCTTTTTACAGACGTGGTTCCCACACCCCCTGATGGACCACCCACTATAGTTGCTGTCACCGGTCGAGCTGTTACACTGAAGTGGAACAAGCCCAAGTGGCTGGATTCAGCCATTGGTAAGTAGACCCACCCTCAAGGCACGGAGGGCAACGTTGATTGGGAAAGAAAGCAGCATGCTATAAGGTAGACAGCAAGGAAAGTTGAAGAAGCCACAGAATCAGAGCCCTCTGGATCCTTGTTACTGTAGAGCCAAGCACAGATTAGGCTGCAGATCCTTCCACATAGTTGGATGCCCCTATTGAGCAGCCCTATTGAGCAGCTTTATGATTCATAGTTGGATGTCTCTGCTGGCAATTGTCACTAGGCAGATGTGTGCAATCTGGTGCTTAGAGTGCAAATAAATCCCCCACAAAATCGACAGCTGCCACTGATGAGTTCTACAACTCACTCACTCTGTATGCTGCCGGCAGAGAGGAGGGCATTATTTCAGTAATTTGTATATTGCCCAATTTAGTGCAGAGCACTACTGTGGGCAATTGACAGTAGTATAAGAAAGGTGGACAATAAGCTCCCACCCCCAATACACCTTCCCACCACCCTGATCAAATCCAGAACAAACCCAAATCCAACAAAATCCCACAACACACAAACCTATTGATGGCTAACAGGTAATTAATGCCACGGGAGAATCTCTCTCAAGGCTTGTTTGAAGTGACTGGTTTTTAACGGCTTCTGGAATGCTGGGAGGGAAGGGGCCAGACGGATCTATACAGGAAGGCTGTTCCAAAAAACTAAGTCTTCTCAATAGCAGACCTACGTTTCCCATGGATGCTTTCTTTGCTTCCCTCAGAGTGGCCACCTGTAAGAGACCAGCCTGGATAGATTGGGTGGCATGGACTAATGTTCTTTAGGGAAGGCACTCTGACAGCTAATGAATTTCCAGATCGTTAAGGGCTTTGTCCCTTAATACCAACACCCTAAATCTAGCTTGGGAAGGCACAGGAAGCCAGTGCTGCCACACCAGTACTGTGCATAGATGATCGAATTTTGCAACCCCAGTAATTAACCTGGCTGCTGCATTCTGCACCTGTTGCAGTCTCTAAGTCACCTTCAAGGGGAGCCCCATATAAGAAGCATCTCAATAGTCTTTGAGATCAACAGCACACGGGACAGTGTGGTCAAGTACCCCACCCCCATCAACATAGGAGTATAACTGGGCAATCAGACAAAGCTGATTGAAGGCTGACCTTGTCATGACCACTATTTGATGTGCCAAAGAAAAGGCTTCCATCTAAGATCACTCCCAAGTTACTCACTCTGTCCCTAAGAGGAAGAGTAAAACCGTAGGGAAGTAATGCTCTAACCTGTTTGCCACCCCAACCATTAAGACCTCTGTCAGTTTCAGCCTTTTCACCCTGGTCCATTCCAATATTGAACCCAACCAATGCTGCAGCACCTGGACAGCATCCACTGCAGAGGATGTGAAGGAGAGATAGAGCGATGTGTCATCAGCATACTGATGACAATGCACTCCAGAATTCTGGATGACCTTTCCTAACGACTTTACATAGATGTTAAAAAGCACTGGGGAGATAGACAACTCCTGAGGAATCCCACAGCTGAGCATCCACAAGGGCAGTAGCATTTCCCCAAACTGAACTCCCTGGACACTGCCATTGAGAAAGGATTTGAACAACCGCTGATCCCTGTGGTAAAAGCGTTCCTAAGAACTGCCTTTACACGAGACAGAGAGGGATTCAGAATGATCAGTCCCTATTGCCAGCAAAACCGGGTCCTGTAATTTTGCTCTAGGCAACTTCACACTCCTTCACCCCAAGTCTGTCTCGATTTTAAATAAACAATCTGGAAGGTCTGCTCTTCCTCTTTATTTACTTTAGGACCCTCATTTGGTAATATGGTAATGTGGCCAGGTCAAAACAATCTTAGTTCAAAAATATCCAATTTACTACTGTAGCTTGGTCTAAACAAGGAGACAGCTTACAGACAATTTGTCTTTTTATATTTTATTACAAAACATACCATTTCAACAAGTTTATTTTAACATTAATTAGCATTTCCAAAATAGTCCCCAGCCTTAGCCACCAGTCATTTCCTCTATAAAATGAAAACAATAAAATGTCTAACTTAAATAAGCATTCTTACGCAATCCTTTTGCTTAAAGTTCTGTCGGCTGCATTTCGCTCGGTGTCGTCTCTCCCTTCCATCTCTTCTCCGTCCTTCTCCTTCTCCTTCTGTCTCTCTTCGCCCATCTTCCTTAAATTAAGAAGTTATGTCCTTGTCCATCGGAGCTGAGTTAAGATAAGGGTCAGCTTGCTCTTCTTAATTTTTTTTTCTTTAGCTGGAGAAGAACTGACCTTGCACATTTTTCTCTCTAATTAGCACCTGGACACAAGCAGATTTCTAGCTTTTTCGTTGCAGCTCTGAAATAAATCTTATGAAATACAATTCTATTCTATTTTCATAATCAAATTCATGACAATCCCCAGTGCCAATGACCTGTCCAGGAAGATACTATGGTCAATGGTATCAAAAGCCACTGAAAGATCAAGGAGAACCAACAGATCATTCCTCCCCAATCAGTTTCCCTTGAAAGGTCAATGTGTGGCATGGCCAGTCATGCTGTGACCTAAACCCTGACTGGAATTGATCAAGACAATCCGTTTTCTCTAGAAATGCCTGGAGCTGCTCTATCACCAGTCATTCAACTTGCCCAGAAAAGGGATATTGGCAACTAGACTATGGTTGTTCAAGTCATTGGTTGCTAAATCCAATCTTTTGAGGATGGGCCGTATTAGGGTCTCTTTCAATCAGGAGGGCACATCGGCCTCCTGAAATGGTGATTTGGGGAAATGTTTTCATAAGATCATCAATTAGTTTTTATTAGCGTCATACGAACTCCACACCACTTCCCCTCCCCCAAAAAAGTATTCCCAGAAAACCTGGATTTTGTGACCCATAACACAAATTAAGCAAATGTGCTTAATTGATATTATATTCTACAGTGTATTTGAGTTCTTCATAATTTATTCTAGATTTGTTGCCCATATGAAGGGGCCAAGAAATATGCTCGCCAATAAACCTTGTTTTCAGAAATCTTGTGTCTTTGCAACCTGTAGAAACTTGTTTTTCTTATATGAAAAGATGTTTATCACAGGGACCTGAAAGATACTATAATATGCTATAGAGATATGCTAGAAATCACCGTATCCCAGAATCTTGCAGGCAGGTTGGTCCCTTCCTTGTGAGTGAAGAAGTAATGGAGAGGGCATTATGACTGGAATACAGTACAGCCCTAATTCTGGGTTTATGGCTCATGAAGCTTGCAATCACTAGAACTTCTTTCTCTCTCATTTTAAAATCCTGTTTTCAGATCCTGCCACCGTGACCTATACTCTCCAGCAAGAGGTCCTGGGTTCAACTCACTGGACTGCTTTTGCCACAGGTGTGCGTGACACCACCTATACTGTTCTTAATCTGAAGAAAGGTATCCGGTATATGTTTCGTGTGCTCACAGCTACAGCCAAGGCCAGCAGCAAACCTTCTCCATCTACTGCACCTGTGCAGCTCCTTGACAGAGGTAAAATAGCATCAAAACAGGGAAGACACAAAAGGTTGGTTATGTGTGGATGTGGATGTTATGAAAGGAGAAGAACAAAGAAGAAACTGAGTGTTATTAATTCTTCTTTAATATTTGCATAATTTACTGTTTTTAGTTTTTATTATTGTGTTTCTAATGGTGTAAACCACCTTGAGTCCTTTTTAAGGAGAAAGGTGGAATAAAAATATGTTAAATAAATAAACAAACTGCCTCATGCCGTTCCTCCTCACTAAAGTTGTGACGGAGGGCAAGGGAAGTCCTTGCCCATCTTTATGGCTGAATGGGGTTTGAGTCTAAGGACTAGTTTGACATTTTAATGGTTAAAATCAGAAATATTTTTTACAGAGAATTGGTAATGAGGAAAAAATTAATAAAGCAGAAGAAAATAACGCATTTCTGACTTTTTGCTCTTTTCTGGACTAGTATTATAATTAGACTCCGAGATGATTTTAAAAATCAAGATGAGGTTCAAAAGATTAGAAATCTGATCTGCTTGATGTCACGCTTTCTCCAGAGTCCATAGCAAAAGCCAATAAATGTCTTCTTCCTAAGGGAACTGCTTCTTCAATAACTTTAAGTCTGCTCCTCTATTAAATGCAAAGTTGCTGATACTAATCCTGTCCTTTAAGTCTCTTTCCCTGTCATACTAGTAGTCTAAATTTTATTTTAAAAATACTGTTAATAACTGGAGTTTCTAAACCTATACTATCTATAGCCAATGCAACAATGTGTATTTGGCTTGCCTCAGGGTGATCCCAATGGTAATTCTAGAACACAAAATTTTCTCTTTTAGCTAGTGAGGCAGATGCTAATTGTTGTTACAACCTTATGGGATATGCTCCTACATAATGAATTGGGTTCTTAAAAAGTCTGACAATTTGATAGAGGGCTTTTTCACTGACAGCCCCATACCTCTCGAACTGTTTTCTGCAAGACACATCTCTATCGCTTTTCTTTCAGTTTACATTTTCCTAAGAGTTCAGCTTTTAGGCTGGTTTCCCCCAAATAATAATTCTAATTGTTGTTACAACCTTATGGGATATGCTCCTACATAATGAATTGGGTTCTTAAAAAGTCTGACAATTTGATAGAGGGCTTTTTCACTGACAGCCCCATACCTCTCGAACTGTTTTCTGCAAGACACATCTCTATCGCTTTTCTTTCAATTTACATTTTCCTAAGAGTTCAGCTGAGTTTTTAGGCTGGTTTCCCCCAAATAATAATTTGGATTACAGTCTTGAAAGGATGTTGAGAATTCCATGTCAGAAGATCCAGAGAAGCCTCTCTCTGTATTTGCAGAACTGTGGTTCCAGGACTCCTTGGGAAGAAAGAATGGCTGCTAAAACAGTTTATTGGTACAGAATTGCTCCCTTTAAAAATGTAGTACAGAGAGCAAAATACGCATTCTGTAAACATAGGAAGTTGCCCATAAGAATTATAGGAGTGGGTCTTCTTTTTAGTTGGGAGGGCTATGCTAGGGCACCTTTGCCATAAGGTTTAATCTACAGTACCTCATGAGATACAACACAGCATTCGGTAACTGGGTACACAAAGTCAGGACAGGTATGTGAACAAGCTGTGGAATGAACTCTAAAACTAGGATTTCTCTTTAATATGTTCCAACACAATATAGCCAATGTAGCTGAGTACTACAAAACCCCTTCCTACCTGCTTGCATACCTTTTGATCTAGAGAAGCAAACGGACAACGATGCTCACTGCCCTTCTGGTTGCACTTGCAGGTCCTTACCTGGAGGAGGCGCCCATGATCTTGGACAAGCCAGATGTGGTCTATGCAGTGGAGGGGCAAGCGGCCTGCATCACAGTAACCCTCAATCATGTAGAAGTTACTGTCACCTGGAGAAGGTATGCTGTCTGCTGAGATACAGTGTTACTTCCAGCTCAAAGCCTACCTAGCACAATGTATGGCTGGCTACCAGGAAATAGTAGCACTAGGAGGATGCTGAGTTTGCAAGAGAGCAGTTACAACTTCAAGTAACAGAGGAAGAGAAGACAAGAAGGGGATGAGGAGACCTGTCCTGGAGTCATCTTTGTCTAACCCATACCTTTTAGATTCATATTTCTCACATTGCACTTTAAGACTTGCTATGCTTAACACATTTTAGGTGTTTTACTTCAAAAGAAAAGTGTAAATTGGCCCTCTGGAATATATAGGGTTTGGGGAAACAAAAAATCAGCAAAGCACTCATCATCATCTTCTAATTTAGAAAATATAAAAAATAATACAAAAAAGTCACACCATGTAATTTTCACTTTTGTGTCGAATGAACAGTTTCTAATGCTGTGGGTTTGTTTCAAGAATTGTAGCTGTCGTTTTTGTATTATATTGTTGTTGCTGCTGTGAATTTTTCACCACTGTGATATATGCTAGTCTCAAATTTATTAAGAGACATAAACTCCTGGCTTTGCTGACCCACTGGGCTTTGAGAGGAAGACAATTGGTAGGGCCTTTCTTTATTGGGGGAGCTGAGCAGTCTGAGATCTTGAAGCCACAGAGGCAGTTAACAAAGCATGTTGCTGGGCGAGAACAACTTGCTGTGAAAGGGGTTCAACAGCAAGGTGCATGCTGGAGGATTCCACAGCCTCCCACCCCATCATACTCTTCTTCTTCGTTGTCCCTCCCAGGTCTGGTGTGGTGCTCAAAGATGGAGACCCAAACTGGGAGATGAGCATGCCTGATGATGACCAGCACTCCTTGCGATTCATGCGGGTGGGCAAAGGGGATGTGGGGGAAATTACCTGTGAGGTGAGCAACCAGCATGGATATGACCACTGCTTCATCACCTTGGAGCTGGCAGGTATGGGAAGCTCAAAACGCACCATATACTCCATCTTCATCCTCACTCTCTGCTCTGAGCGTAGTGCCTCCCCTGAAGACTGTGACCTACATCCTTATGTGTGACATTATTGGGATGGAACATCTCCTCAAGATACTCCCATATTCTGGGAATGAGACTGTGCCTCAGATAAGCCACCATGACACATTGGAGGGGTGGTGCAGTCTTTTGCTAAGAGTTTCCTGTATCTGTGGAATGTTGTAGTCCTCGGCTTTCATAAAAGATGGTGGTCAAAAAACCAGGGAGGCTTCTCTAAGAAGGAGGGAGTGAAAAATGTAGCTGTTCTAGGCTGGGGTGTATATTTGACGGGTTGCTCAGGATGCTGAGTAGGCTTTCTCCTGTTTCAATGGAACATGTGTTTCTACCCCTAGAGGCACCTCGCTTTGAGTCTATCATGGAAGACATTGAAGTTGGTGTGGGTGAGACACCACAGTTTGCTGTAGTGGTAGAGGGCAAACCTCTTCCAGACATCATGTGGTACAAGGTGAGTGTGGACTCAGGTTGGTATCTGGGAGAGGCCTTTGGGGTTGCTTGTGGTTGACAATTTGCTGGAGCTTCAATTTATACCTACTCTGCCACATCGTCTTAGTTTTAATCCCTAGGTTCCATCATCTCTCAGTCATGCCTCCTATGCAGCTACCCTGATGCCCCTCAATCCAGATCCACTGAAATTTTCTCAACTTGACATGTTATAGCCAGGAGCGATTGTATGGCCGTCTGTTTGAGAACAGGCATAGACCTCCTCTGCTTTGAGGCTGATAGCCTGGCTGTTCTGACTCACTGCCTGTTAGAGGTCTGTGGAAGTCAGCCAGTGCCTGCTGTATCATGAATATGAATAATGGGAGAGATTTAAATTCTTCCAGAGGGAGATACAACTGGGAAAAGGTCAGGAAGGTAAGGAAAGATGAGACTGCCCTTCCTGCAGCTTGTTGACTTGAAACATGCCTGTAAAAGCATAGCAAAAGAATATGATACAAGAGCATTCCTCTAGTTCAGAGCTCAGGAACGTGTCGCCTTCCATCAACTCCCATTAGCCCTAACTTGCATAGGCAGTGATGAGGGACAATTGGAGTTGAAATCTGTCTGTATCTGTGCCACCACAAGTTGTCCACCCTACTTTAGCTAACTTGATGTTTTCAAGTCCTTCGTCTCAATATATCATCAATAGGATGAAGTGCTCCTGACAGAAAGCAATCATCTGAGCTTCGTGTACGAGGAAAGTGAATGTTCTTTAGTTGTGTTGAACACGACAGAGCAAGATGGTGGTGTGTACACATGTATCGCACGCAACCTGGCTGGAGAACTGTCTTGCAAAGCTGAGCTTGTGGTTCGTGCAGGTACGTGACATTTTACTAGCTGGAGAAGATGCCATGCATTATTTTGTAGGGTTCCCTGGGTGTAGCGACTAACCAAGTGGTGCTGGCATTTGTTTTTCCACTATTTTGATCAGACAGGGGCAGAAGTCTGGGTACCCACAATGCCGGTGGAATCTGACTAAACTGGAAAGAATGTTTCCCCATCATAGGGGCTCTGCCAAACATAAGAAGGGACCTGATGGATCAGGCCAAAGGCCTACCTGATCCACCATTCTGTTCCCACAGTGGCCAACCAGATGAACAAGAGAAACCACAAGCAGGACATGAGTGCAATAGCACTCTCCAGCTTGTGTTTCCTGACAACTAGTTCTCACAGGCATACTGGCTCCAATACTGGAGGAGATATACTTCTATGATGTGTGGCAGCCACCGATATTCTGTGGCTGAAGAGGGCTCTGAATACACACAGACCAGGTGACTCACTAATAGGAACATACACTATCTTTGGACAAATTTGCAAAAACAGTCTGAACTGGGGACATTTCTGCAATTTTGGGTAGACCACCAGACAGACCAAATAAAAGCTGGCTGCCTGTGTGGTGAACAATTCACCACCACCACACCGCTCTTTTGTATTGCATACAGCATTTTTGGGGTTAAAAAGCTTTTCAGCAAAGATCCCCAACAATGTGAACTGAGGAAAGGGTAATTGAAAGTAATATATAACATCCGTTGACTGAGAGCTGCTGGCTCTGAAAAGAAAGGGCAAGCAGCCCCTGAACCCCCCTCAGTGTCTTCTGGGCATTCCAACCACTGATGGCTCTGCACGCTATAGGTCCCTTTAGGGAGCCTTTGGTGGCCATTTTGCATAGATGTACTGCAAAGTGAAAGACTTGCATTCCTTGTTGCTAGTTAGGATTCACACTCTAGAATTTTCTTCTCTCGCTTTGGTTACTTAACAGTTTACTAATAGGACTGAGTGTGTCTGTGACTGTGGATGAGTGCCTGCATTATTCTTGTACGGGCTTGGCTTGGCTGGACCAGAATTGCTACGTTTGTTTGGCTTTACTGTATTTCTTCTCCCCACAACACCTCTGCCTTCTTTCTTCCATGTGGTGATGCAAGTCCCGCTGCGTGCTGCCCTTGGCACAATTGCAAGGAAGGTGTCAGTAGGTAGGAGTAAAATCCACCAGTCTACCAGGTCCCCAGAATGGAGGGCACTGTGTAGTTCACACCTTCCCCCAGGGCCATGAGGAAAGATGACTGACTGAGACCTGAACCAATCGTTTACCAGTTCATAACAGCAAACCATCGTGGGGATTGTCACGGGGATTATGGAGGTCTGCTTAACACGAATGTGACTCTAAGGATTAAAGCTGCTTAGATAAACTCCGAGAGGTAGAAAATGAGATTGTGGGAGGTACAGGCATGTGTGCATTCAATCTTCTTCTTTTGCCCCTGCCCTTGCTCCTATATTCACTGCTACCTTTGTTCCCCTCTAGCTGTGCCAGATGCAGATGCTGCACAGGGGCAAGAAGAGTCCCATACAACTCGTCGCCTTGCTGACTATTACGATGTCCATGAGGAGATCAGTAGGTGAGGAAAAGACGGATGGCATTTTCCATAAGTTTAAAAAAAAAAGGAGAAAGTGACAGATAGGCCGCATCTGTGGTCACCGAAGCTGGGACTTTTCCTCTGTAGAGGTGGTCTGACAAGAAGGCTCCAAAGAAAGAAAGGGAGTCTCACTTAAAAAGAGTTGTGTTGGTGTTACAAACTCAAATTCACTTATGGGTTACTCTAGATGAGAGGTGAGTAAAGTGTCTGCAGAGGCCTCTTTTTCAAAGGCAGAAGTGACTATTCTAGGCTATCTATGCCCCTGCATACAGTTTGCTGATGGAGTCCTCTGTCATGGAAATCTGCAGCCACAGATCAATTTGGGAAATTACATGTAGAAGCAGTGATAGATTCCTGCCATTGTTCCATCTGTGTTCATATGATACAGCCATGCAAGTGGATGTAATCAGAATGGACTCTTCCAGGCTGAAGGCAGTCAGCTGTCATGCTCATGTGTAGTTGGTGGTTGGGAGAACATGGGGGGGGAGGGAGAGACAGGTTTTGCCTATATGCCCACCTCATTTCCTGAACTGTGGCAAATCACCCGTGTTTCAGGACACTTTGATGGTAATAATAGTGAGGCACAACCACTTAGACCACTGTATAGTATGTAAACTAGGAACACAGCTCACTGGGACTATTCATGTTGCTTTCTGACAGAGCCTCTCCTTTTGCAACAACCAAGATAGTACGTTGGGGAAGAAGCCTTTTCAGTGAAGGCCTATCCCTCCATTAAGTTCAGAAGACATTTCCTGGTGATCATTGGACAACACATGGACTTCTCTTTGAGAGAATGCCTTTCACTTTTCCATCCTTCTTGGCACATCCACTTTGCCTTGCCCTCCAATCTACTCCCTTGATTGGCAAGGCTGTGGTCAAAACAATACAAAGGGAACACTAAAGGGTCCACAAGATAACATATTGCTTGATGACCTGTGCTGTATTCCTCCTAGGGGAGCCTTCTCATACCTGCGGCGAGTGACTGAGAAGAGTTCCGGTTTAGCCTTTGCTGCCAAATTCATCCCATGCCGTGCCAAAGCCAAGAAATCAGCACGCCGTGAACTTGGCATCCTAGCCCAGCTGGACCATGAGCGCATTGTCTACTTTCATGATGCCTTTGAGAAGAGGAATGCCCTCGTCATTGTCATGGAGCTGTATCCTATGTTTTTCATGAGGACTAGTTGGGCAAGGTTCTGTTAATTGAATAGCAGGACTTTTTTGTCTTTACTTTTACAATGGTGTGCAGCAGTAGAAGGGCACTGTGTCTTGATCTGAAGTCTGATCCACTTTCATCCTCCATCAGTTAGATTCAAATGGTAATTTAGAAGGATGCAGTCCATTTTTGAGATGGGTAATACAACTGGACTAGTGATGATTAATGAATGCAATAAATAAAACTGACAGGAACAAAAGCTGTTTTAATACCTTTGTCACACAGGGGGCCTCCTCACTGAAAGCCATTGGTCTTTTAGCCAGGATTCTTAAAGTTTGCTGTCTACCCTCAGCCCTGTGATGAAGACCCGAAGTTAGAGTTATGACTAGAGATGGGCACGAAACAAACTGCTACGACCAAAAAAACACCATGAACTCGGCTGGGTCATGGATCGTTTTGTGAGGGGTTAGGGAAACCATGCTTTCGCGAAGCGAAATGAAATACTGAACCTTTTCATTGTTGGTGTTTTGTTTCACTTTGTCCCGTTCCCCCCCCAAAAAAAAGCCCCCCTTCAAGGGCCACACCTACCTTACTCTCTCTGGGCCTCTGCCACCACTGCCCAACTGAAGAGGACAGTAGGCTATCTGGAGCCTACTTCCCACCCCAGTCCTTCCTGGGAGGCTTAGGGTATTGTGGGAAGTGTAGCTCTTTAATAGTTCCCTATATACAGTATATCCCAATGGACAGCAAAACTACACTTCCTACTCTGCTGGGCAGCGGAGTTAGGGAAGAGGCCCAGAGCAAATAAGGTAGGTGCTCGGACCCATGAAGGGGGGGCTTTCTGTGTTACAAAGAAAGCCCCTCTTCATTTAGAGCTGGGCTTTCTGTGTAACTGAGCTACAAAGAAAGCCCCTCTTCATTTAGAGATGGGCCCAAACCGAATGATCCACAAATCAGTTCATTGTTTAAAAAATTCAGCGTGGTTCGTGGACACTAACGATGAACATCGTGCCAGTTTGTGCCCATCCCTAATTGTAACCCTAGAGGTTTTTTATAGTTTCCCCCGTCCACTCCTTCAAGAATTTTTCAAAATCCAAAAGGGCATAGCTAGAATAAGGAGGCAGAAGAGGTTCATTTTGGTCCTCAGCACGAGTACAGGAAATGCTTATCTTTAAGCTGTACTGCGCATGTAGTATGAGGAGGTCGCCATATCTGGAGGCTTTACTGTTAGGTTCAACCTAAGCTAAGAACAAGGATATAATTTTTTCCATGTCCACAACAGGTTGGGACATGGCATCTCTGATCAGTTCATGTACAGTATTTTGTCTTCTTTTGTGCCAGTTCCTGCTGTTTATGCGATCATCAAATACCTTGAAGGACCCTTACAGGTTTAAGGACCTACATATGTTTGGGCATGGGTGTGGAAAGCTCACAAAGTTCTGTTTCTGCTGTGGGAAGCTGTCATTGCCTCTCTTTGGGATTTTTTTAAATAACTGTTTCCCTTGACTGACTTTGTAGCTGCACTGGAGATGAACTCCTGGAGCGTATAGCAAAGAAGTCCTCCGTTAGTGAATCTGAAGTAAGTGTGGGCTGGGGTAATTCATACAAATACCCAACACCTTTTAAATACTATTTGTATACGTACTGTTTTTAGCTTTAACCGCCCAGAGCAGACACGTTCTAGATGGGCGGTATATAAATCTAATAAATAAATAAATAAATATATCTGTTGTTTAATGATGTAAGGCATCTTTTTATACTCATTGTTCTAAAGTTTAAATATTGTCTTTTAGTGATGTGAACCACCTTTGAATACTCCTTGTTTTCAGCTTTTAATACTGTATTTCAATGATGTAACCTGCCTTGGATCCTTTTTAAGGAGAAAAATGGGGTCAAAATATATTAAATAAATAAAAAAACAACATTTCCACCTGCACATCCTCCTGAAAGACATTTACTTAGTAAGAAAAATGTTATTTTGCTTTCAGCCAGTGGAGCTAGCGTCCAGAGCTGTTTGCATTAGACAGAAGACAGAGGTAGACTTTAAAAGAAATAACAATGCAGGCAGCGAAGTAGCAAAGCGGATAACATTCCAGAAACAGAACTCACTTTAAACCAACAGATCTAAAAGGCATGGCCAAATGAAAATTTTTTACCCAGCACTGAGAGGAGAACAGAAAAAGTATCAGGCAAGTTTCTGCAGAGTACCAAAGTCAAGCACCACAGCTGAAAAACTCCTGTCTTTGGCACTAACCTCTGATGGGAGGAAGATCTAAAGAAAGCTCCAAAGTACAGTAATTCTTTTAATAATGGTCTAGGTTCGCTGAGGAGAAAAGATCTTTCTGGTCTCAGGGCCAAAATAATCTGGAGCTTTAAAAGTCACAAAGTGAATATTATAATTTGTTCTTGGAAATAAATCAGGGGTCAATACAGTTGTCTTAAAGCTGGCAAGATGTGTTGCCTGCATCTACTCTCAGAAAACAATCTACTTGGCGCATTCTGAACCAACTGCACTGTCTGAACAGGCAGTTCTATGTTCAGCATATTCTAGTAGAACAAACAAGATGTTAATAGACTATGTTTGCCAAGCTATCTCTGGTACCTAAGAAGCTGCTTTGAGCTGTAGGAGCCACAAGAAATTCCCAAAACTGAGCTGGATCTAAAATAATCCCCCAGACTATGAATCTAGGGAACTTTAAGAGGATTTGGCAACAGCATCTAGAACAGGGCCAGCATTAACTCCTGGATTAGATAAATCACTCACCAGCATCACCTCTGTCTCCAAAATGAACTTCAGCTCAATTGCTTTAATTGATAAGTGCTGAAAACTACTTAAAAGTAGAGAACAACCAGCAAGGTCTAATTCCACATCTCTTTTTCCTGGAGAATGTTATCCCTCTGAATGATGAAAGGAATTCCAGTGCCAAATCCAACCAATATACATTGAATAGGTTAAGGATGGAGAGCAGCAAGGTTCCACTACAATTACAGGTTGGAGTTCCGGTTTCTTGTATTCAGTGTATGGGCAGCTGACTGGATCCTCCAACTGTACCCTGGTTATTTTCCCTGCAGATACGGTCCTACATGCGACAGGTGTTAGAAGGAATCAAGTACCTACACCATCAAGGCATTTTGCATCTTGACATTAAGGTGAGTGCATTCCAACATGCCCTGCGGTCTGTCCTCTGCGTTATTTGGATTCCTTGAGCATTTGACTCAGCTTTTTTTTTGCATGAGATCCTAATGATTCTCTTTGCTTGGTGCTGTAGCATGTGTGAATAGGAAGGTATCAGGCTTGTCTCCCTTGTTTTTTCATTGGCTCTTATCCTTGAGTTTCCACCCCTTTTCCATTATCAAGTTACCATGTGAGGAAAAACAGACACCAGAAATTCTGGAATTGATGGCAGGACTGTGTGGGTGAGACCAGAGGAAAAGTGGATTGGTTAGTCTTCTCTTTCTGCCCCCTCCCCTCCCAGCCTTTCTTGTCTTTTTGACTTTCCCTTCCTCTCTTTCTTCCTGCCCAGTAGGCTATAGGGAAGGACAGCCTTTGTAAAGGGGTCTAAACTGATTGCTGGCCAAAGACTTTGGTGGAGAGACTGAGATAAGTTATCAGTTTCTGGCTGGGAATCCATAGAACTGAAGTTATTGCTTCATGGGAAATGTAGTCTGAAAAGAAATAATGCAGGAAGAAGAAGGGAAGGGATACTACCTGGGCCTATTCAGATTCAGACCGATGCATGTCAGCTTTTCTACCAGCTTTTGTTTTCTAAACACAATTCTTTAAAAAATATTTTATGAATGAGGGGCATTGTGCTTCTGTATCCATGACTCAGAACACAGGAAATGGACTGATATTGTTGCACAATACTGTGCCTGCATTGACTGCAGGAAAAATGCTTTACATAGCAAAGGGTAGCCTAAATGTTGACTACACCAATGTCAGCAGTCAAGAGGGTCTATAGGATATCCTCTTGTGCTCACTACCATTCACAAAGTGATACCAAGCAAGAGAAAAACTCGGAAGCTGACTTCTTTTTTCATCAATTAACCACTTCTCACCTAAACACAAAGCAATTGTCATGGTGGGTTTTTTGCTTAGTGTGAATGATAGTGGGTAGAGATGTGCACATCGTATTCCTATTCCCCTGGATAGGAATTTGGATTCCTGGATAGGAATACAAAGCACTCCAGCACTGGTGTCCCGGCAGTCCATTCCCATCTCCCAGAACCAGCCTTGTCCACTTACCAGGCTCCATTCAGCATGCACATCTGTCAGCACTGGTGTTGCACCAATCACGGCAGTAGTTCTGCTGTTGCTTCCCCGTCTCTCCCCACAGCCAACCACTCCAGCAAGGTATCTGTAAGCACTGGTGTTGCACCAATCACAGCAGTAGTTCTGCTGGTGCTTCCCCGTCTCTCCCCACAGCCATCCACTCCAGCAAGGAGGCAAGAAGATGAGTCTCCCCACTCAGCTGCTGAGCAGTCGGCTGTGGGGAGAAGTGGGGAATATTTCTATGCCACCTTTCTCCTCAAAAGGATCTAAGGTCTCTTACATCATTAAAACAGTATTTAAAAGCTAAACAGTAAGTATACAGATATTAAAGAAGAATTAAATGAGTACAGTGGTCGTAAGTAGGGATTTACGACCATAATCCATTCCAGATTGTGAAATGGTCATAAGTCAAAACACAATTTCCCATAGGAATGCATTGAAATGCAATTAATCTGTTCTGGCCAGAGAAAAAAGATCATCAACAACAAAAAATTCACTGCAAGACCCATTGGAAATGTGATTAATCCCTTCTGGCCAAAGGGAGGGGGGGAAGAAAAGCAATCAAGTGTGCAAAACCCAGTAGAAATGCACAGAAAACAAATGGAGCAGATCGGAAATGCATGGAGAACAAAGGGGACAGGTTGGAAATGCAAAGAAAACAAAGGAAAAAGTAAGAGAAGCATGCAGGACCCATTGGAAATGGAGGAAAAAAACCCAAAAGCAACTTAACCCCCAAAGACCCATTGGAAATGGGGGGAGCCAACAAACACCCCCCAAGACCCATCAGAAATGGGGGGAAACCCAAAAAAACCCACCAAGACTCGTCGGAAAGGGGGGGAACCAACAAACCAACCAACCCCCCAAGACCCATCACAGCACAGAAACAAAATACCTGTCCCAGTGCAGAAACATAACCCCCCAGCTCAAAACCACACTGCAAAAACATCCAGAACAGTTTTTAAAAAGCAGAAAACAGCACCTTACCTTACAAGGCAGCCCGAAGCCTCCCTGCAAACACCCACACACACTCTCAGAAGCAAAAGAAGGCAGTCCCAAGCCTCTTCCGACACACACTCTCTAATTGCTGGGGCAAAAGAACTACAAAGAAGCAGCCTCATCTCCACCTACAGTTATAAATTTGAATTTCCTGCCTTTTTCCCCTGCCCTTTTCTGTTCGTAAGTGGAAGCTCCGGTCACAAGTAGAAGCAAAATTTTGCGGCCAGAGCTGGTCGTAACTTGAAATGGTCGTAAGTAGGGATGTTCAGAAGTTGAGGCACCACTGTGTTATATTAAAAATTAAAACACATTTTAAACAGCAGAGCATAACAGTCCATTAAAAGCCCCTCTCAGACCACCAGTCATTAAAGAAAAGCCTGCCTGAAGAGAAAGGTCTTTGCCTGCCTGCAGAAGGACAGCAAAGATGGAGCCAGGCCAGCTTCCCATGGGAGGGAGTTCCAGAATCTGGGAGTAGCGACAGAGAAGACCCTCTCCTGTGTCCCCACCAAGCGCACCTGTGAGGGTGGTGGGACTGAGAGAAAGGCCTCCTCTGATTATCTTAATGCCTGGGCAGGCTCATAGAGGGAGATGTGGTCTTTTAGACAGCTTGGATCCAAGCCATTTAGGGCTTTGTAGGTTAAAAACAGCACTTCGAATTGTGCCCGGAAACGGGTCGGCAGCCAGTGGAGCTCACCGTTTCAGAGGTGTTACATGTTTCCTGTAACCCGCCTCAGGTAGCAATCTGGCAGCAGCATTTTGGACCCTTTGAAGTTTCTGAACACTTTCCCATGTAGAATGCATTACAGAAGTCCAACCAAGATGTAACTAGGGCATGTGTCAAGTCTAACCAAGATGTAACTAGGGCGTGTGTCTCTGCGGCCCTATCAGAGCTCTCAAGAAACAGGTGCAGCTGGTTTTAACTATGCAAAGGCATTCCTGTCAATGGCTGAAACCTGGGCATCCAGGCTCGGAGATTTGTGCAAAGGCATTCCTGTTGATGGCTGAAACCTGGGCATCCAGGCTCAGAGACGGATCCAGGAACACCCCCAAGCTGCATGCCTGTGTTTTCAGAGGAAGCACAGACTGCAACTCTATTCCTTGATCTGCTTTTCGACTGAGTAGGAGCACCTCTGTCTTGTCTGACTGTAACCCTATTTTTTGATCTGGTTTTTGACTGAGTAGGAGCACCTCTGTCTTGTCTGGTCTGGATTAAATTTCAGTTTATTCACCCTCATCCAGAGCATTACCGACACCAGACACTGATTTAGAACCGAGACACCTTCCTTGGATTTAGATGGAAAGGAGAGATAGAGTTGGGTGTCATCAGTGTACTGGTGAGACTGAACCCTAAACTCTGGACGGCCTCTCCCAGTGGTTTCATGTAGATGTTAAATATTATAGGGGAGAAAAAAGATCCCTGAAGGACACCAGATGCCGAAGGCCAGGGTGTCGAACAGGAGTCCCACAGCTCCACCCGCTGGGCTCTCCCCTCTAGGAAGGACTGGAGCTATTGTAAAACAGTGCCTCCAAGTCCCATCCCAGAGAGATGGCCCAGAAGCATACCATGGTCAATGGTATTGAAAGCCACTGAGAGGCCCAGCAGAACCAAGAGGGAAACACTCCCCCATCCAGGTCCTGGCATAGGTCATCCACTAAGGTAACCAAGGCAGTCTCTATCCTATAACCAGGCCTGAAACCAAATTGAAATGGGTCTAGATTATCTGTCTCATCCAGGAATCCCTCGAGCTGTGAAGCCACAACCCACTCCAGCATCTTGCCCAAGAATGGAATTTTAGAGACTGGTCAGTAATTATCCAGTAATGTGGGGCCCAAGGAAAGTTTTTTCAATAATGGTCTTACTACTCCCTCCTTCAAGCAAGCTGGGATCCTACCCTGCTGCAAGGAGGCATTCACTACCCCTTGGACCCACTAGGTCAGTCCCTCTGTGGCAGCTTTTATAAGCCAGGATGGGCAAGGATCTAGCAAGTGGTAGCCTTCAATGGTCCAAGGATCCTGTCCACATCGCCAGGCTGCAAAAACTGAAACGTAGCCATCAACACAGGACAAGCAGGAGCCATAGTTACATCTACAGGACCTGTAATAACTACAGCATCCAAGTCAGAGTGGATCTGAGCGGTTTTGCCTGCAAAGTGCTGTGTAAATTTTTCACAGTGAGCTACTGAGTGGTCAGCACTGCCTTCCTGTGGGCCATGATGTAACAGGCCGCTGACCACTCGGAAGAGCTCTGCTGGGTGACTCTGTGCAGACGCAACGGTGGCAGCAAAGAACGACTTCTTTGCCACTGCCACAGAATAGGCCTTGCAATGGGCTCTAGCCTATGATCAGTTGGATTCACTCTTGAGTTTTCTGCCATCGTCACTCTAGTTCCCGTCCCATTCGTTTCATCACCACCAGGTCCCTAGTAAACCGAGGGGGGGTTGCAGTTTGGCTCTATTTCATGGCAGGAGACACTTAGGAGAGATTGTGTCAACAGTCCTGGCCATTTCCCCGTTCCAGAGGTCAACCAGCTCTTCAACAGAATTGCCTGCTGAGACAACCAGAAACTCCCCAAGAGCCACCAGGAAACCATTCTGATCCATAAGCCTCCTGGGGTGGACCATCTTAAGTGGTTTCCCACCCCTGCAGAGGTTCTGAGTTCCAGTAAGTCTAAACCCCACCAGTTTATGATCTGTCCATGACAACAGAACTACAGATAGTTCCTCCATACCCTAATCACCAACATCTAACCCTAGTACAGAAAACAAGGTCTAAAGTGTGGCCTGCAGCATGAGTGGGAGCACATACTATTTGGGACAGCCCCATGGTCATCATGGAGGACATGAAGTCCTGAACCACTCCTGACAAAGCTGCCTCGGCATGCAGCACAACAAGCCGAGGAGACTCCAACACCATCCCTGAAATCAGATCAGCTAGTTCAGGAAGGGAGACTGTTGAGTAGCAGGGTGGGCAATACACCAACAGAATCCCTATTCTGTCCTGGGCTCCCACTTTCAAACACGCACATTCAAACCCAGAAAACCAAGGGATGTAGCACCTGGTGAGGGGGATAGTATAATGACTGACGACTGCAACTCCACCTCCCTGCCCCCCCCCGGGTCTTGCCTATTCCTGCGCAGAGAACTCTGGTGGACATAGCTGAGAGAGGTTGGCACCCCCAGCTTCATCCAGCTAAGTCTCTGTGATGCAAGCCAGATCAACCTGCATCGAGTCCTGGATGGCTGTTGTTTTCCCTTTGACTGATCTGGCACTTAATAGCAGCGTTTTCAACCAAGGGGGCTTGTCATCAAGGATATCCAGACTATTCAAGTTTGAGAACAGCTTCAAGACAGCCAATATCCTTTCCCCCTTCCCTCTCACATTATGCTGTTAGTGCTGTCTTCCACACCATATCTCCCCCTGCCCCAAACAACTTCAATAGATGCTCCGGATTTCCCCTAGAATCCTCTTTCCCATCAAAACGGATCCCTCCACAAGCAGACAAAGACCAAGTTAGGAACTTCTCCCCAGAATTGGCTGAGACTGGGGAGGTGGGGGGGGGAAGAGAATATTACAAAAGAACTAAAATGAGAGGAGATACTTTAGGAAGACTGTGGCATTTTAAATTTCCAAGAAGGAAGGAATACAAGAAAGTAGTTGTCTTTAGGAAGGCTGTGGCATTTTAAATTTTAAAGAAGGAAGGAATACAAGAAAGTAGTTGTTGAAGGAGTCCTTGTAAAGATCTCTTGGAGGTTGGGACTCAGATTCCACAGCTTTATATCATGCTCTGAGGACTCCTATCACTGGAGGGCTAGTGATATCAGATTTTAATTTGTGAACTGACTAGCTTGACCTGCAGTTACCTGACATGCCAAAACACTTTCTTCTTCAGGTAGAAAGAAACCCAGTACATTATTATTTCACTGTCTGAGCTCTTATTGTATGATCCTGCCCACATCCATCCATAGTCTCTGCCCTAGAGCAAATGGAAAGGTGGTTGATGTGGCTGAAGTCTCCCTTACCAGTCTGTCACCACTCTGGGGTCCGGTGGTGTAATAGTAGGAACCATTCCTATCATCCACCCATCCCACAGACATTACTGTAGTGGCAAGTGTTTAGACGATACAGACATGCTTGCCCAGCAGCAACAATCACATATACTGTACTCCTATAATGAAAATAGGTAGGAATAGATGCATGAAGATTATCAAGAAAACACCAGAGAGAGAAACATTTCACCCACTTTTCAAAACCATGTTAGATCAAACCAGAGGCCTGTGTAGTCCAGCTTTTTGTCCCTACCTTAGCCGATCAGGTGCCTACCATGAGGAGCCTATCAATAGGACATGTCTATAATAGCACTTTCCCCTCAGGTTCCTTAGCATATTGGCAGCATGTTCTGGAACAGTCCTCTGTGGGAACTCAATAAAGTTGAGGATACATTGGAGTGGGTGGCTGAGCTCCTAAGGGCAGTTTGGGTTCTGTGCACAATGGTTCCTTTAATAAGGCTGTTGTGAGGAGGCCCTGGGGAGACAATCCAGAATCCTGCACCCAACGTTGATTGGCATCACAGAAAAGCAGATGATACAGGCCAGAAAAAGTCTGAGGTTTGTAAATTGTGTCAGAGGCAAGGAAAAGAAGAAAATCTAACAACATACATTGGATTTGGAAAGGACTGCAAAGGTTTAGCTGTTGTTGCCTTAAGGCAAGGGAAATCTCTCTCCCTCTCTCTCCCCCCCCCCTCCCTCCCTCCCTCCCACACCCTCTTCCTCTTCTGAAGACTCTTTGACAGGCTCCAGGAGGAGCTCAGGTTGTCTGACATATTGACAAGCAGATGGAAGGTGACTAGGCAGGAAAAGGCTGAGGCTTCCTGGGGAGAGAATGTGGGCCATGAAACAGTTCTTCAGTCAGGGAGAATGCAAAGGAGCAGAAAGCAGCAGTAACCCTTTCTCCACTGTTAAGCAGCAGAAATAGGGATTAAGCACAGCGGTGATTGCTAAGGGCAGGAGAATGAATTCTGTTCCTCTTGTAAACCTCAGAAGGAAGCCAATACCCTTCTGAGAAATACAGTTTTATTAAACATCAGTGAGATGAATTATGCAATAGTGACTGTGGGAAAATGTGAGAAGTGGGCAGCAGTCCATGAAAACCTATGCCAAATAAAGCTTTTTAGTCCTTAAGATACAACAAGACTCTGTTGATTTTGTTGTAATGGTACACCTAACCTCTTTGCTCCCAAAAAAATGTCTGGAGAAGGGAATCATGCATGTCATCTGTTGCCATAGAAACCATGCCTCATGACTTTGCACATTTTGCAGCTGTGACTTACTTTTGCTAAGCCTTTTCCCAGTGTTCATGTCTTCCTTGTTTTTCCTCACAGCCAGAAAACTTGTTGCTGGCTGAGCCAGGCAGCGATCAGGTGAGAATCTGTGACTTTGGCAATGCCCAGGAACTGACTCCAGATGAGCCACAATACTGCAAGTACGGCACTCCTGAATTCGTAGGCCCAGAGATCATCAGCCAGAGTCCTGTCTCCTGTGTCACCGATGTTTGGTAAACAGATGCGCCAGCACAATGCAAATAAGTTTGTGCATGCAGATTAGGAATCCCCCAAACACTGGCATCAGCAGCAGGGATTTTAGGGAACAAAAATACTAAGCTTGGCCGTGAGGCTTGTTCAGAGAACAGAGATTACTAGAATACAGACAGAATGTGACAAATTAAATTTATGTTGGGGTAATATCTTTATTAGTCCCACACAAAAAATACGGTAGGTTTGGAAATTAAATATCTCTTTATCAGGAAGATGTTACAAAACTGAGAAAAGGCTGGGGAAAGAAAGGCTTGATGTTAAGTTCTTGTGGTCTGCTTGTTGTCTTGAGATATAATGGGGAGACGACAGAATCCAGAAAATAGAAGCGAGCTTGTCAGATACTGGATTTCATGACAGCTGGAAAGTTAGAAACTTCTGCTCCTCTATCTTATGCAATATCGGTCCCCATAGGAAATCTACAACTGTGTCCAGTGACCATTGTTGACTGAGGAGTGCTGAGAGCTGTAGTCCAAAAACGAATGCTCCCAATCTGTGTTCAGAGGCGTCCCTAGTACTTAGTGAGAAGTTGCTACAGAGCCATGTGATACTTTGTGGGAGGAAGGTGCAACATATACCATATTTTTCGCTCCATAAGACGCACCTTTCCATAAGACACACCAATTTTTTAGGAGAAGAAAACAGAAAAATATAATCTGTTTTCTTCGCTCCATAAGACACACAGACTTTCCACCCCCCTGTTTTGTGGGGGGAAAGTGCGTCTTATGGTGCGAAAAATACGGTACATTGGACCTCCGTCCGCTTCTGTCTGCTGGCTTGCACGGAGGAGAATAGACACAGAGGAGATGCTGGGATGGCTCAGCCAGGGCCACAGATGGGACAGCCTCCCAGTGCAAATCAAATAGTTGTAGAAGGACAAATTGGGAGGTTAGGCTATGCTAACCTGCCTCAATCCTGCCTAACCTACTGGGGTGTACTTGTTTCTACCCCAATTTGGTTCCCTTCAGAAGGCCCAAAAGTGCAGAGACTGGAATGATCTGGCACTCTGGGTTGCCTCACATATCTTGGAGGCACATCATTTGCTAGCAAGGGCACATTATCTACTGTACCTTAGGATGACCCAGTATAGGAACCTCTGTAGTGTGACTCTTAGAGGTGCCTTAGCAGGGCTCATTAAAATTCAGTCTCTCTCTGTCTCTTTTTTCTTCTTACAGGCCAGTGGGAGTCATCACATATCTATGGTAAGCCTCTGATATGGGAACTTAGGCTAGGACTATCCTGGCCTGTTCTGTCTCTCAGCAATTGTTACCATACATAGGGAGCAGGACAAAGGGTCTCCCTTGCCCCAAAGTAATCCCACCCCAATGTGTTCTAACATATTGCCCATTCCTCTTCTTCTTTAATAGATTGAGAAGCCTACACTGCCCTCAGGGCGCATATTGTGGCAGGAGGGGGCTGAAAATCTAACCCAATAAATCCCCTGACCCATCTATACTATCTTTTGTCAGACATACCTGCGGCATGTCTGCCAGTTAACAATTGTTGGACTTTTTCTCTCTCACACAGTCTCACAGGGATCTCTCCTTTTGTGGGTGAGAATGACAAGACAACACTCATGAACATCCGCAACTACAATGTGGCCTTTGAGGAGAGTATGTTCACAGGATTGACAAGAGAGGCAAAAGGCTTTGTTATCAAAGTGTTGGTTAATGATCGCCTGTGAGTAATGGGGTATTGGAAGGATCCTTCTGGGGTTAGAGACAGAGGGCTTTGTGGGCTGACTCCTCAGTCCCTTCACATACCTTCCACATACTGTTGTAGGGAGAGGCAGAAAGCCAGCTTTGTTCCTCCTCTCCAGGACACGAAGGGACACCCACATGTCCAGAAGAGCAGAAAGAAAGAGTCATTTCCAAGTGGGTCAGAAAAGGAGTTTTAGTTTTCTGGTGCTTGGAAGTTTCAGTTCTCTGCTGTCAGAGAACAAAGTTTCAGAAGTGGCGAGAGAAAACACTAAGGAAGAAATATCAACTCTATCTATCTATCTATCTATCTATCTATCTATCTATCTATCTATCTATCTATCTATCTATCTATCTATCTATCTATCTATCTATCTATCTATCTATCTATCTATCTATCTATCTATCTATCTATCTATCTATCTATCTATCTATCTATCTATCTATCTATCATACAGTATTTTTTGAAACCATCTTCCATTGCTGTTGTTCAGGAAAAGCAACCTCAAATATTTTGAAACTGGGGCTGGGGTGAAATAGTTGTCAGTTCTTCTGAAAAGCCAGATTGAACTCTTGGTATCTTTTGATTAGATTTCGTCTGAGCAAGAAGGCATTTATAATAATAATTGCATTATGTTAGTTATTTTTCTACATTGCCAGATTGAAGGTATCTTTTGATTAGATTTCATCTGAGCAAGAAGGCATTTACAGAGGAGAGGAGAAATTAGGAGGAATCAGGTGAAGCTAATCTGCTGTTAGGGGGAAAAGGAAGAAGTGGGAGGAGAGGAAAAATTAGGAGGAATCAGGTGAAGCTGTTCTGCTGTTAGGGGGAAAAGGAAGAAGTGGGCTCAAGAGGGTTGAATATAGGAAGGTGATATGTTTCTCTAAGCTTTGTTGGAGGTGGAAAGGGTCTGCAAGTTCAGCTCTCACCTAACGTAGTGAATATAGCTTCTGTACATTCCTTTTCATTTTTAAACAGGAGGCCCAATGCTGAGCAGACCCTGGAACATCCCTGGTTCAAAGTAAGTCCAGTCACTGATGCCTCCCAAAGAAAAGTGAACCCTATGTTGGTTTTGGGGGTGGGAGAAAATTTGGGGAGAGGGGAGAAAAATCTAGGTAGCCTAAGGTGGAAGAAGTTCCTTTGTATTTGGGTTTCAGCCAAGAACATAAGCAACTATCTCCCTCTGCCTGAACTTGCATCTCTCCATTTTTCTATTTAGACACTGGCTAAAGGCAAGAGCATCAGCACAGATCACCTCAAGCTCTTCATGTCTCGCAGGAAATGGCAGGTAAAGTTGGTGGTTCTTGGTGACAGGGACAGGACACTTCTTGACAGATAATGGGCTCAAGCAGTTCACTGAGAGCTTGGCTTAATCTTGCAAATTTTCTCAGCCAGGGATAACAGTGAGGCAGTGGACAAGAAAGTGAGTGTAGACTATTTCTGCAAAACCAGTTTGGAAATGTGTCAAGTCCCAACTCACTAGTACTTGGGTTTGCATGATAATTCTGCTTGGGAATGTACATTATATTTCACAAATGTGAATTTAAGGCTTGGAGGTAACACTTTTGGTAGGACTAAGGGGCTGCTATCCCACTGAATGTTTCTGCATTCCCCAGCACCAGTCATGGTCCAGTTCCATTTAGATTAGTATGTCTCTGTCAAGGAATATGGAATTTGCTAATTTCCAGCATTTGCGGTTAAGGGAGAACACATGGACTGGGTGGCTGGTTCCCTTCTGGTCAGTAGAAATGAAACCTTGGTTTAGACCAGCAAGATGGAAGGACCTACTGTTTTGACACATTGAAAGGATTTAGAAGGACAAGGTTCAATGCAGAGCAAACACTGGAGCATCCTTGGTTCAAAGGAAGCCCAGTTACTGAGGCCTCCATTCACAGAGATCAGGGTCCTGGATACAGTCTGGGTTGATTATTTTAGAGGTTACGGGTGCCAACAAAGGGATTTCCCTAGACAAGAAGCAGAAAGTTGGTATGATCTGGCATTGGATAAGGAAATAGGACTATAGCTGTTGTAATTTGGCCTCCAATTTATGCTTGAGCCTTAGATTATTATTAGATTATTCCCACCATGATATTCTCTCTCTTCTTAGCGCTCCCAGATTAGCTATAAGTGCAACATGGTACCACGGCCTATTCCTGAACTTTTGGAGGACTCATCCAGCCACTTGTCTATTGCTGTGCCACGCCTCCTGAAACAGACCTCAGTGCTGTCCTCGTCTTCTGATTCTGATGACCCAGAAGAGCTGCCTTATATTCCAATGCCCCATCAGCCTGAATTTTCTGGATCCCGCATGTCCCTCACTGAGATCCCAACCGACGATGAACTGCTGGGTCCAGAAGGAACTCCCATGCATGAGGAGGGTACTTCCATGGAGTGGCAAGATGAAGGACAAGGAGCAGCAGTGGCTCTCAAGAGAAAAGAAGAAGGGGAGCCTTCTGTCAGAAGGGCGAAGGGGATGCAGGCACGGAAGCGCTCGACAGAGGCTGAGGAACCTGGCTCTTCTGATGAAGAAGCTCACAGTGAGGGCCAGAAAAGACCGGAGAAACGGAGGGCCCTGAAGAAAGGCTCCAGCTTGGACTCCCCAGAAGTATTTGAGAGGGCATCACGGAAGGGGCAGCTGCGTCGAGGGAGCTCTGCCGATAGTGCCCTGCTGCTCAACCTTCCCTCAGATGAAACTGAGCTCCCATCCCGTAAAATCCTGACCAAGGCAGCATCTATGGAATTGCCCCGTCGCAGCCCCAGCCCAGGCACATTGTACCATAGAAAAGGAGGGTTACCCGAGGAAGAATATACCCAACGTTTGGAACTCATGCGCCAGCGCTTGCTACGTGGCAGCCCCGTGGATGGCAAACTGAGTGGCTTGCGAGGGCCTTTACTGGAGACCCTTGGCCTTGAGAAGAAAGCACCAAGGCCTCCCAGGTTGGAGAAACAGCTGTCCCCTGGGCATAAAATGGTGCGTGCTGCTTCCAGTGAGGCGGCTCCCCAGCACCTGCCCCCTGAGGGGCTCCTCCTCCAGAAGAGCAGCTCTTTCAGCCAGGGTGATGGGGAGCCTGTCATTCTGCACCGCCGATCAGGGGAGCCACTAGAGATCCCTGTGGCACAGGTTGAGGCCCAGAAATTAAGAGAGACACCATCCCTCTCAGCTCTGAATGATTCCAGGCCCCATACACCTCACACTCCACAAGAGGTTCCCTCCAAGCCACCGACCCCTGAAGCAGAGGCAGGAGCAAAGCCCATAACCAGGACGAGCCTGAGGAGACCAACTCCGAGGGGGCCTGAGGAGAGATCACAGGCCAGATTCGCCAAACCTGACACTTCTACAGCTGTAAAAAGCATAGCATCCCCAAGAGCCTCGCCCACAGCAATTTCGCTCACCCCTGGTAGCTCAACTCTCAAACGATCTGCCTATGCTGAGGTCATGCAGTCCTTAGCTGGTGAGTCAGCCCAGGTTCCCCAGGAGGATGTAACAGAACCTCCTGGGGCTGCCCCTGAAAGTATACCTCAGATCTCAGCAGCAGAGACTCAAACCCACACGGCCATCTATGCCAAGCAGGCCGCAGAGACGGCTGAAAAAGAACCGCCCCTCCCAGGTCCCTCCTCCAGTACCGAGCATATTGCAGACATTGACTCTGAAGACGTGTTTGAGGCCAAGTTCAAAAGAGGCAGAGGAGGCTCCCTCAGCAGAGGCCGCAAACTACTCTCCAGGTCTGAGGAGCGACACTTGGCTGCCCCTTTGGTACGGGAGGAGGGCATCTACCGGCCAAGCCCTGTGGGTGCTCCTCTGGAACTGTCCAAGACGGGAGTTTCTCGGCGCGCTCATTCCGTACAGGACTTGCACGAGGTGGAGAAGGAAGGCAGTTTCATTCGCAGGATGTCAATGCGGCTCCGTCGCACACCCCCTACTGAGAGGAGGAAGCTCAAGGAGGAAGATGCAGGGAGAACAGTCCAAAGCCGGCGGCTATCCTGGGGCTTAGGATCCAAGGACAAAAAGGACTCGGGCAGCCAGCAGTCAGAGCCTGGCTCCAGCGAGTCGCCCGTCATGGCTGTACGCCGGAAGATCGGTACCACCATGGGCCGCCTCTCTACGCACCTGCGCAGTCATTCACAGCATCAGGCTGAGGAAGACCAGGCGGCCGCCGGCAGTGACCACATCAGGCAGCCTGAGAAGAGAACTCCTTTCCTCTCTCAGCTGCGCCGGGCAACTTCTGAGGGTGAAAACCTGCGTCAGGTGGGCATCCCACAGAACCAGCTGGCCGCCCAGTCTGCTAATGTCCCCTCCACAGAGTCCTTCCAGTCTGACAGTTCCACAGGCAACGGTGAGTAAAAAAAACCCCAACAAACAGTGGGTGGTGGGGGGAGGGGGGGAGTGGGCACTACAGATTGGGCACATTGCACACAGACATGTTGCAAACATGGAGCAGGGGGTTTGATCACTTCACCTTTCTAGTCTGTAAGGAAAATCACACAAGCAGAAGCAGATTTCGAAGGGTTCTACCATCTCAGACTGCAGGGAGAAAGGGTTCATATATCTGAATATTTTGTTCTGACATTAAAAAATATTACCAGCCCAGAGGAAGTGAAGCCCTTTTTGGGTGTTATTCATTGCAAGTCCGTAGAAGAAGCCAGAGATGTGACTCCAGCCCGCCCTCTGCATTTTCAGACTCTTAAGCATCCTGTTTTGCCAGAAAAGAGATGAAAAGGAAAATGCAGTAATGAAGCTCCAAGGAAATTGTAGCCTTTTTGTTTCTGACCTAGTCAGGTGTTACTCACCTGCTTTCTTCCATAGGTGAAGAGAGGAATGCCTAGCCCTGCCTCTTCTGGCTTTGCCTTTTTTTTCACCTGGAAAGCATTATTTCAAAGAGGAGAGATTCATGTCTGTGCAGAGGCTTTCCTGGTTTTCTAGGGCTCTTGCTTGGCTGGAGAGCCTTCGCATGGAAAGGAAGTCATGTGAGGAAAGCAGCAATGGACAGGAAACTCTGGACCATTGTAGTCACATTCAGAAGAGTATGCTCTCATGTTCTCAGATCTTTCCTTCAGCAGTGAGAGAATGGGAATAAAGGCAGAGGTCTGGAGTAAACATCTCCAACTCTCTTTATTCAAGTACACAAAAGAACACCAGAACTGGGTTGTAGTGTCCAGAGTGTTTCAGCTAAGCTGAAACACTCTGGATATCTTTGGTTCAGAGCACTCTCGAAAATCCTTCCTTCCCCTGCTCCCACCTTCAGGCTGAAATGCTGGTCTGGCAGCAACAGACACATTCTATTGGTTGTGGGTTTTGTCCTACAACCAACCCTCTCTATACGGTTAAGTAGGAGCAGGAAAACATTCTTGTTGCCTTGGGCCTTTTGCAAAATGGCCACAATGAGAGACCTTTGGGAGGGGGAGTTGCCATGACTGCAAAAGAAGCTTTCACTGGCTAGTGTGTATTGCAGAACAGGCGCTTTAGCTGGGAAGGGGTGTTGGCAAACCAGCTTGTGATGATGTGGGGCAATACTGTATATGATTTTGAACTGGAGAGTCCTGTGCAAACAAAAGTAAGGAAGAGAAATACCCTTTGAGGCTCTCTCTGTGTTTTCATAACAGTTGTGTGTATTCGGGGTATATTCCCCCCAAAATGTGTAAATTCAGGAACTCTTGATATGCAGAGCAGTTTCATTCCTATAATGAGAATAATCTAGAAGGCATGTGTTCCTATCTTCTTAAAATGGAAACTCTTCTCCTTATCTGTGACTATATAAAGAGCAGCTGGCATTCCACAGTTAATAAACCATAACGTTTTAAAGGCAGCTTTCCCTTTATAAGCACTGTCCAAATGCTAATAACTGGAAAGGAGTTGACTTTAAAATTAAAGCCATTGTGTCCGTAGACTACAGTTACAGTGCCAGTTAAATTAAGGACTGGGAAATAAAGAAACGAGGGAATTGTGAACTGAGCAGAGGGAAGATGGTAATGTGGTCGTGGTGAATATGCATGAAGATAATGAATTTTCCCAGTGAGCCCCTTCTTTCCTGAAATTCAGTTGACTTGGACAAAAAAAAACAACAATTAGCCCATCACTGTCTCTTTACTCCATAGTTTCTGGTGAGGTTCACCGTCGCAGTTCTCGCTGGGAGCGCTGGAGCTTGTCACGAGCCAAGAAAGACAAGGTTGCATCTCAGCCCAACATTCCTGTCAGCCTGAGAGGGGAAGGGGTTGTCATTACGAGTCAACCCTATGTCCTCAGCGAGTCAGGTATTACCTTTGGAGGGGGAGTGCTGTAAATTCATTTTGGGGGAGTGGTCTAGGGAAACACTGGATGGGAATATTAGTGGGGTGGCCTAAGAGGAATATGAATTGTTCTCCCCTATTCAGCTGTGCTAAGGCGGTTCCAGCTGCTCAGGTAATTTGAGTGGCCAATTCTACGGAAACATGAAATTAAAGATTGAATTTGAGTAGACATGGGATATTCATATTCATATGCGAATACAAATATCCCAGACCCAGATGGCCAGGACCCCCAGTCCTGCCTCTGCAACCAAGCCGTCCACTTATCGGTCACCACTCTGTGCATGCAGTCGGCATCCTGCTCGTCACACCAGTGTTGGACAAAGCCCAACTGATGCTGCTCTGCCTTCCTGCTCTTCTGGCCACTCAGCATGTGAGTGGGGAGACTCGTCATCCTGCCCCCTGGCTGGAGTGGCCAAAAGAGAAAGAAGATGGAGCAGTGCCAGCCAGGCTTTGTCTGATGCTGGCACAATGAGCAGGACACTGGTGTGGCGACCTGTAAGTGGATGAGTTGGTGTGGAGAGGCGGGACTGGGGATCCCGGCCACCTGGGTCCTGGATATTCATATTTGTATACAAATATGAATATTCCATCTCTAATTCTGAGGTGTCTTCTGTATCCCTTTTGTCTTTCTTCACCAACATCTGTAGGCCATTGTTAGACATTTGACCTACAGGACAAATCCAGACGGCACTTCTAATTTGGCTCTTGAAAGGTCAGAATCTGCCCCACCAGAGGTTCCCCATCACCCAGAAGCTCTGTCCCTTCCAGAGTTCTCTCTGTCTCAGAAAAATCAACAGATCCATAGACCTATAGTATATGGAATAATTCTTCTTTGTGGTTTCTGAGAATCACACATGTGGGGCTCCTTTCATACCTGTGCAAACATATTTGGAACCTTCTAGAACCTAAAGAAAGTATTAGGTTATGCCACGTCCACTGTGTATGCTCCCTACCCTGTAGCTAAAATCCTCAGTTCTCTTTTGCTGCCAGAGAAGATATCTTGGGAATGTCTCTACAGTCTTTGCTTCTTCTCCTCAAAATCATATTGGTTTGCATATGATTCTACTTACCGTGTTCTTCATTGTCTTATTCTCTTTGTTCTTCTCCCAGTTTCTTCATCTTAAAAAAAGTTGGTTATATTCATAATTAGTTACATTAATTGCTTGTGAATCAACAGCTGCTCCCACTTTTTTATGACCCCAACGGGTCCAGTTAAGAAGTGTGTCAGCTGCACCAATAAGTTCTCCATCACTGATGGACACTTAAGTGCCTTCATTGCCTTTGTGAGGGCCATCAAATGAGAACTGTGAGATCTACCATAAATATACTAACGTAGCCATCAAAAATAGACAGTCCCACTTAAAATGTTATCTTGGGGAGAAATCCTTGGAAGCTGTTGACACCATCGCTAAAGAGAACCATCTTGGTTTCAATGGTCGCCATCTGTAAAATGCCTTCCAAACATGTTTTTTCTAATGGAGGCACAGAGCTCAATACTGAGGATAGGTCCTCAACTTTGAAATTCACATCCAAACCAGTACTGTCTGAACAGAAAAAGAGGAAATGGCCTGTGGATTCAGGCTCCCGACCAATAAAGACAAAGGCTAACAAAGCCAAGATTCCCAAACACATGCTCCCAAGGCATCAAGAGCCCACCCATTGCTCCACCATAAACTCGCCTCAAAGCAAAGACCATGAGGAGCATGATGACCTTATTTGCTTGGGCTCAGCACCTGAAGGAGAAATATCCTGGTGTTCGACATCCTCACTTGCCTTTAGCCATTCTCTGGAATGGAGCCACTCGGCCCATCAGGGTTAAACAAGCTGTCACTGCTTTGCCAGAGTCCAAGGGATAGTCAAACCAAGGAGTCACTTGCCTTTCAAGAGTAATCTCACAAATCTTCCTCTGTTGTGGGTTTGACATGTAAGGAAAAAGGGTCCCCTCCCAGGAAGAAACAACACCAAGCATCACCACCTACAAGCTGAAGAGACAAGGCACCCTCCACATTATTACTGTGGTGTTATACCACAGTTTTCCCCTGGCCTGGAGTGGCTCTTTCCACCATCTTTCTACCAGTGCCAGGTGATGCAGGGAGACAAAACCATGTTTCTATTTGAAAGCCTACCCATATATTCCCCGATACTGGTTTCCTATAATCACTGACCACATGGGAGGGACCTTCCATGAACTGAAGCACTTGTGCAGAGCCTTGCTTTCTAAGTTGCCAGATCTGAAAGCACTCGCACATGGCCTTGGTTCCAAAATTGCCTAAACTGAAGAGTTCCCACCATGCCGACCAATCACAGATGCCACTTCTCAAAAAATGAGACTGGTTTGTTGTGATAGACCTCAAGGAGGCTCATGTCCATATTACCATCCATTCGGACCACTGGTGTTTCCTACGTTTGGTCTGGGTGACCAGGCCTACGAGTTCAAAGCTTTACATTTTGTTATATCAACAACATCCACAATCTTCAAGCACCAGTACAGCATCAGTCTCAGCAAACCTCAGAATTTGGGGCATAATGCGGGGCTAGCGAACTCTGCTCCCTCTGGCATTACCCACCTTTCCTATCATTCCATATGGACAAAGCAACAATGTTTCCTGATCTTTCCTACTCGGCCTCCAACTTCCACCTAAATCAAACCTTAGTGCTCCCTATGTTTCTTTCCATCATCCACCTTAGAGGTGGAAAAGTCACAGCACATTCTGGACATTCAAAGAGTATCCTTTTACAAGACCAGAATGAAGCAATTCCAAAACAGACTCTTTGTGAGTTATCAGGGGTTGAAGAAAGGGTAACAAGTTACATCACAAAGACTGTCAAAATGGATAATTAGCACCGTCACCTTATCTTACCAACTAGCAAATCAGCCAATGCCCACTTCCTTAAAAGGGCATTCACATGGAGCAGTTGCTGCATCTACAGTGCTTCTCAGAGGAATTCAGCTGGGAGACATTTACAAGACAGTAATTTGGTCATAGCCAAGTTCATCAAACATTATAGGCTGGGTGTCAGGTCAAAATGTGATGCTTCATTTGGCAGTGCAGTGATCTCTATGTTGGTGTAACATCCCAGTAGCCAGTAGGTGAGCTTGTCAGTCTACTATAGATATGATTCACAGAGACCACAAAGTAGGACAGGTTTTGCCTGTACCTGTAGTTCTTTGAGTGGCAATCTGGATTTACATGACCCACCCATCCTCCCGCTTTGTCTGTCATGTGACTCCTGTTTCTATATCAGTATTGGACCTTGGGAGCTGAGGATTAGTAGAGTGGGGAGCATGCACAATGGAGAAGATGTATACTGACATCTTCTTTAGGCTGCAGAATCTTCCAAATATGTTTATGCAGGTGAGAAAAGAACCTCATATATGTAATGAACTACAGTGACAGGTACGCAATCTGTCCTTCCCTTTTCGGATAAGGTCCCTGCTTTCTTCTGTAGTGCCAGGCAGGTGGCTTCCCACATCATCCTTTGATTTATGCCTGTTCTCCTTTTGTCTTCCCACCCAGATTTCCCTCCAGTTTTCCATATTAAATTGAAGGACCAGGTATTGCTGGAGGGAGAGGCTGTGCAGCTTTGCTGCCTTCCTGCAGCCAGCCCTGCCCCTCGTATACTGTGGATGAAAGGTAGGCTATTTGTCATGTGTGTGCTGCACTTGGGTTTTAAGAATCACTGGAGCTTATCATCTCCCAAGACCAGGAAGCGAGAACCAGAGTTGTCCCAGTGTTTAGGGCATATCGTTTTGTGTCCATCCCATAGCAGCTCTCCGAACTACAGCCCAACTGCCAAACTTTCATGGGGGCAGTGTCAGTCTTAAGACTTAATAAAATTCAGCTCCACCCTGAAGTTTTGGCACTGAATTGAAAACTGTCATTTGGTTGCAGGACCATTATGCAAATAGAAGGAGCTGTTGTTACCACCACATCTCTGTGGCACAAATCCTATTTTCTTGATTCTTCTTGCCACTCAAGGCACTGGACTTGGTTGCTTGGAACTGTGAAAATTGCATTGGAATAAGGACCCCTGAGTTTATCCAGGAGAGGAGTTGGCCAAGGAACCATATATTAGTATACTGGCATATTGGAAAAGTGATTTAAAAAAAAAAACTACAATTCCTAGGCCCTCCCAGAATTTGTATGTTGTAGCCACCAAAATAATATTTTCCAAGCTGCGAAGAGTACTAGTTATATGAAGAAGAAAAGTGATTTGAGCTCAAGATAGAGCAGGATTGTAGAACACAAGCTGGAGGGGACAGTACCGCATGGAATAGAGGGGGGCATATTTTTGCAAGATGAAGCCATACACCTGGGACTTCTCAAAAGTTACATGTGTGTGATACTTTCAGATTTTATGTTTTTCACAGGGAACCTAGAAATGATGTAAATAAATAGAATGTGCACGTAATTAACACGTTTTGGAATTCCTTGGTATTACTGCAACAATGAAGACACTTATAATAAAATACTCAGATGAGTTTGCAAATGCTTATTACTGATGGTCTGGTTTCATTCTAAGATTAACCCTTTACTAGGATAATTGTCAGCTATGACGTATCACAGAGTCTGTTCTCTTTGCCTGAGAGGTCTATAGATCTTTGTAGGACTCCTGGGGAAGTCAGTTATCCTCATCAGGTTCTGACAGGGGCATATTGATGCACTTTGTGTGGCTTTGTGGATCATATTCCTGTCTTCCACAGATAAGAATGCTCTGGTGTCAGAGGGAGTTCTCAACATTGTAGCATGCAAGGATGGCCGTCAGCTGCTCACCATCTCCAAAATCTCCAAGAAGGACGCAGGCTTGTATGAATGCAACGCCACCAATGCCCTGGGCACTGCCACCAGTTCATGCACCATTGCTGTGGCACGTAAGAACAGAAAGGAGGGGCGTTTCTGACTTCCCCTTTCCCCAAGAAAGATCTACGACTTTAGCTCTCTCTCAGTATGTCATGCATCTCAATCTCTTCCCCCCTCCCCCAAACCTATTTGGAACAGGGATTCCTGGAAGACCAGGCACTCCAGAAATCCCGCAGAAGTACAGGAACACAGTTCTGGTGTTGTGGAGGCCAGCAGATAGCCAGGCACCCTGCACATACACGCTGGAGCGCAAGATGGATGGTACTGATATGATGAACATTGCAAAGATTTTCAGCTGCTTTCTGTTTATGAGAGGCTATTGTGTTCAGATGGGGTGGCCCCTAGCTCTTTGTGGACATCTAAGGCATGGTTCACACCCAAATGATCTTAGAAGCAGATCTCGGCTTCCTGCTGCCTGCTGCTTGCCCCTATTCCCTTTGGCTCCCTGTCTGTTTTGAAACAACTAATGGCACATTCTAGTCTCTCTTCCCCACCCACATGTGTTTGACATTATTCATTATTTTAATTGCATTTATATCCTGCCTTTCCTCCAGTGAGCGCTAGATGGTTTGCATGGCTTTCTTCTCCAAATTTTATCCTCACAACCACCCTGTGAGGTCCAGCAGGCTGAGAGACTAGAACAGGCCCAAGGCCACTCAGTGAGTTTCACAGCCAAATGGGGATTTGAACTTGGGTCTCCCGAGTCACAGTCCAGCACACTTACCATTACGCCACAGTGGCACTATATTTAAATTGTATGTTCTCTACACACCTTGGCATCATGCTATAGAATTCCCTTATCTGAGCTAGCCCAAATCTGAGGTCAGCGCTCAGAGGTCCTCAGCTCCCTGATGCGATGGGGATCTCCAAGGCCTGATCCATTTTTCTCTTTACTGCCCTTTCCAGAAAGCCCTAAGGATGCACTGTCTAGCCACTGCCATGCATGACCATAGGGGCACCTCTAGTTTACATTTCCAGTGCATTCATTCTACACAGGGCTGATTCTGAACAAAAGGTTTAGAAACTTCAGGTAGCACAAAATGTGGCAGTGAAGGATGGACTCTGGCCTGCATTTGAAGGCACTGAATCCAGCATTCTTCATATGTTAGAAACTCATTTTTTTCAGCACAGTTGTTGATTATTATTTGTAAAGAACTCCATGGTTTGGGATCAGTTATTAAGGTTACTTAGAGGACCGTTGGGTTTTTTTTACACATGTCATGCAACTTGCTCCAACTGGCTCTCTCTTTACTAGTGTTTCAATACATTACCAAATCTTTTCTTTCACTGCATTTTTGGTTTAAGTTTAGTTCGCTTTGCCTTCTGTGACTCTAATGTGTGGCTTGTAGGTTTCTAGATCGTATGTTTTGTTTTATGGATAGAATATTGTTTTAATTGCTGTCTGAGAGCTTAGGGGAACAATGAGAATTTGAAAGGTAAGACAGAAGTGTAAATCAATACAAACACACAAGGCTCAGTTCAGTTCTGGCTCCAAAGGAACCATTTCACCTTCTGAAATCCTTGTCTTCCTTCTCCAGGAGAGCACGAGTGGAAGATAGTAAGTTTCGGCATTGCTGACTGCTATTTCAATGCAACAGATCTTCCAGTGGGGAGCACTGTCAAGTTTCGAGTGGCCTGTGCTAACAAGGCTGGGCAGGGCCCCTACAGCAATCCCTCGGGGAAAGTGTTAATTGAAAGTGCAGGTGAGCTGGAGGGATTTGTTAACCTTTTGTTGATAAAGGACTGCAAGCAGCAGAAAAAAAGAAAAGAAAAGATGGAGAGCAGGGAGGGTTCCAGAACTGTGTACAAAAATCCACAATAAGGCAGCCTTTGCCCTCAGGTTTAACATCTAAAAGACATGACAAGGAGGGATTGAAAGGCAGTGGTGGGATGAGGGTGGCTGGTTCAGTTACCTAGAAGGATGGGGAGGAAATGTTATTCTGGATCCAACAGTATTCCAGTTGGCACTGCATTCACTCTCCTCCTTGGCTGGCCCCCTTTCTCTTCTGCTCTTTTCTCTCTCCCCCTTTTGCTGCTTCTTCCTTCCCCTCAGAACGTAGAGGGCCACCTGGTGGCAATTGTGGGAATGAGTCAAAGAGTGAGAGATCACCACTGGTACCAGTATAGCAGAACTTACAGGTCCAGCCCCACTGTTGGGCAAGATGCAGCATCTGCCTTAGCAGCAGAGAGTGGGAGCAGCAACAGCGGCACCTTACCTCTTCTTCTTAGGCCTCTTGGTCATTCCCTTCTGATGGAAGATAGAGCTGTGGATGCCAAAAAGCCTGTGCTCTGGTGCCCTTTGGTGTTTTGGAGGGTGCTACTTCGACTCATTGAATTGCATCTGCTTCTTCTTGGTTCTCAATCCCTGCTCCATCAGAATCAACAAATAGATAGGTGTATCTTACAGATATGTGTGTGTTGTGTAGTTCACAAGTCTCGTGTTCCAAACGGCCACCCCATGGCATCAAGACACAGCTGCCCTGAAGAGAGGGCCATTTCTTTCTTTGGTTAGCTCTTCCGTAGCTGGGATTCCCAGTTTATCATTCCATGGGAACCCATATGAATTTCTGCCGCTAGGAAAGCAGGGACCAGGGTTTTGCTGCTTTGAAGCTAATTTCTCTTTCTCCCCACTTAGAACCCAAAGCTGCCCATTCAGCTCTCACTGCCAAGAAAAGTGCCACTGCCCCAGAGAAAGTGCTTCCCGCCAGATCTTCCCAGAGTCTTATGAACCAGTCTTCACAGCCAGCACTGAAAAGCACAGGTCCACTGCCATCCACTCCTCCCCGGAAACAGAAGGGATCAATGCCAATGCAAGGACAAGCACCTGCAGTCCCACCATTGACTCAGGCCAACATGGAGAAGTTTGGGGCTGCAGAGAAAGGAAAACTCCCAATTGCACCCCTGCTTCCATCCAAAAAGGATGAGGAGGGTTCAGCTATCCCACTGCCACCCTCTCCTGAGCCAGCATTAAAACCTTCCAAGATGGCAACGTCTCTTAGCACCCCTGGTGTCCCACCTGCTGTTACTAAGGGCTCTCCTGTCCCAGCATCCTCTCCCAGCTCTTCTGCTTCCAAGTTCTCACCTCCCTCTGCTGCATCACCAACCCCAGTGGCACACGGACCAGCAACCATCTCCTCCAAAGCTGTCCCGTACGTGGCCACTTCTTTTGTCTCCATCCCACCCAGATTGCCCCCCACCACAGAAACTGCCCACAGCCCACCAGTCACTCCAACCACAGAAGAGGTGCCTTCTTACCCACGCTTCCTGAGCCGGAGCACTACCCCTGGCCGGGAGTCTGGCAGCATCGCCCAAGGCAGGCACACTTCAGCTGCGAAGGATGAGTCGTCATTGCGCCAGGGTGTCCCCCAAAAACCTTACACCTTCTTGGATGAGAAAGCAAGGTAAGAGCTCTGTCTCACAGATGAAGGAAGTTTCCTTTCTCCATTGGGTAAACCAGCCCAAGACTGTCTATTCCAGTGAGAATGGGTTCTATGGGATCGCACAACGTTTTTCCCTGCATTGATCCTGCACTGATTTTTGACTGGATAGGCCAGGAATCAAACTTGACACCTTCCCATAAACAGCATGTAAACCACCACTAAGCAATGGCACTTCCAGTCAGTATTAATACTTAATTGACCCTTTCTAGGGTTTTCTAGGCATAGAAGATGAAGGCCCTTCTTCTGGGGGTACTTTGGGACCATGTAGCTTGCCCAAGATCACAAAGGCTGGCTTTTCTCCTACGAGGCACAATGGGAAATTGTACTCCCAACTCCCTGGCTCAGTGCTGCTATTAAGCTACACACTGTTGTGGATCCTGCATAGGTCTCCATGTTGTGGCCACAGGTGCTCCAACCTTCCCCTGCCCTCTTAATTGCTGTTCAAAGCCTACTAAGTAACCCACCCCATCTACACAACCCCACTCATCTGGGGATTGCTAAAGATGGGAATTTTTATGTCAGGGCGGTGGAATTCTTTATAATGCTTTATAATGTTCTTCTGGTCATCATGAACATACTACCTGAGAATTCATCTCTCTCTTTCTGAGAACTTTTCCCAAGGTCTCTCTCTTGCCTTTGTCATATGAAAATGAAATTCATGCGCTTCCCACATATGTGAAAGAAATTTAATATAACTGAACACTGCAGGGCACTACACCTAATTCCAAAGAGAGGCAATATAGGCCTTGAATGGCACCAACTTGGTCCTTCCAACAAAAAAAGAAATAAGGAATAAAATATTTTTAAAGTGCCAAAATAGAAAACAGGATGCAAAGGCTAGTGGAGTACTCCTTCCCCCTCAGGTCAGTTCCTCTTCCTTCTGTCTCTATCATTTGCCCTAGCCTATAGAGGCTGAGGTGAATTTTGTGATTCTCCATAACTAAGCTATGTGCATGCATATGAATATCATATAATTTACAATCTCTTAGCATACAGAAAGGTTTTCACTTTAAGAGCCAATTTTCCCCTGCACAAAATAAAGAGAGCTTGTTTGTGAACCTTGGAGGAGGTAAGGAGATGATCACATAAATGTCCACAAATCGAATACATTTTTGTTTGGTCCATCCTGAATGATTACTACAGTTATATTGAGACATCCACTTGAAGCAATTAAGCTTTGAGAGATTAAATAACCTTATTACATGAACTTTGTGACCAGCTCAGGGCACACTGATTAACCATGTGGAGGCCGTGGCTATGGAGACTATGATAGCCTGCAGAGAGCAGAGCTTGAAACAGATATCTTTTGGGCACAACTTCTAGACTCCTCCAACCTCTATGGGAGAATCTGAGAATTCCCACCCCCAGATTCTTTGCAATATCTCAAGAAAACTCAGGCATCTTCCTCTCTGTGGTCAGATGCATGAGATACAATACTTCTGTATGTGTAGGTCAGGTATTTTTCCATGAATGGAACAGGATAAGACAGAGAAGTGTGGGAAACTCTCTGTTCCCTTGGCAGGACATAATACGTGAGGCAGCTCTAATGCTCACCCAGCAATTGATAAGCCAAGCTACATGAGAAATATGGAACCATTTCATTCTGCAGCGGGGTTGCTGATTCTGCCCTTTGTAATGCTGAGGCTTTATTTGTTGAAGGTTAGCTCCTTAAGACTTTGTGGGTTTTTTATTTAGTTTTAGCACAGATCCAGACATGTACTGAGAATGCTGCATGTGTACCTTTGCAGGGGCCGGTTTGGAGTGATCCGGGAATGTAAGGAGAATGCTACAGGCAAGCGTTTTATGGCCAAGATTGTGCCCTATGAGATGGACAACAAGCAGAGCGTCCTGCAGGAATATGAGATTCTGAAGGGCTTGCATCATGAACGCCTGATGGCACTGCACGAGGCCTATATCACGCCCCGCTACCTGGTGTTGATAGCCGAACACTGCACCGGAAAAGAGATCCTCTACCACCTTGTCGACAGGTTTGCTGAAGGATCGAACCAAGCAGAGAGGGGCAGGTGCTTCTGTGTGATAGGCAGATATAAAGGATATCTGTGTGATAGGCAGCTATAAAGGAGGCATGAGGCTGGGGAGGCAAACGAAGTCACACAGAGAGGAAGACAAGAAGGTGACACTAAGACAGAAAACCTCAAAGCAACACCAACACCAGAACATTTAAAAGTTACTCTCTGTTTTTTTGGACTGCAGCAGACACCCCTGCCATTGACTATGCTGAGATGAGTCTGGATATTGTAGCTCAAAATGTGCCCACCCACCCCCATAGCTCTGAGGTATTTTCACTTTCAACTCGCACCCCACCGTCCAGTCCATTCTGACTTATGAGGACCCTTTCCAGGGTTTTCCAAGTAGAGAATACTCAGAATAGGATTGTCCTTCCCTTCTGGGGGTACCCTGAGACTGTGCAGCTTGCCCAGGGCCACCCAAGCCGGCTCTTCTAGGATGCTCATAGGGAACTGAATACCCAATCTCTGACTCCACGGCCAGGTACCTCACTCACTGAGCCATCCAGTAAGCTCACACCAGTAAATAGGTCAGCACACCCTAGATAGGGTTCTTTTGTGTTTCTGTTGTGCTGCAAGATTATTCTTTCTAAATATTCTGTATACAACAGAGGTTTGCAAAGACCTTTTCTCTTATTTTCTTTTCTCTAGATTTTTTTGATAATATAAAACTAAAGTGTAGTGGGGTAAAGTGAATGGTTAAGTTAAATTAGGAAAATCCCTATTGGATTCTCACTGATTGGACAGGATGAGAGCAGAACAACAGAATACATTAACAAGAGTGTATAAAACAGTGGGACCTCAAGAAATTGTCCTGTAGTCAAAACAACTAGAAACAACTGGTCAATTACGGAAGCTGGATGGAAGATGCATTACCCTTCGGTTTTTTTAATACTCCATGTGATTATTTCATACCAGCACTTCTAGTTGCCTGTGATATTATTTTTTATTCTGCCTGTATAAAAAATTAACCAGGACACATGCTCTTGAAATACAGTACAATGCTCTTTTGCTATTTACATAATTCTGAATACATCCAGCAGCAGTCCTTTCACTTTCCTTGTTTCCAAAGCCCACTTTTGTATACAATAAATAACAAAAACAAATACAGAACAAAAATCAAAGCAGAAGTACTGCTGCAATTTAAATATTAACATATTTATTTTGGTGTTACCTTTTGCTGAGTACAGTCCACTTTCCCAACCCCCCCTTAGGGCACAGGTTGATTCACCCAGAGTACTTGGTAGTGGGGTGGAAGCCAGGAAGATGGGATGAAAATGATGACAATTAGATTGGTAATGAACGTTCAGCATGACAATAGCATTATTAACACTGATGATGAACATTCAAAGTATTGATTACACAGACAGTTAGAGCTCTCAACTTGTCTGCCAGTTGACAATAAAGATAGACTGCTGCCTTTGAAGTGTAGATGGAGATCTTTTCAGGAAGCTGAATGAAAGCTAATATGAAGATAAGGAAAACAATCCTTTGGCTACAGCTATATCCAAGATTATAGATGAACCCTTCTTATTAATATAGACAGCATGCTAAGCATGTCCTGCCCTTATTTAACCCTTTAGACCAGTGGTTCCCAGCCTTGAACCCTCAGATGTTCTACAACCCCTAGAAATCCTGGCCAGCACAGCGTGTAGTGAAGGCTTCTGGGAGTTTTAATCCAAGAACATCTTGGGACTCAAGGTTGGGAACCAATTCTACAGAGACTTCATGGTGATTACATAGAAAGATCATGGGGGTGGGGGTGGCTGCTGTCCAAAACATCATGCCTAGCTTAGCACATGATTAGAATACCATGTGCACATGCACACACCCAGAAAGAGAAAGATTTCTGGAAGATAAAACAACTGTTTGAATTGATCCGGCTTGAAAAAAGTCAAAGATCCCAGTAGCAAGGGAAAAACTCCGCTTAGGAAGCAAAAGGGGGTGGGCTGATTCACATTGAACTTTGTGTCATGTGATCAATTAGAAACAATTGAATTCATCCATTTTACATTCACAGCAAATCTCATGCTATTTAGCCATGTTGTCACAGCCTCAGTTTCTCACCACTCACAAATCTCCAGTTGTAATTCCTTTGAGATTCATCAAGAATGTCTTGGGAAGTTGATACATTATGGGCTGTTGTGTATAGCTATTTCTGATGTCATATTTGTGGCCATTTATCTTCTTGCCTAGAAGTTTCCTCTTTGTCCTAGGTAAAATGCACAGAGTCTCTGCCACCAATGCATCGCATAGCTCATGTTAGCAGATGAAGAAAGAAGTAAGCCTCACTGGCTCCTCTCAATCTGTGAAATGGCCCTCAGCCTTGCTGTGGTCACCCACTTCTGCTCTAGAGGAATTTTGGGAGTGATAGTCCAAAAAAGTAACACTGCCAAGTTCTGCTTTGGTGTATCAATACAAGTTCTTTGGGTCCCCTTTAACCTTTCTGATTACATATATATGCCTACAGGTTCCGATATTCAGAGGATGATGTGGTGGGGTATGTAACGCAAATCCTTCAAGGCCTGGAATATCTGCATGGCCGACGCATTATCCACCTTGACCTAAAGCCTGATAACATCATTGTCTCCTCCACAAATTCCATAAAAATTATCGACTTTGGCAGTGCCCAAACATACAATCCACTGGTTTTGCGCCAGCTAGGGCGCCGAGTTGGTACGCTTGAATACATGGGTGAGTACATGTATTGAGTGGGCATGGCTAAAGATTGGCATAGGGGAAATACTGCACAAGGACGCACTGTTTGCCAGGCAAACGGTGCTGAATTGTCTGAGACGCATAGACCAGGCAATACATTTGACTAATGGGCTGTAATTTCATTCCAGTGTATCGACAAAGAGAACAGAGTGGAGAAATAACCATAGGAGAGGTCTTTCCCCTTTCATCATGAATCATATCAAATACTGTATATGGGCTTCAGTCTCATCTCCGTAGGACTAACACTGGGAGACAGTTTTTGCTTTTGCTCTTTTGCTAAATACCCTGATGTTATATATTCGCAATTTCTTTCTGGATCCTTAACCCACAAGACTTGGGAGACCCGTGAACCCTTTTGAGCAGCTCCCATTGTTCCTGATCAGTGGGATAGTTACTGGGATTTGGTACCTCTGCCAACTGATCTCATAGCCCATTTCTAATGGTTCATATGCACCCCACACTTTCTTGAATCATACAGCCATTTGCTCATGGTTTTGCTTTCTTTCCCCCTCTCTCTTACCACCTTCAACCAAGCGCTCCTGCCTTAAGCCCTCTTCCTTAGGTACTCCTGGTTCCTTTACAGCAATATGTCAGATCCCAGCTCTTTATCTTGCTGGTATTCAGCCTACTTCTCTTCATTTACAGCTCCAAATTTAGAGCAGTTTCCTATCCATGACCTTGTTAACTTCTCAAGTTAGGCCACTGGTGGTTCACTAGAGTCTTAACTCTGGAGTTGATGGGAGCTGGATTAAGCCAATGGGTCTCTCTAGCACAATGAGTGAAAGGCATGCTAGTTGACAGGAAAATAAATGCTTCTTTCCTTCCTCTGCAGCTCCAGAAATGGTGAAAGGAGATCCCATTGGTTCAGCCGCAGACATCTGGGGCGTGGGAGTGCTCACTTACATCATGTAAGTATGGCTGGAGTGGGTGAGAACTGGGCATGGATTAGCAGGAGAGCACATGTGGCATTACTGGTGGGGGGGATCAGATCTTTTTCTGACTCCTGTGACTCCTGTTTGCTAATTGGCAGGACAGGGACAGCCAGTCTGTTGCCTCCACATGTATCTCCTTCAATGCTCTTTGTGAACGTTGCTAAGTATCCCATCGGGTTTCCCGCAGAGATGCTCATTGCCATGGGCAATCTGAAATGCTGAATTGGATAGAGTGTCTTGCGATGTGTCTCCTCTCTTTCCACCTTCCCTTTTGCCCATTAGGCTCAGCGGTCGCTCACCATTCTCTGAAGCAGACCCTTTGGAGGCAGAGAGCAGGATCCTGGCAGGACGTTATGATGCCTTCAAGCTTTACCCCAATGTCTCCCAGAGTGCTGCGCTCTTCATCCGCAAGGTGCTCTGCCCCCATCCATGGTGAGTGAGGAGTTTGGAAAGAAGGATGGCAGCATCTTTCCATGTGTGGCAGGCCAGACGGGCTGCTTGCAAAGACAGATCTCACACTTGAGGGCGTCATTCAAGGCAGATCTCAGATTACAGATGCTTTTCTTTGTTTCCTCTCTCTCTCCCTCTCTCTCTCTCTCTCTCTCTCATTGCACTTGTGCCTATAAGAATTATGCCTGCAGAAAGAGTCTGCGAGAAGGAAAAAAGGGTGCAGGCAGAGCTCGGCAAACTCCCAGAATCCCCCAGCCAGTATGGCCACTGGCCATGCCGGATGGGACATGCTGAGAGATGCAGTCCAAAAAAAGGAATGTTTCCCAGCTCTGAGTGCAAGTGTCTGGCAGTGGAGGTGCCTAGGCTAGCACCAGTTGCGCTGTAGGGAAGCTTGATAACATGGCATTCAGTGATACAGTTTCAAGAGCTAAATCAGCAGCTGGAATTGAGACAACCTGGAATAAATTCTTCAAAGTGGAAGCCAGATAGGTTGCACTAGAGAGCAGACTGATGGCATATTTCCCTGGCAGTGAAATCACACTGTCTTCAGTGGGATTTACTCCCTGGTAAGTGTATATTGAATTTCCACCGAAGAGCAAGGGTGGAAAATGTCTTACTGAATGAGAACAGAGCAGTTCTAAAGATCCTTCAGTTCTCATTTGTACTAGAAAGTCTAGTGATGGATTTGCCTGAGTAGGGTCTCAGTTCAGTGGCAGGAAATACCTGTTGTATGCAAAAGGTCTTGGATTCAAATTGTTATGTCTCCTGTTAGGGATAGAAAAAAATTGAGCTTGGAAAGTTACTTTTAAAAAGTTACTTGTTCGCATCACTATAGTGTTTTTAAAAATATTACTTTATCATTGTTTCCCATTACTTAAAAAAAATCAGATTGGTAACAGAATGGCATCAAACTTGAACATTTTCTGCTAAAATGCAGTGCCCTTAAAATACAAGCGGGGGGAAAAACCCAAGAAATTACCACTCATTACATCAGTGAAGTAACTTTGTTACAACTAGTAATTGTGTTACTTGGAAGACAAGTAAACAAAAAACAAACAAACAAAAAAGCCCACCTACCTAAAACCGTGGAAAGGCTCCTGCTGGCTCATGTAGGTCAACGGTTCCCAACCTTGGGTAACCCAGGTATTCTTAGACTGCCATTCCCAGAAACGCCGGCCAGCACAGCTAGTGGTGAAGGCTTCAGGGAGGTGCAGTCCAAGAACACCTGGGCTGCCAAGATTGGGAATCCCTGATGTAGATTATGCTGAGCTAGCTGATGGGCCTGAGTTGGGTCACTCTTCCTGCAACACTCCTCTTGCTGCCGCCACCTCCTTCTCGTTGTTGTGATGAGGTCATCTCTGAAAACACAACCTCTGCCTACATATTTCTTGGCCTTGCAGGAGCCGCCCCACTCTCAAGGACTGCTTTGCCAACCCTTGGCTCCAGGACGCCTACCTGATGAAGCTGCGGCGTCAGACCCTCACTTTCACCACCAGCCGCCTGAAAGAGTTCTTGGTAGACCACCAGCGCCGGCGTAGTGAGGCGGCCACCAAGCATAAGGTCTTACTGCGCTCCTACCACGGCGCCAGCAGCAGCCACATGCCCTAGCCGCCTGCCCTGCCGGAGGAGCCACGAGAAAACATTCCAGCAGGGGGTGTGATGGGCCAAGCACTTCTCCACCCAGCCAGGGTGGGACTGGTTGATATACCTCATGCATCAGGACAAGTCCTCAGCACTGGCCGCTGTTCTCCACTCCGACCAGCAGCCCCTGCAATCTGCCTGCTCAAGAGGGGAGTGGAATAGTCCCTGATGGCAGAACCTGGAAGACTGGGGGGGGAAATTCACAGTTTGTGGGTGTGGGTGGCTTTCGGGAGGGAAGGGAGACGTGCTCTGGGAAATGTAGAGGTGTGGAAGCCATGTCAGGTGACCAAGAGGTGAAAGCCTTAGCATCTCCTCATCAAAAGGAGGCTTCAGAGGGCCTCTTCTGTATTGTGCCTGAAGTGCTGCATCTGAACCCTGTGTGTTGGTGCAGCTGCAACAAACCTCTTTTGCTTACTACCACCAGGAGACACCAAGTGTGTGGCCAGGAGCCCTGAGAGATGTGAGGAGGGGAGGGGAGGCTGGGAATCTCTCTTCCCTTTTATATACCGATCTGAAACAGGAGAAGAGAAAGAGGGATCAGCCCTGCAGCCTTGCACGAGAGACCTAGCAAGCAGCAGCAAGGGGCAACCTCTTGCTCCCCCGTGCAACAGACGTGTAGCACAGAGATCAGATAGTTCTTCCTCTCCATAGGTGTTTGCATTCCCCAAGACAAGGCCCAGAGAAGTGGGGCATATATTGAATTCAGAGGAATCTCTAACTTAGGAGAGCCATCAAAAACAAAGAACATCATGCTAGAGGGAGGTGAGGGTGAGTGATCATTTTCTTGAGATTCCTGTCTGCTCACATCTATTTGTGCGTGCAGAAGAAGCCAACAGCGTGAGGCACAGACCAGCAGATCTCCCATGCTCACAGCTCCCCTCCCACCACACATATGCTTTCCTGGTCCCCCCCCCCGCACTTTGTGCATGCTTGCCTGGCAGAAATACATACAATACCGGCCTTTCTTTTTAAAGAACTAGTGCAGAATCTTCTTCCCCTGCCCACCTTGCTTCATCAAGCACACGCTTCGGACAAAATCCCTTTTCCTCATATTACGCGCGCACACACACTCCCTATAACAAATGTTTTCCTTTAAAACACAATCTCATGCAAACAGGCCCAGGCCACCAAAATGATTTACCTTCTCCGAGTTTGGAACAGTTATAGTTTTGGACTACAACTCCCAGAATCCCACAGCTAACGTGATCATTAGCCATGTTTGCTGAAGAGCTTGTGGGAACTGCTGTCCAAAGAAGTAATTTTTCCAACCTCTGCCTCCTCCTTTTGCATAGGCATCCACGTGGCCTTTCCATTGCATACAGGGGGTCTGTTTGGCTGTTGAGGAGGGCAATGGAATATGTGTTATGTCCTAGTTTTTCCATTGCTTTACCTTGGGATGCTGGTTGATGTTAGCTGACTGTATCCTTGCTCTGGCAGAAGTGCATTTATAAAGCCACTTACAAAGCCAAGGGAAAGAATATAAACACAGGAATAAAGATTTAGGCCTGAATTACCTTGTTTTGCTACTCAGCCTGTCCTCAATAGTGTTTGTTGTGAGCCAGATCTGACGTGTCCTACTGAAAGGGATGGTAGCCATTCTGAGAACCAGTCTATAAGTTCCCACAACTGTAGCCATTCTGGAAGAGATATTGGCCACCAGGAAATAGAAACCTGGGTTTCGTAGGGCAGAAAATGGCAAAGAGCCTTATCTTTTGAGCAAAGACCCAAGAGTTTTGCCAGGACTCAGGACATACTGGATGAATGCAGCTATTCTGTACTGGTTTGGTTGTGTGAATCCATTTCTATGGTTCTCCATCTCTGTCCATTCATCACACTTTACAATGTGCTTGGGTTGTGGAGATACCAATTTCCTTCTGCCAGGTGCAGGTAGAGCAAACAGGGCTACTTCCAGATGTGTCCCTTATTGCTAATAAATCCTTGTTTTTCTGCTGTAAGCTACAAGTGGAATTGTAATAGATTTTTCAAAATATTGGGGATACTGCATGTTTCCTCTGTGTTTGGCCTGCTATGTTCGGTCCAAAGAGATATCTATGACCCAGCTGTTCTGCTGCAGGAAGTGGAAGGTTCAATGCACCTTTGTGGCCACTGGGAGGAATAGTGTCCTGCAATCATTTTTATATATTATTTATTTAGTGCTAAACATTTAATTAATGCAAGGAGGATTAAAAACTAATAATAATAATTGTGTTCCAGCAAGTCAGTTCTGACATGGTGACCCTTTTCAGGGTTTTCCAGGTAGAGAATACTCAGAAGTAGCTTACCATTCCCTTTTTCTGGGGGGTGCTCTGGAACTGGGCAGCTTGCCCAAGGCCATGCAGGCTGGCTCTTCTCCCATGAGGCACAGTGAGGAACTGAACTCCCAACCTCTGGCTCCACAGTCAGATACCTAAACCACTGAGCTATCCAACCAGCTTCATGATTCGACAATTAGTACCTCTGAAAAGTCAAAAAAACAAAGCATTTAGCACTTGTTTTGGGCTGGAAGTATAGATTGGGAGTGTTTCATTAGGGGAAAATGCTGCTAATATAGCAATGACCAAAGGAAACAGATTCCTTTTTATTTTAAAAAAAATAGTGTTATAGTGCTATAACACTTTCATTTAAAATAAGGATTACATTGCTAATCTTTGTAAAAATGGATCAGAAGTGTATAACTAGGGGGAATAGTTTGCTAAAACAATGGTGATGAGAAAGATTTCTTCCCCCTATATTTTAAAAATTAACATTATAGCAATATACCACTATAGCACTTAACAACATTTTGCTAATATTTCAAATATATAAATTCAAAATCATTATAGCTCTAACTAAACGTTTTATTTTTAAAATCAATGGGGAAATAAAATAGCCGCCACCACTATGGTCATAGTGTATGTGTCCTCCTGAGTTGTTATAGGTTCACTTGCCTGCTATCTTCTCACTGGCCAAACCAACCTCATGCCACTTGGAAAAGCTGGACTAGCAGTAAAGGGCATCTACATTCTCATTATTTTCTCCTTTTAAAAAAGGATTTTTTTTTAATTTAAAAAGGGAAAATTGCAAGGTTACAAACAGACAAAGATGTCATACAAAGCTGCTCTGAAAATGTGACAGGAAAAGGCATGGAAATTCCACACTAATGTTCTTCTGTGGAAGCAGCCCAAGAGTCAAAAATAAATGCAGTGAATAATCACTGTGCCTCTGTGTTTTATCTGGGGAAGAGAGAAAGTAACGGGGGAGAGAAGTTCCCTTTATGCGTACACTTAAACAAGACAGTTTTAATTTGCTCATTCCCTGCACCAAATCAAAGATACTGTATTTATGATTGCCATCAGCAGACTGACAGATGCATGTGTTTTTAAGTACAAGGGTGGAAATAGGCTTACCACTTTGCAGGCAAACATACATTTACACACAGACACACACACACACACACACACACACATTCTAGGAGAGTGCTCAAAATAAACCACTGCAATGCCGTTCACCATGGAAGGCGGCTGTACAAATTGGAAAAAGGCCCATCATAAACCCACTTCTCCTCAGAGCTGTTTTGCAACTTGAAAAGAAAATGGCTGTGTTGTTTAAAAGAAAACCTTTAAATGCATAACTATGCCAACGGCACTTCAAACAAAAACGGCAGATAAGTGACATGAGGCGTGGGAGTAGAAGCAAAGTCAGCTTTCATATGGACAAGTATGTGTTTGTAGTGGGACAACAAAGGGAATCTGACTTCCCCACACAAGAGAATTTAAAACCCACAAGCCGGATCCTGTTTTTGAAAGCTACATTTTGTACACATTTGCTTGGTGTTTTTTTTTTTGTTTGTTTGCTTGTTTTTTCATTATGCTTGAGGAGATTCCTTTGTCTGGGTTGGTTCCAGTAATTTCCCCCTCTGGATGTGATAATGCTTGTTTTTGTAGAGTAGGGTTATTTATTAAAAATATTCTAACTTGCCTTTCATCTGAGGTTGTCAGGGCAGCATACAAAAGGAAAAACTAAAACAAGCCCCTATATAATATAACAATAATGTTTCCAATAAAAACTAATCAGAAACATATATACTGTTGAGATTCTACCTTTCTTTTTTTAAATGACCCGCATAAATAACCCCTTTCTCAATGCTGTGAAAAGCTTCACCTGACATACATAGATCTAAATGTTGTTTAGGAATCAAGATGTAGTAGTTGGTAATCCTAGCTGCATAGAGAGAATCATCATTCTGTTCCTTTTCCCAATGGTACTTGCAGTGAATGTGCCGGCCAGTGAGATCTTTTGACAGGATCCGCCTTTCCATAGTACTTGCAGTGAATGTGCACTGTAGAAGTTTTCCTGTTAAACATTCCCAGCCGGCCAGCGAGATCTTTTGACAGGATCCGCCTTTCCATTCCCTCCCCCCTATCAGGGAAGATTCTCAGACTTCACATCTGCATATAGAAAATCCCTCACTCCACAGGGGCAGAGGCCTAAAATACAATCTGCCTCCTATTTATCATGCTGCCCTCTCATCCATCCCTAGAAAGATCAGGAACACACACACACACACACACACACACACACACACACACACACACACACACAGCACACGAAGACCACTGTTAATGACCCATGATAATGAGTGGAGAAGGACTGCAGAAGTGGGATTTTAACTCACTCCCCCCCCAATCATTCGTCCATCTAATGATCCTATTCAGACCAGAGGGAAGTGAAACCAATGGATCTATCAGGATCTCCTACCAACTCTCCTCAGACTGAAGAAGCTACTTGGATGATTAGCGAAACTTTCAACCTAAGAAAGAAGTCCAGTTGCCATGACTCAACTTCCAACTCCACCCCCCTGATTTTTATGCCTCCTTTTCCAGTTTATTAGCATTTCATGGCAATGGGGCACATATTCAGTTGTCAAATGGCTGTTTTGTTCCTTTACCCCCATTTTAAAGTTCTTTGCCAAAATTATTGTTCTTCTTCTTTGAACTGTGGGGTTTCCTTGAGCCTGCTGAAAACATCTTCCTGTGTATAGAAACAAAGGCAGAAACAAAGGAATCCACATCAGACAATGACATTTTTATCCATAAGTAGGGCAAGTGGGATTTGCAACAAACATTTGCAGCCTACATTACCTCTGTTCAACATTTCAGCCAGCATTTCTGTTTCTCAGAATATTCCATTCCATTCTCATTCTGACTGTCCAAACAACCCAAGGGATATGCAGTATTCGGTGGCCAGTAAACACACTTGGTCCTTAGTGAGCTATTTTGAGTAGCCTGCATGCATACTTACTCTCCCAAAAGTGTGTCTGTGTTGCATTCTGGAAACCCTGACATTTACTCAAGACAGAGCTGATTCCAGTGATATCAGTTGTGTGAGTGAGGCCTGAAGGGGAAGCTAAAGATATGTTGCTGCTTTAGCTGGAGTAGAAAATGCTGGAGATCTGACTCAACAAAAAGTTCTGGTGCATAAGGGAGAAAATGCCACACGTTGCTCTCTCTTTATCAGTGATCTAAATTAATAACCAATTTAACCATATCCTGCTCTCATGATACTCTGCTCCATGAAGTGACTGCTATAATCTATCCAAGAGTAGGGCTAGCCTTGAAGAGTAGCAGTAACTGCCTTCAGCTACTGACTCTCAGTTCAGGCACAAGGCAAGGGAACTTTAAACCCTTCTCTCCAGCGCCGAGAGCAGAGGAAATTGATCAGTCAGTTAAACGGGATTGGGGCTCTGTAAAGGAGTTGACCCAGTTAATCAGGTGGTGGATCTTCTGACCCTATTATGTTACCCTTTTTGGCTTTAGCCTAGCACAGCATTTGTCTCGGCTTTATTATGATCCCGCTATTGTCAGCTGCCCATATTTTTTTAAAAAATAAATGCCTGAGAATACATCAGATTGTAACAGCTCTAACCATTTTACCACAAAATTGATTTGAAAAGTGGGGGGAGAAACTGTCTTCATATTTAACTATCCTCTTAAGATCTGATTACATGAACAACTGGGAAAGAGGGGGAGATGAATGTACCAGCACAGAAACACACTCATGGACACATCTGCATTCTCTCTCTCTCTCTCTCTCTCTCTCTCTCTCTCTCTCCCTCTCTCTCTCTCTCACACACACACACACACACACACACACACACACACACACACACACACACACACACACACACACACACACACACACACACACACACACACACACACACTGCAATAGCATCCCTTCTCATAATTGCATATAATTTCCCTTAGTCCAGTCTTTCCCAAACTGAACATCCTCTGAAGGTAGTGCACTACAGATCCCATTATCCTCAATCATCATAGCAATGCCAGACTGGCTTGGGGATGATGGGAGATATAGACATGTGCATATGTGCAACCTCCTTGCCTACAGCTGCAATGGAGCCATTCTGGTTCAGGCTCTATTTCTGTGGAACAGAGCACATGCTTTGTGTCGAGAAAGAACTGACATGAAAAAGAACTGCTGAAACCCTAGAGGCTTGCTGCCGATTAAAACTGAGGTAGACAAACCAAGGATCTAATTCTGTATAAGGCAGGAGGTACCATTTAGGATACTGAGGGTGGAACAAGTGGCTTGTTACCTAGCAACAACCTGCCTGTGTGTAACCAAAACCAGGACAAAACATGTCACCCAAATCCAGGATCTTGCTGCCATTGGGACGTTATCTTACATTACAGCATGGAACATGGCTTAGATGCCTTTCTGGAAATGTCTGGTACACTCAATACTTCTGCTAGCTCCTTAGAGACTTTCAAGCTACTGTACGTCTTTCAGTTTTTACTTTTAAGCCAGCTGTCATACTGGCAAGTGTCAAAAATAGCTAGGCAGAATGAATGAGGGAACACTTTCTGTTGCATAATCCAAATTCTTGGTTTTATTCATTAGGCAAAATTCATAATAAACCAAATGCAACACGTATTCCAGCACATATTGCAAGGGTAACTGTGTTAGTCTTTTGTAGCAGGCACAGCAACTTTTGCAAACTTTGAAACAAACACATTTATAATGGTATATATTTTTATTTAGTAGCATCTACTTATTCAGATGGGAGACATGAAAGAAGCAGCCCTAAAGAATGTGAATGCATACAGGTATCTCCTGGGCAATGAGAGCAATTGCCCACTGATCCTTCAACTCCAGAAGCACCAACATGTGGTTAAAGGGCCATTTCCCTGCCCTAAATGGAGTTGCACTCCCCCTGAGGGACAGGGTGCACAGTCCGGGGGTGCTCCTGGACCCTGGTCTGGTCCTGGAGACCCAGGTGGTGGCCAGGGGTGCCTTCCTGCAACTGCAGAAACTGTTGCAGCTGCGGCCCTACCTGGACCAACAGAGCCTCATGACAGTCACACATGCACTGGTAACAACCCATTTAGATTACTGCAATGCGCTTTACATGGGGCTGCCTTTGAAGACAATCTGGTGACGACAACTGTTTCAGAATCGAGTTGTGTGACTGGTGAGTGGAGGAGCTGTGAGAGACCCTATTCTGCCAATTCTACCAGTTACCTGGGCCCAATTCAAAGTGCTTGTTTTGACATATAAAGCCCTAAACAGCTTGGGCCCTGGATACCTGAAGGACCGCTTCTTTCCATACGAACCTACCCAGCAACTGAGATCTAACCAGAAGGCCCTCCTGAAAGAGCCGTCCCTCAGTGAGGTAAGAGGGATGGCCTGTAGGCAGAGGGGCTGTTGTGTAGCTGCCCCCGGTCTTTGGAATGCCCTCTGAAATGACATCCGACTGGCACCGACATTACTGACATTTTGGTGCCAGGTTAAAACTTTGCTGTTCCGGAATTTTTTAATTGAAGGTTTTTAATTACAACTGATAGAGTCATGGATCTAGATTGTTTTTGTAGATTTTTGCCTTTGTAGAGTATAGATGTAACCGTATTGTTTTTTAGTGTGTTTATTTCAACTGAACTATTTTACTTGATGTTGGAAGCCGCCAAGAGACCCTTGCAGGGTATGGGCAGTATACAAATCAAATTAAATCAATCAATCAATCAATAATACAAATACCATTGTATGAATTTAACAATATGCCCTTGACAGTGGCCTGCAAGTAATTTTAAAAGGCCCAAAGTCAGGGCCAAAGCTAACCATAATCCCTATTAACATAGCGGACTTGTTAACACCTACAAAAAAGAGCTACTACATCAGCTCTGCCAGACACATGATTGTGATACACCCTGTATTCAAGAAATGCATAAAGATAGCCATCAGCGACACTCTAAAATATCTGGCATGCGACTTGCAGCTGAGAGACTTCATAGACAGGACTGAAGCACTATATTAATTAAGCTTGGCCTTCAAATATTCATAAACAAAAAATAAATTTTATAATCATATTCTTCAAATGCCACAGTGTGATCTAAAAGCCTTTAAACAACAAATTAATTCATAATTTAAAATTGAAAGCAGGCACAAATGCTTAGTAAAAAATATTTTACATTAAAAATAAGCAGTTTTGCTTGAGAAATACTACATTCTAGTAACAATATTTAACACAGAAATTAGCTTAAGTTGATGAAAAATAGTTTGCAAAAATCTCTAAGTCCCCTTGGAATTGCTTTACATACTCCAGAATGGGAACAAATGGGCTATATCATCCCAGCATAATCCTTAAGCATACAGGCATGCTTTCCTTCAGTGAACTATTCCTTCTTAAGTGTGTACATTTCCCATAATTTCAATTTTATAACAATGGGTTCTCCACATCATACTACTCAGAATGAAGCCCTCCTCGTTTTTTCTCAAATACCTTAATAGAAACACTGAAACATCTCCCCCCCTCTCTCCACAGTTTAACTCAGTGCTATTGTGCTTACTGGGACAAATTTGGTGGAGGGGAAGGAAGAATCAGTAGCATCATTTACCTCACTAGCATCATTTGTGAGGTAAGTTTTGATAAGCAAGAATGTCATGATTAACTAACATTATTCTGTTCTAGAAGTTTAATTTTAAAAAAAACACACAGAGATCCTTATTTTAGAGCCATGCTTCAGCTCACATCAGCCTACTACTCTCCTTAGTTTAGGAGGTGAGGAAGTGCAGCTGTCTAGAATGGATCGGACTACAACTCTCATCATCCCTGATCCCTGACTAAGTTAACTGGGATTTGATTATCTTTTGATCCGAAGGCACACATCATCTCCTTCCACCCTTCTGATCTTCTTAAGGCTCCCTCCCTCCCTCCCTCCGTGTGTGTGTGTGTGTGTGTGTGTGTGTGTGTGACTGAGAGAGAGAGAGAGACTCTCCCCCTCACATTCTGTTTCTGAGCCAGAGGACAGGAATGGTGCACCTGCTCCATCGCAGTCCCTCTGGGCTGGCCTATGTGATTACACAGCACTGTGCTGCAATCGGCGCGGCCCCAATACTCACAGGTACCTGGCAACAGACTATATAAGGGAACGCCTTGGATTCTTGTATGGGCAGGGGGCACGGCCCCACTGGCCAAAGAAGGAGACATCTCTACAGGAATGTAGCTGAGGGCATGAGTAGACCTGGCTTCTCTGGTCCAGCGATATAAATCTGGGCAGGTTGAGGGGGTGGTGGCCTTTTCCATCCCAGAAAAGCTTACTTGGTACTGTCCATGGTGAAAGACCTCTGTCTTCTGGAGGGAGAACAGGACCCCCGCAAGAACTCCCGCACACCCAAGCACCACCCATCCTGGGAACATCCTTCAGTGACTGAGTGAACTACTGATCTTCTGAGGTACCTCAGCCTTGCTTTCAAAACAGAACTCCATTTCACACAATCACAATGGGGCTGCTCTCCATGGTTTCAAATGGCTGAACCATCTGGGCTGAACCAATGGGATGCACCATCTCTACTGCACAGAAGCCTCGACTTGTGATCAGGAATGGGCTGGGGGAGTGGGGAGAAGGGAAACGAATGTCTTCTGATTCTCCTACAACTCCATTAAAGCTGACCAAGACCTTTTGGCCAGGTACAGGGCAATCAAGATTGAATTGGACTTCAGATGGATGGTGCGAATTATTGTAACTTTTTGTATCTTTTATCATATTTATTACATTGTGTTTTCATTGTATATTGTGAATACCCAGAGAGTGATAAACCTTATGAGGTGGTATAGAAGCGGAACATGCATGCATGCATGCATGCATACATAGGGTGGTATAGAAGCAGAACATGCATGCATGCATGCATACATACATTGCATATTGGTGTCTGACAATTGTGAACACAGGAAAAGGCCACAAAAGAGTGAGACTTTTGTCTGTCATGTTAAGACTGTTACTTTTCCTTTCCCCCAGATGTCCAAAGCTGCGCCCAAGAAGGCTGCTGCAGCCCCGCCCCCAGGATGCGACCTGGACATCAATGACCCCCAGGTGCAGAACGCTGCCATCCGCATCCAGGCCTCCTATCGTGGGCACAGGTGAGAGGCAGAGCAGGTGGGAGAGAAAGAAGGGAACAAAATTCTAGGTGTCAACATGAAGGGAAACCTAAGTAAACTCTGCAAAGGCTATTGAGGAATCATGTTGGAATTGGCTTTATAAATGGGAGTTGCCTTAAAGGCTCTTCCAGGGTGTATGTGTGCCAATATTTTTATAAACAAAGAAATCCTGGGGCAGCATGAGCACTCTTGCTTACTTTCAAAATCCTGTATGGCTTGGGGCCCAGCTGCCTGGAAGACTGCCCACCTCCACATCAGCCTCTCCATCATTTAGTGTTTTCTTTGGACTCACCTCCCTCTGGATGTCCCCGTCGACTGAGGGGAAGTGGCCAGCAGTAAGAACAAGGATCTGCTCACTGGTAGTGGCGGTGGCAATATTCTCCCAAGGAATACCAGCTGTTCTTGACTATCACCTGTCATTTTTTCCCCAAATTCTCATGCCCTTAAATTATTTTGGTTCATTATGGGAACAAGTTATATAAAGGTCAGAATCTGATTGGTATTTGCATAAGATTTGCATGACTTGCTGCAGCTGCACCCTAGGTCCTAGCTAGTTAGCCATGGCAATTTACAAAAACCTTAAGCAAACACCAACAGGATTTTGGCCATTGCTGCATTTTTATGGATGCTATTTTGGTTTGGGGAGTTGTAAAGATGGTGGTGTAGTGTAGCCATTCTCAACCCTTTTTCTTTTTTGGGGGGGCGTGGCCATAAACACAATATGAAAGAAACATAGGCTGAATCGGGATTGTATATCTTGCATAACAAACCTTATATGGTAGTGTATTAAGAATTGTTTCCAGTCTGTGGCCCCCTTTAAATGCACCTGGATGCTCCCCCAAGGAGGCCGTATGGCTCCTGTTGAGAATGGTTGAAGTGGATAGAATGACTAGGCCTGAGGAGACCTGGTTTTGAATCCCTGCTCAGCCATAAAAACTCACTGGGAGAATGGAACTGTGGTAAAATCATTCCTTAAATATTTCACTTTTATTGGAGTCACTATAAGTTGGTTCCAACTTGACAGTATACAACAACAAAAATCAAATCTTTTGGAGAGAGTGGAATATTTATAATAAACAACAAACGCCATGAGAGTACTGTGAGGGGACAACTAGATAGTGAGTTGCACATGGAGGAAGGCAGTATAGGAGACAGAGTGTTTCTCCCACTTCTGAGAGCAGGCAGGCGGTGAAACTGGCAAATGAACACTGCTACCCCTGAGGTGAGGGGCAGGGATGAGCTCAAAACTGTGATGAACGATTTAAGGAATATTTTGAGAATCTGTGGTTTTAGTTGGGTCTGATCGTGAATGAGCTCCAAAGAGACAGAGGTGGGTGGGTAAGAACCAAGCAAGAGATATGAGGAAGAGAAGCAGCAGGAGACGGTCAGCTGGAGAAAGGGAGAGTGGGTGCGAGGGTGGATAGTGAAAATGTCAGCAGCTTGGAAATCTTCAGGACTGCCCAGTGCAGCTTTTCTTCCAGCATCAAATATTTGCTAGAGTTGGAGGTGTAGCTCTGATATAGTTAGAAGCCCCAGAAACTGTTGTGCTGTGGTGAAATGAAGGCATTTGCTACAGCAGGACAATTTCTCTTCTTCTTTTCCAGCTAGATCTAACAATAGCGGCATACTTTGAGGTTTTGCCCTCAGTTCCACTGCTTATGCTGTCATACCCCAGCCCCTCTGCTCAATCCAGTCTTTGAACTCATCTCAACTAAAGAAAGCTCAGAAGTAAAGAGTTGGAAGAAATACAGTTACCTGTAACTGGTTGCTTTTGGGGTACCTAGAGTGTAATGAAGTTATACTTAAAAGTAACATAACAAGGAGGGCCACAGTTACCTTAACTCGCATAAAGAATAACATTTTCTGGTTTCTTTCAAAAGTTATCTTTTAAAGGTATTTTAGAGGCATTTGAGAATTTTTTTTCAAGTTTTATTTTGTTCTCCTATCCATCCTGAGACTTTTTCTTTTACAGGAATGGAGACTTAATGGGCCATGTAACAAGCAATACAATGAATTACTTCTCCAAGCTTGAAATGAATAATGGCAATGGGCTACTTACTGATCAGTAGTATAACAAGTAGGAGGAAGGAATTACTCTATAAAAGTAACTTTCCAAGATCAACAACTGACAACCCAACCTTATCATTCACTACTCCCATTTGCTTTGGAATTTGCATATGAAGTCCCCAAGGTGGGTTATTCAGTCTAAAGAGATTGTCGCAGCAACATTCTTCACTGCTTATACTTCCTTCTGTACCTTTGTTGATACCAGATTTATGGGTCAAAACAAAAACAGGATACAACAGCAACAAAATCAAACTGGTTATTCAATCAGACTCTGCTAATTTCTACCTCATGCATTTGCTCTCATCAGATTGTTAAACAATTAGCTGCAGCTTAATAATCAACACCCAGGCAGTTGATGGTGAATGCTCATGCGACCCATCCAAGTATCTAGTAGTCCACATAATTGTGCAGCACATGATTGTTTCAATTAGTCCCACTGTTTTTGTACTACTGCCCCCTCCCGCATCCTTCCTCTGTTCTCTCTTTCTTCATGGTTTGGCCACGGGCACCACGACAGCCAGGGCCAGCTTCCCGTTGCCCCTGATCACAGGGAAGAGGCACTGCAGGATCTCAAAAGGAGTTCTGAGTGACTGCTGCTCAACTTCTTTCTTTCCTCTTCCAGGTCCCGCAAGGAGCTGAGAGAGAAGGGGCCCCCACGGGTGATTGAGAACCTCAAGGACGTGATGCTGATTGAAGGGAGCGCAGCCAAGTTGGAATGCCGCATCAGTGCCTTTCCAGACCCTTTCATCCGCTGGATGAAAGATGGGGTGGAGCTCAAGGATGGGCCCAAGTACCGCTATGTCTTTGAAGACCCTGACATTGTTGCACTGGTGGTACGTGACGCTGGCCTTGCCGACCTGGGAAAGTACAGCATCTCCGTGAAGAATCCCTTTGGAGAGTGCTCTGACTCAGCCCGTCTCCTCATAGAAGGTAAGGGGGTCCATCTCCCTCCCTTTCACAGCCTCTCCTCCTTTCTAAACATAGCAGCCTCCATCCCCAAAGTCATTCCACTGAAGTTCCTCTTTGAGAGCATCTCCCTTTGGGACGCCGCCGGCAACCAAATCATTCCACTGAAGTTTCTCTTTGAGAGCATCTCCCTTTGGGACGCCTCACTGGAGGAGGCAACGGCACTTGCTCTGCTCCTCCAACTCAACAGCCCTAACACCACTTCTATTCATAGCCTCCTGCCTTGTGCAGAGAAAGCCAAGCCTTTTCTAACTTTAGGCATGCCTATGTCAAGACACTGCCTTCCTTCCTTCTAGATAGAATTGCAGCCTGCCCGTAACTAGCTCTGATCCCAGACCTTAAGAGAGGGGAGAGCCAACGTTTGGAAAAGTTAAATAAATCAGCAACCCCCCGTGTCACTACTGATGATCCCAGAGCTGTGTTGCGGGCAAGTGGGTGGGTTTGCTGTCTTCTAGCAATGCCCTGGGTCAAAAGGCTCATCTCCCTGTCCTAGTTATGGCTCTGAAAAGCTGCAAGCCATACCAGACTTACAAAATATCCCATGATCACTCAACCTGCCCTAAAGCAATTTGGATTTGGAACCAAACTGAAGATCAACTCCTTGTTTTCACGAATACCTGGAAGGCAGAAGCAACAGGTCGCAGATACATGGGTTTTGTCTATGGCTGGTCATAAGCTAAGGAAGAAAGAAGTTCTTTTTCTAGGGGAACCCTCTTTTCACCCCCACAAGGCATAAGGATAGGAAGATGTCACAAAACCCATTAACAGAGCCTTTAGGCCTTCCTAATGTTTTAGCTTTCAACTTCCATCAGCCTCACTGAGCATAGCCCATCATAAAGGGTAAGGGGAGTTGTAGTCCAATACATCAGGAGGGCCCCATCACTGCCACAGCTTGAAGATGCTCTACAACTTGACTTTCCTTAGGCAGGGAGTGGCAAAACAAGAGGAATTTTGCTTGGCCCTGACCTCATCTCTCCATTGCAGTGCCTGCCAAGATTGAGAAGGGCCCTGAAAGCACTAAGGCCAAGAAAGGTGCCACAGTGAACTTGACAGCCCTCATCAGCGGGGAGCCAGCCCCAGATGTTGGCTGGGCCAAGGATGGGGAAGACATTGAAGAAGATGATCGGTGAGTGAAGTTCACCTCTGGCTCAAAGGCACAGGGATGGGGAAATTTACCTGTCTGTGCTACAGTTAACAGAATTCACCAACCAATATGGCTATGTTGCTGGGTAAACTGGAACCTGTAGCTCAGAAAAACAACTTGCTCAACTCTTGTCGAAACAAGGGTAGACAGGTAACACCCATGTCGCTGCAGCAGATGTATGGCAAGGACTCATTGCTCTCAGTCCTTCCTTGTCCCTACTTTCTTTGATCCCCAACACACTAGCAGGTTAGTGTTCAGGCAGTGTAAAAATCAGAGAAATGAAGTCGCACCTTTAATATTTGAGTACTATGTTTGATCCAGAGTCCATATACTATAAACTTTGTTTCCTTTTAAAAAAAAGATGGAAGTGTCCAGGTTTTTATAGTAATTATGGAGAATTGTTTTTATAGAGCACTGTTTTCTAGAAGCGCAGAAGAAATTTACAACAATTTCCACCCTTTGTCTCCTTGGGCCCTTGGTTGCTATGGGCCTGCGTTCTTTGGCATAGGGCAGGACAGATTTAGCAGTGAGAAAAGCAACCAGATCTGGATCATGTGGGGTCCCTGAGTAGCAACGCTTATTTCTGGTGAACAGGACAAGACAGTAAATGAGCCTGTGGAAATACAGTGGTAAGGTTTAAGACCTGTCCCAGGCCACTGACTTGAGATCTCTCACTTTCCTTTCCCTGCAGTGTTTATTTCAACATTGGCAATGACTCAACCACTCTCACAATCAAGAGGGTGACGCCGGCTGATGCTGGGAAATACGAGATCTTTGTGGAGAACAGCCTGGGCATGGACCAGTCTTTTGCACGACTTGATGTGATTTGAGCTCCTGCCCTCCAAGTACATGGTTTTCCCCCTCCACTTCTTGCCAAGTATGATCCAGAGAGTTGTGCTGCCTCGCCCTGGGCAAAGAGAAGCAAATTAAACCCCAGTGGTACCATCCTCTGGGTATCTTTTAAGATGGCACAGAAACCCAGTTGCTTCTCTCCCTGCACCTTTGCCTCTCTCAGCAACATCATCCTGCCTGAATGGGGACACAGCTTTTTCCCTGACTTGCCACCAACAAGATGCCACCCTGTCCCAGGGCTGAATCCCTTTCCTGGACTGCTGGGGCCATCATTTGGCCAACAGCTTTGCAGAAAGTGCATACCACCGGCAGTGGTTCCACAAAAGCTTTGGCTAATGAGAGGGGTGAGAGAAGTTGGGCCTGTCGGATGTTGCTGGACTGCAATGCCCTTCACCCATCACCACTGGCTACAGTACCTAGGGCTGATGGGAGTTGTAGTCCAACAACAACTGGAGGGTCACACATTGTCCATGTTTGGTCTTGGGCAAAAAGAGTCCCTATGGGTCTTAATCAGCAGCCGCCTTCTCTTCAGCATCTCTGAGAGAGCCACTCCAGACTGTCTTCTTCCTATAAGAACTCAATAAAGCTAACTGATTACACAGAGCTCCTGTGCATATTGAATGCAGTTTCTCACATAAGAATTGAAATCCTGTAAATCTCAATCTGCCATGCAAGGAATGGAGGTGGAGGATAGAATTGCATCTAACTCTCAGAGTCAAAAAGATTCATTTTGTAAGCAGCTTGTTCTGAAACCTGTGCAAATAAGGGCTTTCTGGAGAGGATGTCTATTAATTGGCAATTTGTTGGGCTTGAGATGTGTTAGACCCAGGGTGGTGTGTGGTGGATAGACCGATGGACTGGGAGACCTGGTTTTGATTCCTCACTTGGCCATGGAAACTCACTGAGGTGTAGGTGTGGAATTGGTAAAGGTAAAGGTTCCCCTTGACATTTAGCCCAGTCGTGTCCGACTCTGGGGCGTGGTGCTCATCCCCATTTCCAAGCCGTAGCGCCAGCGTTTGTCTGAAGACAGCCTTCCGTGGTCACGTGGCCAGCGCAACTAGTCATGGAATGCCATGACCTTCCCACCGAGGTGATATCTATTTATCTACTCACATTTTTACATGCTTTCAAACTGCTAGGTTGGCAGGAGCTGGGACAAGCGACGGGAGCTCACTCCATAGCATTGATTCGATCTTACGACTGCTAGTCTTCCGACCTTGCAGCACAGAAGCTTCTGCGGTTTAACCCGCAGCACCACCAATTCCCTTTTGGAATTGGTAAAACCACTCCTTAAATACTTCACTTACTTTGAAAACACTATCAGGGTCATTATGAGTCAGTTCCAACTTGACAGCATGTAACAAGAAAAAAATATGTGTTAGAGTGGAACTTCCACTGTTCCTTATCATTGCTGTGCTTGTTAAAGTTGATGGAGTTGCAAGTTCCCCTTGGGTTAAGGAAAGAAGTGCCCGTGTCCTACTCATTAGACGTTTCATATTATACGAACACACTGTACTCCGGTTCCTTTGTGTTGTGCACCTTCCCCTGTTCATGATAAAGATGTAAACATTGCATTTCCAAGATGAGAGATGTAGACTTCCTTTCTTAGGACACCCACAGAGGTTCATACAAGACTCATTGTGCAATCCTCTACATGTTTACTCAAATATATTCATCACACTCTGTTCAGCAAACCTTGTTCCCAGTTACATGTGCACATTTTCTGAGTCTTGATGAACAACACGCTTGGCTTGTTAGATTTCCAGCATTCAGTTATCACAACCACCCCCAACAGACACGTCTAGATGCGTTAGTTACCACCCCTATCATATCCCTAGGATGCTGGGAAGTGTGATCCAACGAATCTACGGGATTCCAGCCTGTGGAAGACTATTGTTAGCCCAGCTTCCAGAAGTCAAGAACCTTTATGGCTCTGCATCTCTGCTCCTTGCAAACCATGTAATCTACGGGATTCCAGCCTGAGGAAGACTGTTGTTAGCTCAGCTTCCAGAAGTCAAGAACCTTTATGGTTAGTTTTAATGAAAGGGGCAAGGGAGTTCTGGAACCAAGGCTCAGCTTTCATTCCCTAGATAATGCTGCCTCCTGCAGGCACTGAGGGACACTGCACATTCTCACTCCCCAACGAATGTGCCAAATTTGCTGCTCCAGATATAAATAGTGCTTCCTGACCATATCAGGGGTTGTTTGGGCCTCACAACTACTCTTCAACTTGCCCATGTGACAGAGGCATGGAAGACAGGGAGAAGAAAAGCAGGCACAGCTCTGCATCTCTGCTCCTTGCAAACCATGATCAGTGTGCTTTTCACAGCCTTCCCCTGTAGCCTGTGTTTACAGATTTCAATCTCTCGGGCATACATGCTGTCCTGGAATCACCAGAATGTAGCAGAATAGGCCTTGATTCCCACAGTCCAACACCAGACTCTGTCACTGATAGTGCCTATAAATCACAAGCCACAGCGCCTCTGGGCATATATAGTTTTTCCTCACACACAAAATGACCTGCTGATCAAACTGTTGAGTTCGGAATGGTTTTTCAGGACAGATGAAATGACCTTTCAGGTTAGCAGGCTTGAGACCCAACACCTGTTATGCCTGAACACTTTTCAGTACTGGAAGCATACACAACTATGGCTGACTTCTCCCAACCATTCTTTTCAGTGTGCCAGAGGCCATGCTCTTGCCCTTGGGGGACAAGCCAATAACGCACATACTAACACTCCACATTCTGCAGCCACTGAATATGGATAGTTGTGTTGCCAGGATGGAACCCCCTCCTCAAGAGAGGAAGATAGCGGGGGCGGGGGCGGAGAGAGCTCCCAGGTTTTCCGAAGGAAACAAAAAGGGGGTGGAAGAGATTTAAGGGTGATTCAAAAGCTCCAGGGAAGACCGAGAGGGTGTGTCGACCGTGGGCTGCTGGCTGGCAGGTTAAGAACCGGACAGCAAATGCCAGGCAATGGGGGGAATTTCAAGGTGGAGTGGAATATTCTCGGAAAAGGGCAAAGGCGGCCAAGTCGGCATCCTGAGCATCGAGGCGTCACTTGCCCTCTGAAATCCCCGACGTGCCAGGGCATCGCCTCGTTCTGCTCGTTCCTCGAGTAGAAGAAAGGGGAAACCATCTGCACATGCCCTGGAGAAGCCAGGCTTTCAGAATTACGTCCTATGAGTCACACCCGAAAAGTGAAAGCGACCGGTTTGCCTGGACCCAAAAAAGAGAAACTTTGATTTCCCCCGAGTTTAGGTAAGGAGAAACCCTACCCCACTTCCCACCCCCTAACGCCTTCCCCACGGGGTTTGACCCGCAGAAATACAGTACTCGAGAAGCGGCGATGACCCGTCCCCCTTCTTTTCCGGGCAAGTCTCTTAAGTCCCTCCTAAACGAAAGCCCGCCCTCTGGCCGAGTCCTCTTACGGTGACGTGGCATTCTCACGTGTTCGGAAGTCGACCTCAACACCCAAGCCGGGCTAAGGGAGGGAAGAGTACGTTGGCTGGGTTTTCAAACCACCAGCACCAGCAACACCCGCGGCTGGAAGAAGGGCGCTCCTTTTCCCCTTCTGCCTCCTTTTTCCTTCCAGACGAAACGGACGATGCTAAAAGCCGTGATCCTCATCGGGGGCCCCCAGAAAGGTGAGCGACCCAGCGCCGCCCTCCAAGGGAATATCTTCTAAGCTTTCCCCCTGCAGACTTCCCTGACTGTACTCGGGGTCTCTCTTGCCACCAGGCACTGATAATTAGGGGTTCTTCTGGACCATCTTTGCACCCCTCACTGTCTCCTCGGCCGTCGTTCCCTCCCAGCTCGGTCGCGATTATTCCCCCTTGTTTTTGTTGCTGGGGCTTCCGCCCCAGAATCTGCAGCCGCCTCGAGTTGGGGTCGAGTAGAGCCGTCTGGCTAAAAAGGCTGACGGACGAGTCCCCAGCCCCCAAGGAGAGAGGAAGAGAGGCTAGTAATGTCAATGACGGGGCGGGGAGGGAGGGAGGAGGTGTCGTGAAGACATGCATATGCTCAGAATCACTCTTTTTCATTATAAACCTTCAGTGGTGACGTCTGTTTGTTTTTTTAAAATATTTATATCATGCCTTTCTTTAAAAGGACCTAAGGTGGCGTACATAATTAAAAAACAATATTTAAAGCTTTTTTAAAAGATGCTTTTAAAAAAGGTTGTTGTTAAGTCATGTCCATGCTCTTTGTGACCCCATGGAATTTGTTGAAAAAAAAAAGGTTGTTGTTAAGTCATGTCCGACTCTTTGTGACCCCATGGAATTTGTTGAAATTCATGTTGGTAGCTTCGGTGACTTTGTCCAACCATCTCGTCCTCTGTTGTCCCCTTCTCTTGCCTTCACACTTTCCCCACATCAGGGGCTTTTCCAGGGAGTCTTCTCATGAGATGGCCAAAGTATTGTAGTCTCAGCTTCAGGATCTGTCCTTCCAGTGACTTACATTATTAAAAGGCAATATTTAAAGCTAAAAACAATAGGTGTAGGCATCCTTCAGTCTGGAGAGACAATGTTAACATGCTCTGTATGGAGGTCTTGGAACAGCGTCTAGTGTGGCTGAGAAGGCCAATTCGAGAGTGACAATCTCTTCCACAATAAGTATACAAATACTAAAATGGATCGGACAAATGGATAACTCTGAGAAATGGTAAACAAAAGCAATCCTGAAAACATATTCACAACATGTCAGGCAAAAACAAAATAAAAATAAAAAAGACAACAAAAGTATTGTGTCACCTAAATGACTGACTGCTGAAATTTTGTGGACAAGTCAGTTCTTCAAACTTGGCCACAAAAACTCGCATTAAAATACAGCAGTTAGTCTTTAAGGTGCCACAGTGTTTTTGTCTTCTTTATTTTGATTTTCATTTTGTTTTTACCTGACATGCTAGCACAAACTAACATAGCTACCTCTTCTAAAACAATCAAAGCAGTAAGGCATAACAGTCCATTGGAAAATCCCACTCAGGCAGCCAATCATTGAGTGGAAGCTTGCCTGAAGAGAAAGGTCTTCACCTGTTTGGAGAGGGACAGCAAAGATGGAGCCAGCCTGGCCTCCTGTGGGAGGGAGTTCCAGAATCTGGGACCAATAACAGAGAAGGCCGTCTCCTGGATACCTATAAAATGCATCTGTGAAGGTGGTGGGACTGAGAGAAAGGGCTCTCCTTTCCTATTCTGATGTTTTGACCTACAATTCCTAGCCTTTTCCCAGAGATTATATGATGTAGGGCTGATGGGAGTTGCAGGCTAAAACCATTGGAGGCCAGAAGCATGTGGTAGACCCTTTTGCAGAATGCAGCTCATAATATTCTGTCTTGTGGCCAGTGAAATGTAAGGAACAGCAGAGCTGCTTGTGATTCTGGGTTCATCTTCCTCTTGCAGGGACCCGCTTCCGGCCCTTGTCCTTTGAGGTGCCCAAACCCTTGTTTCCTGTGGCAGGAGTGCCTATGATACAGCACCACATTGAGGCATGCACCAAGGTATTGAAGGGTGAGATATGGGATGGGAAGAGCAGTTCCAGTTCATATACGTACTGTATGTTCTTTTCATTTCTCATGCACAGTCAGAAGTGGTCAGAGAAATTGCAAGCAGTCTCTCATGGCAGAGTCTGAAATGGCTGCTGAGGGTTCTTTGCTGTTGCCTTCCCTCTTGTACAGGTGCCCAACATGAAGGAGATTCTTCTGATCGGTTTTTATCAGCCCAATGAGGCCCTCAGCCACTTCCTGGTTTCAGCTCAGCAAGAGTTCAAGATTCCCATCAGGTTTGTGGATGGCCATTTAGCATTTGCAGGGGAGATTAAGGAAGGGGTCCTGTTTCAGAATCTGACTGTACATAGGATGATTAAGGTGGTAGTTGCATTTGCCAACACATGGTGTAAAGCTTGCCTCTGTCTTACGCACCCCAATTTTGCAGCATTTCAACCAGAAGTAGGGAATAAGTAGCCTTTCAGCAGTTGTTGAACTTCAGTGCCCATCAACCCCAACCAGCCTAGCCAGTTGTGAAGTGTGATGGTAGCTGTAGTCCAACACCTGGATTCTCAGTGTTGATTTAACCTCTGATTCAAAAGTCACACATTATGTTTAATGGCATTGCATTTCACTGTACTGCATTGCTGTATAATGCCAACCCCTTTCCCCCATGGTTTTAACACCTGAAAAATTAAGGATTAGATTCCAAGCATGTGATAAAATGAGTTCTAGTTCATGAAAGTGGTTAGCTTTTAAAATGTCACAAGACTCTTTGTTGGTTTTTTTGGAAGAGGTTCATGTCGGTCCTACTATGGAAATGGACATACTTGATTTTTTTTGCTGTTGCAGAATAAGACTTCATATACATGTTCTCTAGGTATCTGCAAGAGTATGCAGCACTTGGCACAGGAGGTGGCATCTACCATTTCCGAGATCAGATCCTCTCTGGCAACCCTGAGGCCTTCTTTGTGCTAAATGCTGATGTCTGTTCTGCATTCCCTCTCGATGAGATGCTCAGCTTCCATCGGCAGCTTGGCAGCCCCAACAGCTTCCTCATGCTGGGCACCACGGTAATGTGCAGTCTTCCCTCCACCTGCTGAACTACTGTGGTCTTGGATGTAAGCACAGCTTAGAGAAAGGTGTTTTCAGCCACATCTCCCACAATCGTGTAACACTACCCGCAGGGGATAGGATATATGAGAGTTTTACTGTCCAGAACATTACAGGTACCTTGGATTGCCAGACAAATGTAAAGGGTTCTAGGTCAAATTGGGCCTGAACTCTGACTAGAACCTAAAACGATTAAACCAAGGCATATACTTTATATATATCATGAGAAGAGTCCTTAGAAAAGACAATAATGCTAGCAAGAATTTGAAGGCACTTGGAAAAGAGGAAGAAATAGCATGATGTCTTTGGAAGTCATTAATTCATAGAGTTGCCATAAGTCAGAAGTGACTTGCCAAGCACACAACAAAGTCCCAAACTCTTGGAGGGCCAAAAATGCCACGCCCCACCCAGCTTTGGGAAATGCAGTGGGAAGGTGTGCTGTAGGCCTCCAGTCTACAAAGCAAGTGACCTGTTGTCTTTGGGCTTTCCCAGGTCACCTGTTTTCCAGCAGGGAACATTTTGTGATCTAGGGCCGCTTCCAAGCCCTGTGATGCTCTTGTTACACTGTGCTTTTCCCTCCAGGCCAACCGGAAGCAGTCCCTCAACTACGGCTGCATTGTGGCAAATGCTGACACACACGAGGTATGTGAAGGACACTGAGTAGAGGATACTTTGCCATCTGAAGCCGAAAATGGGATGGCACTTTTCCCCCCTGCCCAGAATGGGTGATGGGGCAGCTGTGTCTGCTGCATCTGAAAGCAGCAGCCCAGCTTTAAGGGTGAAAGCCAAGGCAATGGCCCATTGCTCTTTCCTTCAGGGCTCTGATGCTTCCTTTCAGCCTCTGCCACCCTATTCTGTCTGTTAGGAGGCATGATGGCAGCATGCTTCCCCTTGATTCCCCCCCCCTTTTGCTGCTTTCTGGATCCTGGCATCAGATAGAGCAGTTGCCCCAACACTGTATAGCCAAATTGCAATGTTTTTCTCCTTTTCATGCCTAGCTGTCACTCTTTCCCTCTAGGTCCTGCACTATGTGGAGAAGCCCAGCACCTTTGTGAGTGAACTCATCAACTGTGGCATTTACTTGTTCACACCGGCCATCTTCCGTCACATTGGGGAGGTCTTCCAACGTAACCAGAAAGAGCTGCTTCTGTGAGTCTCCTTCTGAACCGTGCATTTGTGTCCTCCTTGCTCCTGAACAAGACTAGGTCACTCATCTACCATCTTTATTTTTCTGTTTCTCTCTATCTCTCCCTCCTCCTCCTCCTTGCCCATCTCCTTCTGCCATCTCTTGCCCACTCTGAGGGGCTCATGTATTGGGTAAGTGTGTCACCCTCTCACTTTTTCCTGCATGCCCCTCATCCAAGTCTTGTGGTAGTTCTGCTTCAGGAGCTTTGGGCACTTGGGCTAAGAGCTGGTTTTTTGGCATCCTGTAGTTTCTAAGGAAACAGTGTTGTTTCCATAGCTGACTCCCAGTTTGAGAATTTGCTTTGCCTCACCTGGAGACGCGTCCTTCTGTCTTGTAATAGGTGTGGCTCCCTTTTCTGATAAGCAGCAGGCTGCACCCCCTTCACCTTTTTGTTGGTCTTGTTCCTGCAGAGAGGAGAGCACCAACGGCTGGCAGCGAGCAGAAGCCATCAGACTGGAGCAGGATGTGTTCACAGCCCTTGCTGGGCAGGGACGCCTCTTTGTCTATAAAACAGAGGGCTTCTGGAGCCAGATCAAATCTGCTGGGTAAGGGGAATGAAGGAGGTAGAGCGGGATTCAAATTGGGCATTGTGTGGAGTGGGCAGAATGTGACTGGAAGGTGGTTGGTGTATATTCTGTGTGCAGGGTCAGTACAACCTGTCCTGCACCTCAGGCAAACAGTTAATTGCCTGAGGTGCAGGACAGAATGGCACCCACTTTCCATATGATGTACAAAAGGCTGGCAGTTAAATCATACTCCAACACTTCAGCAGTTGAACGGCATTTCAACACTGCTTGAAGGAGCAGCATTTTCAGCCATGCTTGGCAGGCTGAGGAGAGGCCGTGTGGGATGCACAGTGCTATCTGACATGTTGTCATGACTCCTCTAACACACACACACACACACACACCCGACATCATCTGCCATCTGAAGCCGCTGCCTTGGTCTGCCTATTGATATGGACAGCCTTGTTTGAGAAATTGCTAAGTTTTACATTCTACAGGCCCCAGCTTGACTTACCTTTAGTAAATATGGAGGGCAGTGTATGGGCTGCCTTGGATGTAGGTTAAAGGGAGAAACAGCTTCAAACTGTGCTGGCCAAAAGAGAGCCATGTTACAAAGGGCTGAGAAACAGCTGGGTATCGTTTGAAGGTTTGGAAGATGGATGCAGTGTGCGGGGACTGCTTTTAGACCCCTTGGCACAGTCACTCATTCTACCTCCTCACAGCCTCCAACCTCTGTGAGTTCAGGCTCTGTCTTCTTCCCTTGTTCCGGTTTCCCTGGTTTTGTCTAAATATGACCAGCATCCACCTCTGAAGCTTAGAATAATGAGCAGAATTCTTAGCCTTCCTTTTAATTTTTTTAAAAAAATTAGAATTGGAGATTCTGATTGGCAGGAGCCCAGTTTTTTGAAAAAGCATTTTAAATTTTCTTCTGGGTAACAAAGTGGGTGTGGGAGCCAGAGTGAAGTATAGGTAAATCATTCACCCCGCGCTGCGCCCAACATAAAGTTTGATCCCTCTTCCGTTGACCATAGGCCTTCATTTTAGTGAGAGAGCCATTTGTTCCTTCCCCTTCTCCCTTTGTCCTCCAAGGGTCAGCATGAGAGAGTTGCTACATTGTTGGGGGCCAAAGGCCAGGCATAATATCTGCCTTGTTCTCTTTGCCAGTTCAGCCATCTATGCCAATCGCCTTTATCTGAGCTGCTATAGCCAGTGCCATCCAGAGAGACTCGCCCAGAGCAGAACAGGTGGACCCACCATTCGAGGTATCGGCTCTTTTCCTTCCCCTTTTCCCAAAAGAACAAAAACAAGACATTCTTTTAGGGATGTGGTCACGCTGCAGACTAAACTGCAGAAGCCTGTGCTGCAGGGTCAGAAGACCAAGCAGGCGTAAGATCGAATCCACGCGACGGAGTGAGCTTCCGTTGCTTTGTCCCAGCTCCCGCCAACCTAGCGGTTCGAAAGCATGCAAATGTGAGTAGATTAATAGGGACCACCTCGATGGGAAGGTAACAGCGTTCCATGTCTAAGTCGCACTGGCCATGTGACCACAGAAGATTGTCTTTGGACAAAACGCTGGCTCTATGGCTTGGGAACGGGGATGAGCACCGCCCCCTAGAGTCGAACACAACTGGACAAAAAATTGTCAAGGGGAACCTTTACCTTTACCTAGATAGTTTGTGCTCCAAACGGTCAGGGAACCAGCCCATCCAGCAGTGGGCCAGTTGGCACCTGAGAGGCCCTGTGGGTGGTTGCAGAGGCCTATCTGCCCCAGAGCAGCCGAGTGTGTGGTATCTTCAGTATCAGGAAAGCAGGCCTGCTTTTAGAAACACGGAGTGGATTTGGAAACAGTTTTGTATTGTGTGTGTGTGTTTGTGTATCCTTGTTTCCAGAACACGTACAGATTATAGTTGCTGAGAGCCCTCCTTTATTTGGCACATGTGAACTTTAACCAGCAGGCTGGCTTGAGCACAGCGATTGCCATTCAGCTTTAGAGAAGGAAGCCTGGATTTTAGAAAAGCAGGTCCTTGGCACAAATCTGTCCCTTGTGGAGGAAGTAAAACCCATTCTGTTGCATCTCCTTTTTTTACACAGGGAATGTCTACATCCATCCAACGGCCTTGGTGGATGCCAGTGCTGTGGTAAGTGTCGTGGGTCTGGGAGGGGCTGCGGTGCTTGGTTTCAAGGTCTGAGCACTCTTCACCTCATTGCAGGTTCTTGCAGCAGACTCTCATCCTGTACCAAGCACAGCAGGCAGGTTGCATGGGGGCCTTGTTGGTTGGCTCACTGACAGGCTGGGCCGTTTCTTTCCAGCTTGGCCCTAATGTCTCCATCGGGAAAGGAGTGACGATTGGGGCTGGAGTTCGTGTGCGGGAGTCCATCATTCTGCACGGGGCTTCCCTCCAGGTAGGAGTTGTCCCAATTCCCAGTGAGACAAGATCCAGTCACCTTGGGGCAGGTCTGGTGCCTGTCCTATCGTTGGGCTGCAGTTCTTGTCCCCTGTAGCCAGCCTAGGCAACAGCGGTCCAGAGCTTGGAAAGGTTTCTGTCTGGGTAAGGGATGAAGGACTTGGCAGTCGAGCAACATCTGGAGGGCCACATGTTCTCCATCTCTTCTGCATGACCTTCTCAAATTAATATTTCTAGTATAGTGAGTGTGTTATTGTATCCGTCGTTTGTTGAAAGCAGATTACCTTTCCTCAAACTGGTGTTACTCCCAAAATACAAATAGGAAAATTTTCCCACTTGGAAAAAAATGAGGCTTTCCCTCTTCTGGCATATGTGCTTGCTGTGTTTCATCCTGACGGTGGTTGTACAGCCGTCACATTTGATGTTTTCTGTGGCATCTCTTGATGAGGCAGTTTCCTCCCCAGTCTTTTTGCAGCCTCCTAATGTATCAAATTTACATCCTTTTTTGCCAAAATCAAACCAAACCGAGGTCAGTTAATAAAAATAACATTCAAAATTTTTAAATATGTTTAAAGCATAACCTGATTAAAAGTTTTCTAGTTAAAGCTGGATCAGTAACAAGAAGTAACAGGACTTTTCAGTCAAGACTTGGCTGGCCATCAGAGGTCTGTTTGAGCAAAAGAGACAGCAAGGAGGAGGCCAACATTGCAATGATTTTTTTTTACTTGTTCTTTAGTTATCTTCCATGTACCAGGGCCATTCATGAAACATTAAAAAGAAAGCGCAAGCCAACAAGAAAAGTTGTGTGCCCATAACAACATCCCACCATTTGGTGAATCACAATTTTTCCCTCTTTCTTCCAACTTCCTTTTGCTAGGGTTTTTTTTTGGGGGGGGGGTTGTTTTGTTTTTTTGAGGTTGCACACCTAACACAAAGGATGGGAGGAGAATGAAGTCCTGCCATCTTTCTGATAGTAGGTGAGGGACAGAAAATCTGTGACTCTTCAGAATCTGTTGTAGTACGTCTCCCATCGTTCCTAACCATAGGCTGTGCTGGCTAGTGCCAATGGAATCAAACAACAATTGGGGAGCCACATCTCCCCTGCTCCCGTTTTATTATACAACATTGCTATCTTATGCCACCAGTGCTGAATTGGGAGTCATTATTATTGCAGCAGTAACCAAAAGTGGGTTTAAAAAATAAACTGTCCTCTTTTATTTGCTGCTTTTTGTTCTGCTGATGCCTGGCAGGTGGCAGTCATGCGCTGTAAAAATGGTATGTTCTGTCTTTCCCTAGGAGTGAGTAAGAATGTTTAGAGGGTTTTTTTTAAAAAAATCTGAATTTACCATCATCTTTGATGTTTGAAAGTGGGAGAAAATAAAACTGACCTTTTTGCTCATTTGTTAGCTTATTGAGCAAAAACAACAACTCCTGGTACCTTTAGAAATTAAACGTGTATTACAATTGAAGCTTTTGTGGACCAGAGTTCTCCGCGTTACATGCATTTTCTGAGTGTTGTTCAGGAAAGCTCCTGCCATAATAAATTGATTAATCTTTAAAGCACCACATGACTCATTGTTTTTGCTGCTAGAGAATAAACTATACATATATTTTAGCTAGGGTACATAGAACTGATTATTTCAAACTGATTGTTTAAAATTGAACTTGAAACCTAACGTAATGATTTCAAGTGCAATTTTAAATGTATGTTACACCTTGAACTACATGTTTTATTGTTGTTTCCACGTATGTCAGAAATTTGGGTCGTAGTAATCATTGGTGTAGGATTTAACCTCATACAACCCTATTGGGCTTTCTTCTGATTTCAAATATAGGAGGGGCAATTAAGTCATTTTGTTAGGAAGCCTTGCTTCATTATTTTTCATTTTTATGAGGACAGTAAGATTGTGTGCGTGTGTATGATTTCTGTCCTCTCTGTTAAAAAAAAAGTCTTCATCCTGGAAAATGACATCTCCAGGTAGGTCTGGAACAACCTCTGGTCTAAGACCCTGAAACCCTCACTCCACCCTCATCATTGTAGACTATGGAGGGTAACCCCTGATCTAATCCAGTCTTCCTGGATATCCAGTTCAGTCCAAGGAAGTCCCTTTCTCACCACCCACAAGAAAGGAGGCACAAACCCCTCTGAGTATGTCCTTCCTTCCTTCCTTCCTTCCTTCCTTCCTTCCTTCCTTCACCTACCTACCTACCTACCTATCCATGGTTGGCCACAGGCACTTACAGGTTCGTGGGAAGGCGAGAGAGCCACAAAGCTTTCTCCTTCTGCTCTCTGGGTGCTGGCTGAATCCTGGCCTAATTTCACTTTCTCATTTTAAATGCCTGGTGAGCACTGTTTCCTCCAGTCCTCTTAGCTTGCCCCATAGACAACGGCAGCCCCTAGAGCACCGTCTTCCTGCTGAGGGTGAGGTTGCTGAACCCTAAGGTGTTGCCAGCTAGGATGTGCAAGGAGCATTGGACTCTCCCTGCCTGAGTCTACCTTGGCAGTGGGTTGGAGGTTGCCATCTAATGCCCCCTTGCCTTCTTTCCTGCCCTTTTGCACAGGACCACACGTGTGTGCTGAACAGCATTGTGGGCTGGGACAGCACCATTGGACGCTGGGCTCGTGTAGAAGGGACCCCGAGTGACCCGAACCCAAATGACCCTTATGCAAAGATAGACAGCGAGACTCTGTTTCGGGATGGTCGCCTCACTCCTTCCATCACCATTCTGGGTAAGGTTTGGCCTTCTGTGGCCCCTTTCTGCAGTAAATAAATAAGATATTCCTTTATTTCAAGGCACGCCTCCCTTGTGAGGGGCTCTTTCCCCTCTCTCCCACCCTGATTTCCTTGCTGATACCTCTTGCTTTCCTTCTTCCTCCACAGGTTGCAATGTGACGATTCCTGCTGAAGTCGTCATCCTGAACTCCATTGTCCTCCCTCACAAGGAACTCAGCCGTAGTTTCAAGAACCAGATCATTCTCTGAAGAGGGGAAGAGCAGGGTGTTGCCTCTGGTTGTCTCCAGCTAGGTTGTGGAAAAGACATAGCCTGAATCCATATTCAAGCTGCATCGCATCTCTTTGCCCAGTCAGACCAGGGCGTACTGCTCAAGCCTCACTATGGAGTGTTACTGTAGATTTCCCCCACAGCCTACTCACAAAATGGGGACAGGAGCCTCTCTCTTAGACTGCAGGGGTATGAGATGTCTCACCCCCTCCTTCCTTCCAGAACTGCTGCAAATCCTCTCCCCAAAAACAGAAGCCTGGTTTGGCCTGATGCTGTCATCCTACCTCACCTTGAACAAAGGACTAGGCAGAAAAAGGCTATGGAGACGCCCAACAGGGGCTTTGGGGTGGGGTGGGGGACATGTTGGTTAGTTCCCCTGCGTCTTAGGTGTATTTATCCAGCATACTAGATTCTCACCAGTCTCCATAGTAGGATACAGAGTGTAGAGGCAGTAGAGATCCCAAACAGGTGGTAGCACCATGTGGCAGAAAGACTGGTGAATCCCAGAACATGTTTCCTTTTCTGTTCTTCCTGCTCCGCTTCTTACTCTTACACTTGTCCCCTATGGCACTTAAAATGGGTCTCTGGGAATCTGCTGTATAGATACATTATCTGATGTACTTGCCAAGTGTTTTCCCCTCCCCCAGATCATGTTTATTTGTGGTTTCAAGGAACTGGTTTCCGTTCTCTAGGATAGTGGAGCAGGGAGAGAAAGGGACTGGCTTCTGGCCCGTAGCTTGTCCTCAGCTGCAAGGTGAAGCTTTGACTTCTAAGGTTGCAAAATAACTGAGAGGATAGGGGGAAAGAATGCAACAACAGCTGGATATAGTACGTGTTCAGAAAAATGGCTGTATGTGTTTGCTTTTATTTGAATGGCTCTTTCCCCCCTGAAGAATCTCTTCAAAGAGACTCCAGACCATTGAAAACTTCCCCACTATTGTTAACATTCAGTAATATCTGTCCATGATTCAGCCATCGGCTTCACCTTTCTGTAAAAGAACAGAGCTTATTCTTTGATAAATATGCTGAAAGCAGATGATCTGTGATAAAGGTCTTATCTGTCCCCCCCCCCCTCTAAATGCTAAACCAGAAAGGCATCCTCAAAATGTCTGAGGAAAATAAACACCCACTCTGGATCTTGAAGTGCTGTACCTACTCCTGTGTCTTATCCATGCTAAACTATTTCTCTTTTAAAAAGACATTTTTACTGGGAAAGCCCCCTCATGTCCTATGGTGGTTAAAAGAAACAAACAAACCCAGATGTATAATGTTGGTGGGTTAGGGGTGCTTAGGTTCCCCAAAATGTCACAGAACTTTCCATATCTCCTAGAGGGCACAAGGGGACATTTTAAGGGAAAAATTAAGAAAATAATGGGAATGGGCCACCCTTTGCAGGGAGACTACATTCTTTATCCACCAGCGTCCTTTGCTCTGAATGGCAAGCTTGAAGTACATTTTCAGTGGCTGCTAAATCACACCTGTAGAGGACCAAAATCCCAAAGAATTTTAGGGTTTCATTATTGCCCTACATTATGTTCCATGGGGACGTGGTGGAAACTGGTGAATAAATGTATGAGCAGAGGGCATGTTTCCAAAGCAAGTTGCCAGTTTAGGACAGCAATTATCTTAGACCAAAATTTAGCTTCACTGCTACTTCTCTCCAGCATGCTCAGGAATTAGAATGGTGAACTGGTAACAGCACTGGAGGTATTCATTAAAGCAAAGTTGACACAGAGACTATTATTGTTAGAGACCCTAAAGCTCATCTAGTCTAGTGGCTTCCAACCTGTGATTTCCCCAGATATCAGACTATGACTCCCAAACTTTCTCACTCCTGGGCATGCTGGCTGAGGCTTTGGGTAGATGAAATCTACCATCTTTTGGAGACCCACAGTTCTGGCTTAGCCTCCCACCAAGGCACTGTTTGCTAGACTACAGCAATTTACGAGCACTTTGCCCCAGATGCCTTCTGCTCATGAAGGAGTGTCCCCCCTCCTCCTGCTTCCTCCAAGGAAGCCCACTCCATCACAGAACATCAAGAAGTTCTTGTGAAAATGCAGTTGAAATCCCCCACTCTTCCAACTAGAGCCAGTTGGTTTGGTTCCTACCCTCAGGAACAACAGAGAACATATTTACTCAATCGTTTATGTGGCAATTCCACAGCTGTTTGAAGATGGCTATCTTATTGCCTCTTAATAATCTTTTCTCTAGGTTGAACATACCCAGCCCCTTCAGCTAACTCAAACATAACACATCTCGTACCAAGCTCATGATTCCCTTGACAGTGCTTCAAATGACTATCATATAATCTCTTAATAGTTTCTTCTCCAGCCTAAAGGTACCTGGCTCCTTCAACATGTCCTCCTAGGATTTGGAGGTACTGAATTACTGTCTGAAACAGGTTGTGTTGCCTGCGTTTGCATCTGTTTGAAAAATTTAACCAATAAAGGTCATATTTTGTGCCTGGACTCCCTCTGGATAGAAAGGATGGCCTTTCCCTGTGTATATCTACTGCTACCATAGCAATGGAAATAATAAAGGCATTGATGCCTACAAAACTGTTGCAGTGTGTTTACCATGTGTGTGTCAAATTGCATCCTTTGCTACTTTGGTATCTAGTCCGCTTTGTTTACTTGTGGCATCTGCCATTATTGCAAAAAATGAAGAGAAACATGTGTTAATTATAAATGTAACATCTGAGCTGAAAGATTCCATACAATGAGGGTGGTGGCTGCCTCTTGGTTGGCTGTTGAGACAATTGAAGGAATGGACATTTTAACAGGCCGTGTATCATCCAGGTGGGGGTAGAGGGAGTTCTGGAATACAATCCCAGTGTCTTGGTTGATGGGGAAGTTTTGCCGCCACTGAGCTATGTCCTGTGACCATCCTGGTCAAGAATTACTGACACTGCAGTGCATGGAAACAATGTTCCTACACACTGGCTTTGCCCCCACATTGGTAGCATTTTGCTGCATCCAACAATTGGCTGGTGACATTGATGAACAAGATAATCCTTATCTGGATAGGCAGGTTTGATGAGCTGTAGCTCTCCAGATGATGGACTGCTACTCCCATCATCCCTCACTATTGGCTGTGATTATTAGGACTCATGGGAGTTGCAGTCCAGTAACATGTACGAGGGGGTGCTGATACTGAGCCTTTCCCAGAAAAAACTGAGCTAGGAAGCTGTAACTGCCACACTATTCTACATGTCCCCCCAGGAAGTCAATGCACTCGCGACATCTTGAGTCCCTGCAAATAAAATTCTTCCGACTGCTGGTGTAACCACTCATTTGCAGCATTAGTTGCCTCCAGAACACTCCCAAATCGTTATCCCTTTAGGGGTTTTTTGAGTTTGGGGAACAGATAATAGTCAGAAGGAGCCAGGTCAAGAGAATAGGGTGGATGGGGCATCACTTCAAAGCTTAAGGTCAGTTATGTCATTGTTTCACCTGCAGTGTGTGATGAGGTGTTGTCATGCAAAAGAATAACACCTTTGGAGAGCTTTCCTCAATGTTTTTCCTTGATGTTTTGCCTCAACTTCGTCAATAAAGCACAGTAATATTTTGCATTGATAATTGAGCCCTGCTGGAGGTAGTCCACCAGAACTCCCTTCTTATCCCCCCCAAAAAATTGCCATTTGCTTCTGCACCGACCTTTGCACTCGGAACTTCTTTGGCCTGGGGGAACCACTGTGCCTCCATTCTTTAGACTGTTCCTTTGTCTCAGGATCATAACAGTAGATCCATGTCTCATCATCAGTTACCAGTTTGCCCAGGAAATCTGACTCATTTCTTGTAAAATGTTCCAAAACAGCCACCGATAACTCCACACGTTTCCTCTTTTGTTCGGTGGTTGTCACGTTCCCAGGGGTTTCAACAGCAGAATCCGATAAGCCAGTCCAATGTCAGAAGTTCAGAGAATGCAGAGCCCATATCAAAATGCCAAACCCAAATCATAAACTGTAGTCCGAGGTCAGGGTCCAAAGCCAAATCACACAACATAGTTCAGGGTCAGAGACCAAAGCCAAGGGTCCAGAGAACAAGGTTCAAGGTAGTCAGGAACGTGGATATGAGCCAGAGATTTGACTTGTTCCACAAGCTTGCCAGCATCTGGGTGCGGATTTTATAGTAACAACAGCCATCTAAACACCTCATCCTGTTAATACTCACAGCTGGTCAACCTGATGTTCCTATGGGAAGCATTCATGCGGGCTTCAGATCTCCGTGTCATGAGTCCTTGCCCAAGCTTGTCCCTTACTCTGGCTACTGGGGGAGGAGAATCTGGTGGTGATTCAGTTGTCTGTGCTTCTGATTGCCCAGCATTCTCCTCAGCTGTAATTAACCCCTCAGATTCCAGATCTTTGGCAGAACTCATGACACTTCTTCAGTCTGACGAGAGTTGGTAGGAGACCCCCCTGAAAGATCCTCCATGTTGGTTCCACTTCCTCCTGGTCTGAATAGGCTTCTTAGATGGACAAAGGATGGGGTGGGTGGCTTTAAGGAGTGATTTTATCAGTCCTACTACCACCCTCCAGTGAGTTTAAAGTTTCTAATTGCAAGGGGTGCATCCAGTTTTGGCCTTGAGTCAGAGAAGGAAGGCAACAGGGACCTGGTCAGATGGAGTCAGACCAGGTGTGAGGCACCTCCTACATCCCAGCAGTCAGCAGACAAATTGGCCAATACACCCTGCGATTTATAGCTTCCTAGCTCAATTTTTTCTGGGAAAGGCTCAATACTTATCAGCACCCCCTCATAAACTCTCACATTACCAGGTGGTGGTGGTGGTGTGTGTGTGTTTGTGTGTGTGTGTATTCCAGGATTATTAAGGAGCAAAAACCAGTCCATATATATATGGACTGGCATTTGCTCTTTAATCCTGGAATATAATAGAATATTGGCTGCTTTTATAGAAACAACTAGACAATGCAGCGCCACCAGGGATGTGGTGGCGCTGTGGGTTAAACCGCAGAAGCCTCTGTGCTGTAAGGTCTGTAGATCTTCAGCTCTAAGATTGAATCCACGTGACGGAGTGAGTGCCCATCACTTGTCCCAGCTTCCGCCAACCTAGTGGTTTGAAAGCATGCAAATGCAAGTAGATTAATAGGGACCACCTCGGTGGGAAGGTAATGGAGTTCTGTGTCTAGTCGTGCTGGCCACGTGACCACGAAAGATTGTCTCTGGACAAAACGCTGGCTCTATGGCTTGGAAACGAGGATGAACATCACCCCCTAGAGTCGGACACGACAGGACAAAAAATTGTCAAAAAAACCCTTTACCTTTACCTTAGAAAAAACTACATTTTGGGACTACAGTTCCCAGAATCCTGCAGTCATAATGATGGATGGGAACTGTAGTCCAAAAGGCAGTCCATCCCCCACCCCTGAAACTCTGCCTATATATGCTTGCAGAAATTAATATGAAAGGCGAGCACTAACACAGTTCGTGTAACAGGAAATCCTTCCTCACAACTGCTGAAATCTTCAGAAAAACGTCAGCTGAGAAAATGGAATAAAGATTTGTGTAATTAGACTTTTTATAAAATGCGTTGTAAAGTCCGCTTTTTCAGAGGCTCCTGTGAAAGGTTAAGTAGTCGTGGCACAAGCTGAGGCATCCTTTTATAGATTAGCAAGTGGCTGAGTGATAGGAAATAGAAGGTAGACATAAATGGTCAATTTGCACAGTGAAGAGAGATAAACCGCAGGGAGCCTCAAGGATCTATAATGGGACCTGCGCTTTTTAACATATTCATTAATGACTTGGAAAAGGGATTGAACGGAAAGCAGCAAAATTTGCAAATGATAAATTATTCAAGGTAGTTAAATCTAAAGCAGATTGTAAGGAGTTCCATGGGGATCTTGTAACAGTGGGAGAGAGAGTCAGTAATGAAATGCAGTGTCGATAAGTACGACAAAGCACAGGGGGAGTAACCCCCCATCTTTACATACTAACTACTGTAGTGTACAAAGTTTGGAATTGGCTACTTCCATTTGAGAAAACAATCAAGCATCCAGATCCTGCTTACTAACAGATAAAAGGCAGTGGTTCTTTCCAGAAGGCATGAAGGTGGGCCATTTATCTAGGCCTTGAGACCAACAGAGGTGCCTCTGAGAGGGCTGCACACAGGCTTCATGTAAAACACTGCCTGATAGTTCATTGTCATGAACCCACAACAGGGAGAGAGAGAAGGTGGGTTAAGCAAGTGATAAAGCAGCTTGCCTGCCTGTCTTCTCTCCAACAGCAATTTTGAAGTCCTG